TTGATCTTCTGACGTTGGCGCTAGAGAAAAGTTGGTTATGAGGTATTGTTGTTGGATGTACTTCGTACTTACAGGCCGGTAGGTACCATCGAGAACAGTGCGAGAGGGTAGAGTTCGCAGCAACAAATGTGCCACCCCGTTCGCTACCGATTCGCGCCACCAGTACGTACTCCATACAGGAGAATGAGGCTCCTTTTCGTTCATTCTATTTTTACTTGCCGAAATCAGCACCTCATTCACGTTCTCCTAGGGACTCGGGGTTCGAGCCTTGTGATGGAGTTTGTGCCAATAGTGTGCCTCTCGCCTGTCGACATGATGAATAACAGGCCCTCTATTATATTCAGATGCACGAATAATTTCGCTGGCCCGTCCTTTGTAATGGCGAGGGTCCCCGGTGTGCGTGTCCACAGAGGGCCCGGCGCCGGGCTTTTGGCTTGGCGGCCCGCATACTTCGTCCTATTACTTTTCTGAGATGTGACGATGCGGAGCAAGGGGGGGGGCTCGCTGAGATACTCCGTAATAAAAATAGTAGTGACCAGTCAACGGGCCGCGTAGCCATTTGTACCCAGTGCCAGGTTGGGGCTCCGAGTGGCTTGGATAGGTGGCGTCGATTCAACAACTCAGGAGCACAGCGGGAGAAGGGTCCTGAGGAGAATGTGGCTGAACGTGGCCTCGTCTGCATGCGTGACAGACAAAGTTGGCTAGAAGCTATGAGGTGGTGTCGACAGCAGGATCGCCATCAAAGATTTGGTCGAGTTTGTATCTTTGACTTGAACAGCACAGAGGAATGTTAGTACACACATGTGATGGGGAGTCTTAGACGCCTGCACGCCTGATAGCTATACGGATACAGGACACAAGATTGTGAACCAAGGGCTGCGCGTCACAATTGAGCATCAGGGAGTCTTGAGAAGATACCCAGCACACGTTGGATTAGGTCCAAGAAACCGAGTCGAAGTCGTTTCTCTTGAAACGCAATAGCGTATGGCCGTTGCCAGGTGTCTCACGACGTCTACTCCATAGCGGGTGGACGGTTGGGGCAGCACTAGCGATGAATAGTTTTTTTGAGGCGCCAACCGCGGGACGCACTGGCAAGACCAGACCAGTAAGTGTAGTATGACAGCATTGCTGGGTACTAGTACCGGGTACATGGATGACGAGTTGGCTGTCAATATCGAGTTCGCGCTGGGTGCTGGCTCGACTAGCCAGTCGGAACGCTGCACTGCCGTTGTGGACGCGTTGAGCAAGGCGCTGTGCATGACTTTGGAGGAGCCTAGGGCAGACAAACGGCATCTATTCGTCGTCGCGGGTTGACTAGTAGCGGCAAAATCATCCAAACTCCAAGCAGCCAATCAGACGTATGAACCGTCACGGCAGAGACGTGGGCTCAATAGATGCTCCCTTCTCCACTTGGAGCAACGTGCAAGCCATCATTGTCAAGACTAGCCACGAACAATAACGTAAGTAGTTGACGAGTGTGCCGAGTGAACGACTTGGTGAAGTGCGGTAGGAATGGCGCGATGTGATTGACGGATAGATAATTGCGCTTGGCCCGTGGTGGTGGTAGTGGTGGTGGCCGTGGACGAATTTTTGGTAGGATGTCAACTACTTAGGCGGTTGTGATAACTTGATGATGGAGTCCGGAACGCGGCGGTGGGCAACTGAAAGACAATTTTGAAGCGCCATGGTACGTTTCTGTAGACATTCTCGCCAATTACGTTTCATGTTGAATAGAATGACCAACAGCGCGTTCCTTGCTCTCCAATCTTGGCAAATTGATCTGCGCATCGCAGCCCCTATTCGCTAATATCGCACTGGGCCGTCTGTCATGCGTAACCGGTGCCTATAGCTTAATGATTGTCCTTTGGCTGCGGATGATACCTGATGGCTAGATAATTGTGACGTTAAATACAACTTCGCTCATCAGTGTTGGCTAGATCCTTCGGTCGGCAGCTGGCAGGTAACGGTACTTGTGCTGTGCTGTCGTTCGGCTGACGGACGGGAGACGGCTTCCGGCATGGCCAGAGAGACCATCTGTCGAGGCTAGCAGTTTAATAGTGATATTCGATGATTGGCTAGCAGGGCCCGCCGTTGGGCCCCTGACACAGGAAAAGAAACCCTTCAACTGGTGGTCGTGTCCCGTCGGCTAACTCGAGGGCTGCTCGGTGCAGAGGATGCTCACTGCGCCGTTTGAATGTATCAGAAGACGGAGAAGGCATTGATCGACGAGGGCTACCGAATTTTATGGCCGGCAAGGGAGTGGCTGTCAGTCAATTGTTGTGCGAGAGTGTCTGGGTGGTGATGCGTCCATCTTGTGGCTTGTCGCTGCGACTTTGAGTGCTTTTTGTTTGTCGCGCTTTTCTGACCTGTCAAACGCAACGTGAATTGTGCATGCCGGCGTGCATTGAGTGCCAATTGCATGGCTGCTGCTTGCATAAAAGCACCGAGCCAACGAATCTGCAGCTAGTGGACGGAGCTGGCAACCGCTGCCTGGCATCCGGCAAGAAGCGGCCACGAATCAATGGAGACATGTCAGGCCAAAATTGGCATGGTGCATCCCGAGGAGAAGCAGAATATACGCTTTGAAGTTTCCTCTGACATGGCAATACTCGAAATGCGGCGGGAGAATGCAGTTACCTAGCTAGGTATTGCCCGATGACACTATTCAGGGTCCGTTTTGTTGGCCGGAGCCGGGAAAATGGGCATCTCGTACGGGACTAAAATACAGACTAGCCAGGGGTTGTTCGGCTAATTTGCTTCTTTGATGAATCCATTCAGTTCCCAGTCGTATCCGTGAATTGTCAAGTTGTCAGAATATTATGGACTTGGGGGCGATTTTTTTCTGTTTGAGTGCAATGTTAGATTCGGCGAATTCAGACGCAGGACCCCAGGCAGACTCCGTAATAAGAGCAGGAATATTGGGTTAATTTATCTTTGAGAGTGCCGGCCCAGTGGACTGGTTCGGGGAAACTCAATCTCCTGGGAGTGCAGCGGTGGCACAGACTTTTTAGAGGGGGATGTGCGCTGTGTGTGGTGGATTAGGCCAGTCGAGGAGCGCCAAGCCCTCTGTACCTAAGGAGCTTTCTAACGGACAGGTTGAACCTGTACCCTAGCTGCAAGCCTACTGCAGGTTGGAGCAAACAAAGGGCAATTCTCGGAACAACAAAAGAAAGGAAGAAGGGACAAAAAGCAAGGAAGCCGCCTAGCGAGAATGTGGCAGCAAATACGGATGCGTAAACGCTGCAGGCATGCAGAAAGAAAAATGACTCTGAATTTTCTCCAAGATCCCTGCCGGCGCCACCGCATCTCATCGAGACAACGACAGGGCTATAGGGAAAAGTAAGCTACGACCAAGAGGGCATGCGTCTCCGGAGAAAAGATGAGTTCCGACAATTTCGACGAGTAAGTCGAGGAACTGATGGATGACGATGGCATGGCAAGTAGGCCGATGAATAGTATATAAAGTAGTACGCAGAACGTTGGTGCCAGGTGGTACCTGGATGATTTTATTAAGTTTTATTGAGACAGGCACTGGTAGAGAATTGTATTGATTAGCGGATGAGCCACCCATGGCCGTGTTGCACCCGTCCAGCTGTTTTGACCTCGCATCCTCGCTAGCAGTTTGGGAGTCGAGCGAATGGGGCGCCTGTACCAGTTTTTTAGCGTCTTCGTCAGGCGATACCCGTCCTCACCATGATCCACTGGGGAGAAGGCAATCAGCGAGGGGAGTCGATGATGAATGCTCAGATGCTGTGAACGCGGTGGACGAGGGTGGACCCGGATGGTGTGGATCTACTCAGCTTCGGATCCACAGAGGGGACTTTCTTGAAAAAGAACTAAAAACGCCAAATGAGAAAAAATAAAAGGAAACAAATTTATTAGCCCAGCCCAGCAAAGCCACCGACCAGGTTCTCCCAGCATGTACCTTGGCAACTTGGTACCGAAAAGCTCACCCCTGTTCACCTTTCCAGACTCTCGGGCCCCCCTCCCCTCCTTTCGGGGACAGACCCCCCCCCCCAAATCGCCCAATCGCCCTGTCCAAAGCGCTGGGAATCCCGGCGCTCTGGGGCAACAGTTGCCTGCACTGCCTTGGCCTGTTGCGCTGGAGTCTGGCAGCCATAGCCAACCGCGTTGCCGCCTAGCTGACTTTTTCATCCCTCTCGACCGACTTTCTGTATACCTCCCCTGGTTGTAATTGGGAGTCGCCGCTGCTCTTTGATGCTACTCAACTGATATCTAGTACTGGAAAATACCTGTTCAGTACAGATACTCGTTCTCCGCTACCTGTACTTGGCTGGCCTCACCCGACCCGAGGGCTGTACCACACACACAACCACCCAAACCGCCTCAGGTACCACGGTACCACCGCATCCCCCCAGTCTCACGCCGCCTCTCTTCTCCTCCCGCTCAACTTACTTTCTCTCACCCTCGCCCGCTGCTTTACCAACTACCAGTACTGGCGGCCACACGCCCCCCCACGACGCTCTCCCGTCTTCCTCCATCCTTCTTCGCGTTGGCCCACGGGTCTTGATCTCGTCACCTCCTCTCGACGCGGCCTCGTCCATGGCCGGCCTTCTCTTCTCCTCCCCTTCCTTTGCTTAGATATCTTTCATACTTGCTTTTCCGACCCTACGTCTCTCTCCATCGTCGCTCTTGGCTAGTCGCTACCGCTTCGCCGTTGAATTCGACTGCGTTTGGCAACACCCTTGGCCACCCTTTCAGTCCGTTCCTGTTACCAAGCTTGAGCTGTGCTATTCATCACATCTCCAGGTCAGTATTCAACTGCAACATCTTACCATGTATACATCTCAAGGACCCCTGTGACACCTCGATACGCGACCCCCCTTCTCTAATCACCACCCGACCTCAAGCCGCCTTTATCTCGTCTACTTCCCATCTTTTACTTCCCAGTACTCCGTACGCCGTTGCTGACTCGTATTAAGCCCGTAACCGGGCCCTTCCACTGGCCCTCGTCGCACTTCTCTTCAGTCTTGTTCGCCATGGCGCCCGCCGCTCCAAAGTCGTCGACTATGGGGTCCAAAGATAATTATCAGCGCATACATCGCATCACTAGAGAGAACCGCAGCCTATGGTACCAGTTGGAAGTTCTCCAGCAACCTGAACGCGCTCGAGCATGTGGTGCCGGCATGAAGGCCAACAGCGACCGCCGCCCCGTGGATCCTCCCCCCGTTGTTGAGCTTCGTATTATCGAGGGACCTTCGGTTGAAGAGGGCAAGGATATTACTTTCGATTACAACGCCAACTTCTTTCTCTACGCCAGCCTTGAGCAAGCCCGCCCTATGGCTCATGGTCGAGTCCAAACTCCTGCCACCCTCAATCCTCCCATTCTCACCGGAGTTCCAGCCTCCGGCATGGCATATCTCGATAGACCACACGAGGCCGGCTACTTCATTTTTCCTGATCTGTCTGTCCGTCACGAAGGCTACTTCCGCCTCTCTTTTAGCCTGTTCGAGACGACCAAGGAAGAAAAAGACTTTGACCTTGAACCAGCATCTGATTTGCCCCCAGGCGTCGACTGGCGCATGGAGATCAAGACAAATCCATTCAATGTCTTTAGCGCCAAGAAGTTCCCTGGCCTCATGGAGAGCACCACACTCAGCAAGATCGTTGCGGACCAAGGCTGCCGAGTCCGCATCCGCCGCGATGTTCGCATGAGAAAGCGCGACGCCAAGCCTGCCTCTGCCAGCCAAGACGCCAGAGAGGAAGCCTATCGGAAACCCGCTCGCCCTCCCACCATCCCCAACCCCAATCTCCGTGACAGATCTCTCAGCCACTCGAGCGAGCGCCGCCCACAGTATCCGATCGAACCCGAGCGACGGCCTTCTGCTGCCGACTCTCACGCCTCTAACCCTCACCCGCCGGTTTACGAACGCCCTGTTCCCCCAGCACGGCATCTTTCTTTTGGCAGCGACGCTCCGCTACAAGCTCACACACCTGCTCTTCTGCCACACACAAATCATCACCCAATTGCGCCACGACCCCATTCGAGCCACATGCCGCCTTTGGCTGCGTCCCAGTACGCCAACAATGCGTCAACTTATCCCGAACCGGACCGTTCCTACAGCCAGTCCTCCACACCTCGACCGTGCCCGTCACCTGCGTTGTCCGGCAAGCCAGACGCCTACGAGCCAAGACCGAGTTTCAGCCATGTCCCACCGTCGCCTTCCTCGTTCTCGTCCCACGATCACCACTCGAGACGCAGCTCATACGTTCCTCCTCACCCGCCTACGCCATCATACCACCCTCGTCGGCCTTTGCTTCCTCAACCGTCGCCCTCGCATGCGCCGCTCAAGATTTCTTCGCTCATGTCCCCTCTCCCGCCCATCGAAGCTCAGATCGAAGCGCCGCCTCGCGTACCAAACATTCCCACGGGTGGAAAGCGCAAACACGAAATTGTCTTCCACCAAACTACGGACCCCTTGCACAATGGCCAGCGCCAAGTCGATATGCATTACAGGAGCAATTCACGTCTCTATGTTGAGCCTGATCAATGCATGTATTCGGGAGCTGACGGCGAGCCTAATCCATGCATGTATTCGAGAGCTGACGGCGAAATCGGCTATGTCCGATTCAATTCTTGCCAATAGACGGTCCTGTCACGGTTGCAGCTTGGATAGCCTGCCAAGCATGTCATTGTCCTGGAATGTATAACTTGACGACATTTATCTGGATTATATCTGCTCCCCCGAGCAAGCATATCCACATTAACGTTTCCGTGCCGCAAATTGTTGAGCACTGATCTCTCGATCATCTTTCTCATTGGCGTCATGTAATAGCGAATCATACGGACACCGCACCGAAACACTACACTGCTTTTCATTTTCCTTCTGGCGCTGGGCACTTTGCTTGGCAACGATGACTAAATTCTCTTTGGCGTCCACGGCTCAGGATGAAATTTCCGCCACTCTTTATCAACGATTCCTTTCTCTCATCTTCACCGGGTCACGGCGTTTTCTGGTCGGCTTCACTATTTTCATCCAATACCTACGACATTTAAGAAGGACAGGAAAGGGCAGGGAGGGCCACACAGTCCAAAGCATAACTTATTTTTTTTTACGCCGCACTTGATACCACTCCATCTTCGGGATGGAAGAACTCGATGAGGACAACAGCTGGCTTACTGCCTAAGCTTTGCTACGACTTTCGCGGGGGAGAATGGTTCTTAGTTCGGAATGACAGTTTAGGAGAAAGGGTTTCTCTTCTCATTGGCACCACAGCTTTTTTGGACACGGGGCTTCGAATTTTGGTAGAATGATGTCTTAATATTCTTACTCTTTTCTCAAGAGAGAGCTCACCTTTGCTCTCCGGACACAATCTTATCCACATGGAAATGTCATTACCTGAAACTCTCAAGTGAATTAGATAGCAATGCTTTGCTTTGCTTTGCTCTACTTCGCTCCGCTTGGCACAATGCCTCGCCTCAAAAACATTGTGGCGAATTAACCGTTTGCTTTTCTGGCATTCTTGTGAGGAGACATTGTGGCAAGTAAAGCAAAACAAAGCGAAGCAGAGCACTGCCTATAGACATGTCGGCAACGGCAAACAAATCATGGCTAATGGCATCGACAATAATCAGTGTGGGGACAGGGCATCCAACACAAATCAATACAGAAAAGGCTAATTAGAGATTCTGCTGCTGATGTTGGCAGATGAGTGTTGAGGCGGCTGCGTGCCGCCAAAGCCTTCTCCGACAAATCACGAATTGAAGCAAAGATGTATTCGGTTGTCGTTCACTTTGGGATTCGTCCGAGGTAAGGCTTTCGGTGTCTAGGGGATGGCACGTACCTGGCTGACGATGGCCTTGCGTGACATGCATCTAGAGGGATGCCCCTTGTGGCGAAAAAATACGAATAAGATTGAGAAATTGCAGGGTCTCCGGGGTGTAGACCAGGAAAAACGAAGCAACGTATCTTTATCTATTCTTCATTTGCAGTCGCTGTAGACCTGCTCGCTTAAGCCTTGTTCTCACGTAAATTGGCCTCGTAGGTTGCCTGGATTTCGGCGTCTAGTGTCAGGATCCTGTCCACGTCCAGCGCGCTAAACTCGTCTGGATTTCTAATGGCCATGTCGTAATGCCGCAGAGCGAGCAGCAGCTGCGCCGCCCACACATGCTCGCTGACACGTCCCACGCCCGTGGCCAAGGGCGTCATGAGGATCGACTCGATCCTGTCGCCCGCGTCGTCCTGGCCCACGCTTTGATTATAGCGGTCCACGGCGCAGAGCATGCTCCACACGCACTGGTAGACGACTTCCTTGTCCCAGACGACGCTCTCGGGCACGCGCATCGTCGGGCACAGGAGCAGGTGGCGGACGCCCCAGACGTTGCGGGAGCGCGGGGGCGCAAAGGCGGCGGGGACGGGCACGCGCGTGCACGAGCCCGGATTGGCCCACCCGCGGTGCTCGGCGTAGAGGACGGCCTGGGCGGCGCGCGTCAGGGCGAGGTAGTCGTCGAGGGGGGAGAGGGCGCGCGAGATGGCGTCGTCAAAGGCGCCGTCGAGGCGGCCGTACGAGTTTGCGGGGGAGACGATGGCGTCGAGGCGCACAGAAGGGGGAAGCTGCGCGAGGGCGCAGGAGTGCATGGTGACGGGGCTGGCGAATGCGGGAGGGGGACTGCGGGCGGCGGCGGCCAGGTAGGCATCGCGGTCTTTGTCGTGCATGCAGAGGAGGTGGATGGTGAGGTTGGCGGGCTGCGGCATGATGAATGGCGGGGGGTTGGGAACGAGTTTTGAGTGTAAAGAGAGGGATGAGGCGGGGGGGAAGGTGAGGTAGGTGCCGGTCGAAGCGACAATTGATGGAAAGATGTAGCCTTGATTTGGAGGAGCCCGCCTATTCCGTTGATGTGATGATGTGATGTGTTTGTTTTTGATGAACGCTGATGCTGGTTGCTACAAGTTATGTCGAGATGTTGAAAACGTCTGCCTGGTGGGTTGCCAGCTGGCAACATCCATATACAGATCTACCTACATGCATACGAACCCGACGCACAGTTGGGTAGAGTCTTGGAAAAGAAAAAGACGTGTTGATTTTCTGATGCAACATGTTTAACAAAGTTGGACTCTGTCGTCTTGATGTCGTATCGATAACATTCACTTATAAGCTATTCGTAGTGGACATGTTTGCCCGTGAGGGCGGCTGAGTTCTATTTAGCAACAAAGCAGCATTGGAGAAGGAAAGGTTATGAGATGAGATGAACTGAAACGGTGATTCTGCGAATTAGAATCAATTATCCGATTCGATATGCCGAACCGTCCAATATTTCCTCCTGGCTCCTGCATTCTATCTGTCTCGTTACCTTACGCAAAGGCCCCCCCCCCCGCGCCTCTCCACCATTCGTTGCCGTGGTGAGCGCCTACGCCTCCAAGTCAACAATAGAACCCCTTGTCCAACTCAACCATGCATGTCACTCTGCCTGGTAACCGCAGTCCTGCGACAACTCAAACAATGGCAAGCCATTGCTTTGTCAACACACTCTGAAATCAGGGATTCGTCCAGATATTTCCTTTTATCCTCTACATTACTTTACTCTCGTTTCCACCATTTTCGCCGCCTCCTAGCAGTTGCAATCTTTTCCTTTTTACCCCTTTGGGCGACCACGCCACACAACTTCAAGTCGCATTCACTCACCTTGACGATTCCCTTTCTCTGCGCCTCTGCACCAGCAGAGGACGTTTTTATTTGCTCTGAAACTTTGACAGTCTCGCTGGGCAAGCAAGACACACACACGCATACAAAAAAAAACAAAAAAAGCATGCCTCTCAAGAATCCTTCACTCGCCGCCCTGCAGCAGAGCCGCAGTCGCTTCTGCGAGGGCTCCATGAACGACCGCGCCTCCGCCGCGCCACCCGTTCACTTTCTCGGCCCCGACGCCCTTGCCGCCCTCGAGCAACCCGCCTCCAACCCGCGACCTAGCCACGAGACGAGTAGCAGCAGCAGCAGCAGCAGTGGTGGTGCGTGGTCTCGCAAGACGGGCAGCCGGCTCTTTGGGCAGGTCTGGGAGGGCGTCCGCGGCAAACTGCGTCTGCGTCCCAGGGATACCGCTGCCGTTGACGGCAACAATGCCACAAAGACGATGACGAGCACGATGCCGGCGCCGCCGGCGGTTATTTCTGCCGCGACGACGACGACGGCCGTGACGGCGACGAATGCGCAGCAGCAGCAGCAGCAGCAGCAGCACATATCCATCTACACAGACCCGGCGGAGCGCGACAACCATAATGACGGCCCTCCCGCCTCGCGCACACGCAGCCGGCTCACTGCCGCCCCGATTGACGTTCCTGGAGCGACGGCCGCCGGCTTTCAGTTCACCGGCTTTCAGTCCGCGCGGCCGTCGCGTGAAGAGGTCCTCGCCAGCTACCAGCAGCTCATGGCCGGCGGCTTCTTCCAAGCAAACGCTATCCCCTCGAGCCGTCACGGACGGCCAGGTACCAGCCTTCCCGCGCGGCCAGCCACTTCTCACCATCAGCCGCCGCCGCCGCCGCCGCCGCCGCCGTCGTCGTCTCCTCCGCCACAATGGCCGCTCACCACACCGCATCACCACCAACACCACCAGGGGTTTGCTTCTTGCCCCGTACAGTCCCCCACGAGCGTGTCATCGCGGGGAACTAAGCGCGCCGCTGCCCCGGACTCGGACTCGGACGAGAGCATGCACGACGACGGCGACTCCTCTTCCTCCTATAAGGAGAATCAGGCGCCGCCGCACCCCAACACCGTCCACGACGACAGGCAGCCCAAGAAGCGTCTCCGTCGGCTTCCCTCCCGCGAGAGCCTCTTCGTGCCCAAGATTCGCGGATCTTCTTCTTCTTCCTCCTCCGCCACCTCCTCGACCGCCGCCTCCTCCTCCTCCTCGTTCCGCCGCAGGCTCACCCCTTCCTACGGCGTCCCGCCCGCCAATAAGCTGCAGAAGCGCCGCCCCCAACCGCAGTCACAGCCGCAGTGGCAAGGAAGCAGCAGCAGCAGAATCGGAGTGGCCGCTGTGCGACCCCGCCACGTTAGCGACGGTGGCGGGAGCGCCCGCGTGCTGAGGGGCTGCGCGGCCGAGGCGCACCGCCCCATGCGCGTGGTGCCCGATGAGGGGCGAGGGATCCCCAGCGTGCCCGTCATCCCGGCCCGGTTCACATTCGGAGAGGACAGGCAGAATAATGGCCCGTGGAGGGGTCTTCGAGTCCGTTGAGCGCGCGGAGTGGTTGTTTGGGGGTTCTGCACGAGGACAAGGAAAGTGAAGCATGGTAAATCATGACGGACCGGGACGGGAACATTAGGTTTTGGCATGGGATATGGTAATGATTTGATGATTATGTATATAAATGACTGGCCCTTTTGCTAGGGCATTACGAACGGTAGCTAATACATATAACGCCGCCTTGCCAGTATCAGTTCACTCTTCACCAAGTTCATCGCTATCCACAGAGGTAGAAGTAGTCAAGTAGCAGCATCATCAGGCGCTGAGATTAGTACATATCTACCTAATAAACATGGAAACAGAAACCGACAAAATAACAACCCCGCAATGTAAAGTAAACCGTTCCCAATCAAGAAAATAAACCACGTCCCATGGAGGGAAAAAAGTCCAATTTTCGCCCTTGAAATATCCTTTTCCAACCCTTTCCCCGTGACAAAGTCGGCCTCAAAAGACCGACCGATAGTAAACAAAGAATTTTCTAAAGAGCGCGGTCAATGATGAATACATCATTGCACCAACCTAGACAGTATTCATAATAGAAACAATTGAAACAAGTCAAATCGACAGTCCAAACACCCACGCAGAATTGGTAGTGGAGAAAGCGCCTGTGGTTCAAATCGTCAAAAAAGAAAGTCAAGTGTTGAGTCACATGTTTAACGGCCCTGTTGTAAAGTTGATATACCCAACTTCATCATATCGGCACGACACGTTCTTGTCTATTCTGCAAGTAACGAGTGGCGCGGGCATGTCCCACCTGAATAACAGCCTTGGCCGACTCAAACAGGAAAGGGAACAGCTTCGGGAAGTAGCTGTAAAGCATTGCGCAGACCATAATCAGTAGCAAGGGAATCCAGACGAAGAAGAGCTTGCGATCGTTGCTGAGTCTCTTCAGCTTCTGCTCCCTGGCCCGCAGGAATTGATCTTGCTGTTCTTTGGTAATGGCATTCTTGCGTCCAATCTTGAGAACGCTAGGAACTTCCGGCTCCAAGCTCTCGGTAGAACTGCTAGCCATTGTGGGCTTGGTTCTACTCGCCCGCTTCTTCAATTTCGTTTTGGGAGCATCGTACAAGGCGGAGCACTTCATGTCGGCCTGGGCCTCGCAGGCGGCCTCTGCTGCAGCGCGCTGCTTTTCCTCAACGTCTTTGCGAGGGAAAATATCCTCGTACGCTGGTGGCGGGGGTGGTGCTGCTGAAGTGCTGCTCATATAAGACGACAAATCCCACCACCTGCCGTCCACCTTTGGTGAATCACCGCCAGCAGAGTCAGGCCTGGCACCTGACATGCCAGGCATGTACTGTTGCATGCGCTGGAAGTAGCCTTGGTAGTCTGGTAGCAAAGGCATCCCAGGCATCTGTGGAAGCTGCGGAATATGGGCGAGGTTTTGAAAATGCATACCCATGGTCTGCTGAAGCTGCTGGAGTTGTTGCTGGAACTGCTCCTTCAATGCGGCGGCCATGGCCGTAGGTGTCGAGCCTTCTGCCACCTCCGAGTCAACCATCTCGTCTGAATGATCCTTTTCGGCGTCCATCTCGCTGGCGCGTCTCATGCTGAGATAGCTGTTCTCATCTGGGTCTTCATCCTCAAAGTCGCCCGAAGTATATTCGGGACTTTCTTCGCCCGAGGCAATGGAAATCGGTCCATCATGGGTATTAGCTCGAGTAAGAGGCTCCCACAGCGATCTGACCGAGGTGGAGCTGCTGCTACGGCTGTGCATGGATCCACCGCTGCTCCGGGAACGAGCGTGGCGCTCAGAGTGACGAATGGCACGGATCACGGCGCGAGACTGCGCAACATCAGTAGCAGTGAGACCAGACAAACTACGGATGGTCGGATCAGCTCCACCGATGATGAGTCGACGAACAATCTCCGAGTGGCTTTGGATGGAGGCCATGTGTAGAGCGGTGAAGCCTCCCTTGTCGCGAGCATCTGGGTTGGCGCCGCGGGCGAGCAGGGCAGCGACGAAACGATGATAACCGAGCGAGCAAGCAAGATGGAGCATGGTGTGACCGGTAGACCTCTTTAGGTCAAGCTTAGTTCTGTGCGCGCTGTCATCAAGGTCAATCAGATCCAGGACCTTGAGCAATTGAGACTCGAGGTGCTCGTGAGAAGTATGGTTGAATTGAGTGCCGTTACCCGAAGGGCCACCAGAAGCGCCGCCAGTCCAGCCGCCAGAGCTGCTGCCATCGTTGAGGATCCTTCGTGCGAGATCACTTACATCCACCATCTGGCCAGACATCTTTTGCCCCAAGACCGAAAGCGCCGTTCTGATTAACTTGTCTTCGTTGTCGTCGACATATTTGAATGTTGGAGGTTGCTTGGCCATGGGGAAGTTCTGAGGCGGGACGCCTTGCAGCTTGAAGGTGACCGGGACGTTTCCGGAGACAGGTGAAGGTGGCAACAAGCAAACAAGAGATGATTCACCCCAGAAAGTGGTCGTGGTAGCTCGTTGATCGCCAAACCATACGTCAAGACCCTGAAAGAAAGCAGCCCCAAGAACAGTGACTTCGATACCGCCAATCTTGGGTCCCTCATTGGGAATAATCTTGTGAATGACTGGCGCCACACGGGGAACGCCGACAGGAGCAAAAAGACTGTTAGCAAGTGCAGCAAATTGATTCTGCTGGGCACTAGTTCGGAGACCGCTGGGACTGGGAGCACGGCTCGCATGGCTCGAGGCGGGAGCCGAGTACATGTTAGCCAACGCAAGATTGTCCATGCTGGCAGAGCGGTTATTGGCAAAGAAGTTGGCCTGTTCGTTGTTACTGTTGGGGGTAGGAGGACCAGTTGTAAAAGGCAATTGACCATTCTGCATCCCGAAGAGGTGTTCAGCTTGGTGGAAAGCAGAGGGAGGGCTAAATGGCGAGGTGACGTTCGATCTTTGACTTGCAACAGATTGCGTGGGCTGTGGCGAGGTGTCGAGCCGAGTCATCTCCAACCCGTTCGGTACTCGAGAGGTGCTTCCTTTTCTTCGCTTTGGCATAGGATGCCCCTGGCTTGGGGAGCTAGGTCTCGAGTGTGAACGGGCCAGTACCGTTGCTGTAGTCATGGTCGGCGTCGTTTTGCCCGAGTTGGAGCTGGCATAACCATTCTGCATCGACGACACATCACTTCCGGCCTGCGACATTCGAAAGTTGCCGTTGGGTACGGCCGCTACCATGGCATTGGCCTCGGTGCCTGGTGCAGAAGTGAGGGGAATTGATGAAGAGCTGACTGTATCAGACATGGCAGGCTGTGTGGTCAGTTGAGCCATGGGATGCGTCTTATGATCGTCGGTGATCATGATAGGGTTGGACATGGCTTGAGCAATGACGCGGTCTTGATGATCTTTGAGGGTGAAGATGACGTTGAAGCCCATCTTCTCTCCGTGATGCCGACAGTAGCAGGCGATGCGCATGGGTGCATCAATCTGCATGGTGCGATTGGAGACAACAGGTTCCGGTCGTCCATTGGAGTCGACCATGCCGCTCATGGGCTGCCACTCCTTGACTTCTTGGGTATTGAAAACAATAACACGGCGTTCTTCATCTTGGCTCCAGACCTTTTCCTCGTCGGGCTTCTTAATCTTCTTCCTGGCTGCCCTCTTTCGTTCCCGAGTAATGCAGCCCGCACATATGCGGACCTCGCCGCCGTTTTGGGGAGCGTTCTCTTCGTCATCAAGATCCGGAAGGCTGCCCTGTGGTTGTGTCCTGGCTCTCTCGAGAGCCTTCTTCTTCCATTCGGGATGTTCCATTGCGCTGGTGCAGACTAAGCTGACATGTAGTACAAGGGTATCGGGAGATGGCTCCGGTGTCGGCTTTGAGAGGAGTTTTGGCTTGGATATCGTATGCGCAGGAAGGTGGAGCTTAGTGACACCAGGAGGAAGTGGGGAGAGTGTCATCTTGATAGGAATCTGCGTCTCGACTCGGGATTTCAATGGTGTTGGCAAGATTCTGAGCTCGTAGCCGGTAAAATTGAAGGGAGGTGGATTAAGCATGGCCATTTGCTGAGCCCTTTGCCTAGCTTGAACCGCATGATTGGGCACAAACGAAGCCGGCGACGGCACACCGTCCGAAGCCGCGGCCACTTGCAGGTTGGGCTTAGTAGACCACATACTACCCTGACCCATCATCTGGAAGAACTCGGCCTTGACAGTTGCTGGTGGCGAGTGCAGAAAAGCTGTGGCTGGTGAAGAGTTGTGACTGGCGACTAAAGTTGACATGGGTGAGACTTCTCGAGAAAGTGATCGCTTGATGCCGTTTTGTGACGATGATACGGAATGTGTCTAAAGACGTTAGCAACTTGGTTTTGGTATAGTGTGGATTGATGGACTGACCGAAGCCTTCTTCTTGTGTGCTTGCGGTTTGAGCTTTGCGGACATGTTGTTGTTTTTATTGGGACTTGTCGACTTGATAGTGGGCATGCCGGGTGAGGGCATAGATACGGGGCCAGTAGAAAGAGCATCGGGACTGCTAGATGCGCTCTCAAAGTCAAAAGACTGGTCCATGAAGCTATCATCTTGTTCAGGGAAGCCGTAAAAGCCGTTGATGTCAGCTTGGCCTGTGCCAGCACCAAAGTTGAAAGTATTGTCATCATCGTCGTAATGAGTAAGGTTATTGCTTCCCCAGTCCATATTTATATGAGAGCCGTCGTCGTCCATGCTGGCATCACCGGCCGAGGTAGCAGGTGCTTTCGCGGGCGCGGAACCGAGTGCACGCTTGGAGGGCTCAGCGGACTCGGACGAGGAGTCCTGCGAGGAGCCGTTGGGCGAGTCAGGGAAGGGGCCGACAGCCAGCTGCTGGGGATTGAGGAAGGCGTCCTGGTCCTTGGAGCTGGTGATGGCGTCGAGGCTCTGGAGGGTATCGGGGCTGTTGGAGAAGTCGAAGAAGTTGGAGGCTCCGAGCTCATCGTCTGAAAAATCGTGGAACTCGCCGCTGGACGTGAGAGCTCCTGCAATCAGAGGGCTGCCGGCGCCAGGGCCACCAGCCGATGTCATGTCCGGGAGAGCGGAGCGTGAGCGGCGGCGGTGCTTGTCCGCTGCACCAGCGACTGTTGGAAAAATCTAAATGTGTCGTGTATTTGCGCTGAATCGAGGCGACGCCGTAAATTGGGGCTGAGAAGACGTAGAGAAGATTGTGTAATGGCGGTGTCGGTCGGCCGAGACACAGGGGACCGATATCAGTGAGGGGAGGCGGTTTGGTGTCGATGTGCCAGTAGCGTGATGGGATGCGGCAGACTAGGTAAATTTGGAGGACAATGTAGGTATCGACGGAAGCATCGTAACACGGACGGACAGTAAAGAACTCTCAAGCCGGTACATAGGCCGTTTCCGAAAAAGCGCGAGCGTAGTTTCAGGGGCAGGTGTCGTGGAAGAGTCGTCTGTAGCACAATTGACCAGGCGGCCAGGTTGGAAAAAAAAAAGAAAGCGGTAGCAGGATTGCAGGCAGGCCAAGGATCGGGTTCCGGGTGTGCGCAAGCGACTGTGCCGGGCCCACCGGAATGTATGTACCAAGTCGGCTCTAGAATTTGGACAGGAAAAGAGCTGCAACGTGGATGGCGATGTCGAAGAGCGACCGTGGCTGACGATGGCAAGATGTGTTGAGCGGGAGAAGCGACGAGAAGGAAAATAGACGAATAGCGAGACCTTGAGGGGGGAGGGGACCCGTTGAAGCGTGGAGGAAGTGACGGGAGGGTAGGTGGGATTTGCTGGGCCGCGCGCTATTACTACCACAGGCTAACTGGTATTGTCGCAGGCGCTGGCGGTGCTGCAGGGCGTTCACAGGCAGGCGTCTGCATCAAGTGTATCGCGGAGTTGCCTGGTCAAATTATACACCGCTACAGAATATAGAACCCACCTACCTGAATGCTTTACCCAAACACCAGTCGAATTCTCCCTGTGCAGATAATCATGGTGCTCGTGGCCTCCCTCTTCAAGGCCCTTTACAGCGCCAACGCCAACAGCCTACAACCTAGGTACCTAATAACACAGAGGCGGGCGTCGTGAACATGCTGCAGCCAAAGCGGGCCAGCAGAGCCCAAAGTACTTGAGCTCAAGGTACCGGGCTGATTACTGGAGCAGACCGAACTGCTGGCAAAGGAATAGAGTTTTCGCACTGTACATCTGAACTTATCAGCCGTTTGTTTGCTGTATCAGTACAGTGTGGAGGACAGTGCTTCAGCCGAAGAATCCTACCCACTTGTCCTATTCCAGCCAATGATGGTCAGCAAACCTGGTTCTTTGGCACATGACAGCCTACACATGCTAAGACAAACCACAACCAAGAGGGCAGTCGCGGTACCTTGTCTCCATGTCTCTCATGGAAAAAAAGCCCCCGCTCCGGCCAGCCCACAGGAGTCCAGCCTGAGTCCAGCTATTTACCTGAGGCTAGGTAGCCTTCGTCATGGCGCATTCGCCTAGCCTTCCTTTTCTTAATTGTTGGGAATGGTACCTGGAAGACAAGAATTCGTTCCTGGGATTGCCAGGCACATGGATTGCGTCGGTTTTCTTGTCACAAGCCCGAGGACATGCTTGCGCAAGCCGACCCCTCTTTCCTCTACCGCATCAAGACAGCGTGTCCTCATGTTTCCCGAGGTAAATTGTACTAGACGTACTTTGATGTCTCAATGACTCTTTAAGCCTCGCGTCGCAGGACGCATCTTTCTCAACGGATTTTAAGCATACGTACGTGACTGGCTGGGCGCATGCCTGGGCGGGGTCACTGTGTGGTGCACTGCCAGTCTGCCAGCACTGGTGGTGCAAGGCCAAGTCGACAAGGTACCAAGGTACATACATGTGAGTTTTGCCAGCAGCCCAATGCCACAAGAAACCAACCTAAATATCTATTTATTTACTGCGCGAGGCGAATAAGTACGCTAAAGCTACTCTAGCTTGTGCTGGGCTCAGATTAATCTGGCCTCATTTTCCAATCACAAGTTTCGTCGCCACTGTATTTATCGCCACTTGTGCCATCGCCCTACGCCCATGTTGCACTAGGTAGTGTGGTAGTTAACGAATACAGCAGTGGCTACCTGTAATTACGAAGTACCTTATGGCGCAACAGAAACGACACGCCACACGTCCGCTTCCGCGACATCCTGTGGCAGGAGGCTGGGACACAAAAATCGCCCTCTCCATCTCGTTGTGCTGATAACTGCAATGTATCTGTCCTAAGCCTGCTTTCTCTCAGCGCATATAACTCCTTGTGCGCTCGCCTAATGCATCACTGAAAAAAATAAAATAAAATAAACATGCCAATCTTTCTTTCCCTGTCCACACCAAGACCAATGAAAAGACCCCTATTCAATGCCCCATTTCACACCTAACCCACGCTCCATAACTAGCGTCTCCATAGACGACACTATCAGTACAGTCTACCGCAACCCGCCAGCCACTTCTGCTGAGGTCGACCTCTTCAAGGCACTCGAATATGACAGGCGTTCACATATATGAATCATGATATTTCCCTCACACCTTCTTTAACCCTCTCGGCCCGTCTGCTGGTCAATAGCGTCCTTCGACTGCGGCCGAATGCGCAAGCCGGACGGATCGATAAGCTTGCCGATCCGCTATCAGGTCGTGAGGGTCCGCCTCCTCGTTTCAGTTTCTTCGTACTGTGGCTCGAATTGCTTTTTCGGCGACTTCAGCGCCAGCCTCCTTGCCATTACTACAAGCTTCCTTGCCTGAGGATCTGGTGCTACGCAACACTGTACTGCCCACTGTGGCTATGCACTACCTGCTGTGACGTTTTCCATTGGCTAGCTTTTTGCTGCAATCTTGACTGCGACTTCGCCCGATCGCATGGCACTCAATACCAAAGACTGAAATATCACTCTTCGACTTCTTCAAGGCGCGATTGTGAATCTCAACAGCTTGCAGCGAGTCTATTAGACCATATATCGTTAAGGGGGACAACGTTCTGCTACTCTCAGGCAGACTTGGCTGATAGAGGGCTTAATGATCTCTGCAGAGGTTCTGAGAGGCTGGAAAATTTAGAAGCTTCTGAAAGACGATTTTGATGACTCGTCGTCTTTTATCCACGACTACATTCATGCCAATGCAGAAAGGCCTGCATTGGTACTGGAATGGGGCAGATCAGGTGCGGTTCGCTGCCCGTTGAGCTCGAGAATTGGCCGAAATCGCTGTGAACCAGAACCTTGGCGACGGGGGACAGTTCCAGAGATGGCAAAGCCGGGATGGGATTTTCATTCCGCATGATGCGCAATAGACTCCGGCTTGCCGTAAATGATACCATTTGACCAGTTCTTCAGCACAGTTTTTCCTCGTGAGCCAGAAAAGGTGTTGCACGGACGAGACCCAGTCTTGGAATAGTTAAGCTCGTCTTCCATAGCAGGCGTACAAGGACAAGCAGGAAGTTGCCCCCCATTTCTTATAGATAGCCATACTTGAACTAAGTTGATTCGCCTCTTCTTGAAAAAAGAACCTGAGGCTGTTACTCGCTTTTATTTTCCCTTTTCTCTCTCTGTATGGCGTAGTCAAGTAAGGGCCGCGATCCAGCTAGAGGAGTCTGGATTATTTGCCCAGAAAACGATTGCGCTGTTGCGCTGGCGGGTGCTCCCAAGACAGGCTGCGCTTTGCAGAATATCGAAATTTGGTATAACGATTCATTATTCAACTCAAGGTATATATCATTAGCTATTTTCCGGAATCTTCCGACATCACTTCTTGCCCGTGACCTTGCCATCACTTTGGTCCTCGGGCTCCTGCAACTCCTCTGGGTCAAATTCAACCAGAACGAGCCATAGCGACTTGTCTGAGAGGCCAAGACTCGTCTCTGCAGGCACCTTGAGACGTTCTATGTGAAGGTCGAGCGCCTGTAGCATGCCGGAAGCGCTGCCTTCCTTTCCAGAGCGCGCCACCGCAAGTAACTGCGCTGTCGGCAGTTGAAGCACATGGGCAAGACCTGGGGTGTCGACCAACTGGATGTGGAGACCTCGCTGATGAAGCCATTTCTTGTTTGCAACCACGTTGTACGCGTTGACTCTTTCTGCAGGCGTCTTTGGCTTCTTTGTGATGGCGCCGACGGCAGCGCCAGGCAATCGAGTCGCCGTGTCTACGGCGCCCAGCGCCGTCATGACGGGCAGGGAAACAGCGCCATGGATCAATGTCGCCGCGAGGCCAAAGATGTTGCCTCGCTTCGCGTGCTTGGCAATGTCCTTGCCCAAGGTCTTGCTGTGGCTGGCGATGCTCTTGCCAAAGTTTGTCGAATCCTGCGCAAAGTGCTTGGCCATGTCGCCGGCGTGGCTGACGGCCCGGTCACCGACCTTTGCGGTGAGAAAGGCGGAGACGGTATGCAAGAAGGAGATCCAGGACTGCTCTGTGATGCCGCGAGCGAGCAGGCAGGGCGGGTATGCGGCGACAAAGGGCGAAGAGGCATCAGGAACGACTTGCGGAATGGCAATTGGCTTCAGCGACGGGCGAACCTGTGATGTTCCTGGCGGAGGAGGAGGAAGCGCCGCAGCCGTAGCGCTGCTTGGGCCGGCGCCATCCGCAAAGACGGGCGGCACGGCGGCGTCAGTTGGGTGCGCCGAGTAGGCTGGCAGAGCCTCGTCTGTCGGGAAGTTGAACGGATCGTCAACAGTGGGCATGCCAACGCCAGCATGCGGCTCGCGACTGTCAGAAGCGGGGATAGCCTCTGCGGGCATCTCTTGGGGAGCTGGCCCTCGCTGCGCAAAGTTTGCCTTGTCCGATTTTGCCATGCGCTGAAGGTGGGCTGTAATAGCTTTGGGGGTATATGGGTTCGGTGCTTCGCTCCTGGGATAGCCTGTCAAGAGCCAAGTATCCTACAAGCAGATAAGCCGGGTGCCTTGAACAAAAAAAAAAGAGTCCTGAGCGGTGGTGACTTTGTGAAGTTTTTCTTGATGAGGCGAAGTCGCGAGGCTGTAGTGCGGAGGCTGTGCCTGATTCATCACCACCGTCATACGCCGATGTAAGATATGCTTGCCCGTTTAAGTGGGCATCTAAATATACAAGGTCGCATCGCTCCATCCGAAAGAAAAACAGACTACTAACAATTTTCAATATTATGATATGTCTTTGTACCTTTTCTATACAGCTGGAGGCAATGTGATGATGCAAAGGTGATGATATTGCTTTTGTGAAGCGCGCGCGCGTCATTGCGAGGGCGCCTTCGCAATGGTTTATTCATGACGAGCACGCAAAGCGACTGGGAAAGAAAGATCAAAACTGCGATAGGAACCCGATATGGAATTGATGATTTGAGATTTTGAATACAAGGGGAAACAAAAAGCCTTAGCCTGGGAATAAAAATAGGCGGTATTCAGCGCTGTATAAATCAAACCATAACCTGATAGTAAATCATCCCAACCCAATGCAAAAGAACCAGAACAAAAGAGTCATCAACGCCCAGTTTCTCTACTCCCACCAGTAGGCCGTGAAAAATCACCAAGCACGCCACAAATGCCCATTCATTATCAAGCGTATTCATCAGCAAAGTAAGCTTCGTTTGTAGTTCCTTCTCTTTCTCCTGCAGGCCCACATGGTCGCTCTCACATCAGAATATAAAGCGCACGAAGAGCTTTTTCTGCGGCAGCAACGTGCCAAGGCCTTACATCCGTCACACGATCGACTACCCCCCTAGCCCTTGCCAGAGTGCCCAGGCCCCTAAAATAGCTGAGCATCTCTCGTAGCAAAGGCTCATATGTGCGTGCCGACGCTTCTGTGTAGACGAGATTGACTTCCATGATGGACGGAACGTCTTCTGCTTTCGGGCCAGTGCGTTTGATAAGGTAGCCGCTGATGAGTGCTGGCTGAATGCTGGTGGTACCGACCGAGTTGTTCAACCGGTGATTAACGATAGCCCCCCAGGTCTGATCCATTACGTCCGCCAGCACGGAATCAACATCCGCATCGCCGTTGCTTTCACCGCCTGGTGTCGCAACGGCCCCGGTAGTATCTCGAGCAGGGGTCGCGGGTGCTGCGCTTGCTTCCGGTGATACAATATTAGCCTGCGGCGTAGATACAGGCGTCGTGTAAATCGAGAGTGGCTGCAAAGACATCTTGATCGGGGCAGGCACAAGCTGCAACGATGGATTTGTTTCGACAGTCATCACAATCATAGTAACGCTGGCATGCATTTCGGTACGAGCAAGATCAACCCAGAAGTCGATCTCGCCCTCGTCTGCTGGACCACACTTGGTCATAATGATCCGGTAGTGGACTTTCCAAGTTGATATCAGCTCGACAGTCGTTTGCCAAATCTCATGCGCAACATCGTTCATGGTTCGAGTTTCCGGCTCGCCCTTATGACCAAGACAGTAAGCCGCTGTAGCTTGTTCATTCCCTCGGTCATCAGTCCAGGCTGCCGTCACCCAGCGGCCGTCAATGCTCCGCGCGTAGGCGATATGAATGCAAGAGTTCTCTCTTGCCAGAGACGAAGACGGGGCGGGAGACAATTTGAAGTCAATGATGCGTGGTAATGGCTGCTCCAGCCGAATCGCTGGCGCAGGCATATTGCCTCCGAAAAGTGTACAGCGGTCATATGTCTCCATACAAAGCTTGACCAGATCTGAGGAGGGTGTGATAACCATAGATGTAGAGCTAGAAATTGCGTCGGCGGAAACGAGTTGAAGAACAATCTCGTTTTTGACCGACTCCCGCTTGGCTACAAGCGTCCTTCTGTATGACTCGAAGAATCTTTGAAAAGCCATGCATGCCTCAACGATTGTGCCGGGATTGCTAGTTGAGTACATAAAGTACACCACGACGTTCGTGTCGACGACTTCTAGATCTGACATGGCACCCGAAAGCGTTTCCATGCTTTCCAGCAGCGCAGAGCCATGCCCCATCATGGTCGCATCCGGGGCGGTTGAGATTCGGTCAACCCCGTACAGAAGAACGCCATCTTCCAGGCCTGCAGAGAGCGGCATGTTCTCAAAAGTCCCCAATTTCAGCGTTTCGTAAGTACTCTTCAGTCGACCCAGTAATACCTGCGCATTATCTATCATTCCAGTCCATTTTGGGCACACGCACACCGCACGTATGTCTTTGCTGCCGGAAGAGGGCGCAAGTCCTAGATTCTCCCAGAAAGTCACGGCGGTAGGTAGTAGTGACATTCTCACGTCTGCCCGACGCACTTCAAGATGCGGACATGGTATTTGATAGAGGTTACTGGGCTTGATGGGCTCCGAATTCGGGTCTTTTGAGGGAACCTGACGCGGCTGTACTCGGTTTCCTTGTCCAGTGAGCGAGCCGTCTTGAACTTCAAGTAGTGTCTTTAATCCAACAGGAGATATGGTTCCAAGAAATGAAGAAGCCGCGTCGCGGAGCGCTTGCAAGGCGCAGCGGGTACTCGTAAGCTGCTCGATTCGGGCGTCTTCCTCTGTGGCAGTGGACAGGGCATTATCGGAGTGACCGCTGAATATAGACAATGATCCTGCTGCTGCTTGCTCTGCCACAAGCTGTGCCACTTGAATCATATCCTCATCACTGAGGGAAATATCCAACGATAGAGGCTCGGGATCAGTGAAATACCTGAAGAGGGGTGTGTCCGGCCCATCTAAAAGAGATAGTCGAGGCAATTCCAGAGCTAGTTGCTCGTCTGGTTCTTCAGCCAGATCTTGGTCTCTACCTGTAGTGACATACGAGGCCGCGTCATCGTCGCCCAAGATAGACTGTTTCACTGTCGATTTGACAGGTGATACGGGTTCTTTGACAGACAGGTTTGATGCAACGTCTGAATCGCTGCTTGAGTCGTCTCCATCAGAAATATCGCCATCCAAGTTCAGAAGCCGATGGTCTAGCAGCTGGGTATCGGGATCAGTGGTCGACTTCACTATCGATGGCCGTCGCGAATCAGCTTGCTGCTTGGCTCTTGTTTTGCCGTGGCGTCGCAAATAATCTGTCTTTGGGAGCGTACCAGGCTCCAGCTTGTCTGTATCTGTGGCATTTGGCACAAAGTCAAAGAGCCCGCCATGCTCGTATTTTTTATTGAGCATTGGCATCTTCGAGTCAAAGTCAACTTTTTCGAAAACCTTGATTCCTCTGTTCAAGCCGACACCATAAGCCCCTCGGGGAGTTCGTTGTGACGCAGCAGCTCGAAGCCTTTTGAAGACACTGTCGGGATCAAAGGGGCTCGAGCCGCGCTTGGCAGACTTCGCTGGGTGATCCCGGCCCCTTTGTGGCGCGTCCTCTGGCTGCGAGCTCCTCGCATGTTTAAGCTCGGGTTTGGCAAATACTGCCGACTCCGCTGACGGCGGTGCATTGATAGATGCCGATGCAACTGGCTCTTCGGCATTGATCGGAAGTGCACTTGGGACACGAGACCCCTTGATGCTATCGAAAGACATGTCCATGCCCATTTCATCGGGTTGTTCGTCAAAGAAACTGAAGTCTGCTTCGGTGATATCATTATCACCAAACATATCTCCACCCATATCTTCGAACATGTTTTCTGCTTCACTGAGCAGATTGTTATCTGACCGAAGTGGCTTTCCGTCTGCTGCCTCGGTCATCTCGTCATCATTTTGGTGTACCGAATTCTCTTCGCCAGGTGGTTCACAGTCAATATCGACGTCAGCTACGACCGAGAGCGGATGTCCGGGACTTGAGAGATTACCATCCATTGATGGAGTCACGCCATTTAGGTTTTGGATAGCATCGGGTGGTGTCGGGTACACGGCGTTGCCACCTGTCGTGCTCGGTCGTCGCATCGTCACTGGAGATGGGGCATTTATTTTTCCCAAACGCGTATCAACAGCCGGATTTTCCTTGGCCCCTGCAGCAGATCGCTCTGCGTGCCGCTTGGAGATTCTTTCTTCTCGCTCGTTTGCCGAGCTGAGCCATCCGCGCGCATCTCCGAGCGGGTCATGTGTTTCGTCGTGACCGACTACAATCGTGTCACTGATGCGATTCGTGGCCGAGAGCTCGACAGCCTTTTTCCGGAAGCACAGCGATCCGGGCCAAGGTATGCTAATCGTGGAATGTGCAGCACGTCCGTTTTCCGGTTTGGTGTCCTGAAGTTTTGGCTTGGAAACAAGCAAGTTCACCCAAGAGCACTCACGCAGCGCAGCTCCTGGAACCCCGCGGAGTTGAAAGATAGCCAAGCATGCTTGCTTCCAGAGTGAACTATTGGCATTCGAAGGTGATCTTTGCGCTAGAGTCTGGATAGTAGGGGTATGAGCCAGAGGGGCCCCTGTCGAGTGAGATGAGGGCGATTGTTCCTCGTTCGTCATGACACCAAAAGGTGCCGCAAGTATGTTGTTTCCGATGGGATTTGAATTGGAGCTCAGAATATCTTCCAAGCTCGCTAACCAAGGGCACACAGTCACAGAGAACGACAGTATCAATGACCCCGTGCTGATCATGTAGCATTTCAGAGTACCCAAGACTTGGGCTTGCTCGCCTATCCATCGGTCTGTGGCACTCTCGGAAGCTTTTAGGGCAGGGAGAAGCACAGTTCGGAAATTTAGAGGCACAGCGTCTGATTTAGAGCAAAAGCTAGAACAGATCGTCAACAGAAGAGCCCCAATGAACGATTCGTAGAGTACTCTCGGAGTGAATCCATTTGATTGCCGCAGCTCTGTCTCTTCTGTGATCGCTGTCGCTTCTTGATCCTGCTGAGAGCCAGTAAGTTGCAATTGCGCGGCGTGGCCAGACGAAGTTTGATTTGGCCTGTGGGTGGGCGGCTCTGGAGCAAGGCTTTTGTGCCACTGGGATGGCTCCATAGATCCATGCTTCGTAGACATCAAGAGGTGGTCATTTACAACAGCTGTCGCGCCGAGTTCTGCCGGACCCTGTGACTCTGCACCGACAGAGCGTCGGATATGAAAATACCACAGACCTCGCCGTGTCGCATCGAATGAGACAATACGGCCCTGCTCTCTGAGACTTGTCTCTATTCCAAGAGCGTTCGAGAAGAATGTTTGCTTTGAATCTGCGGAGGGCTCGTAGAATCGATACGCGACGCTCGCAATGTTGCTCTAGTAGTCTGTTAGTTTCTGGCACACAGCACTTCTCCTCTTTTGATCAACTACGCAGACTTACAACGAGGAGAACATTTGTCTCAGAATCCACGGTATCCATGTTAGCCAGCGCTGATTGCGACCGCCAAGGATGTGGCGACGAGGGATTGACGGTCGATCTCCGAGGCCTGAGGCTCTCGCGAGTGGCAGGACGACACCACTAGAGCCGACAATGCTGAGGCTGACGCAAGATCTCGAGATTTGAAACTGGATAGCACACGTTGTCATCTCGAGAAGCTCGACTCCATCTCAGCAACTCTGTCACCGGCTTCCGCGAAACGGTGAGGCCGATGGCGCACGGAGTGCGCTGATTGCCTACGAGTCCACCGTCGAAGCTCGGGCGCGGTTCAGGCCAATGATATCGAGGCAGGTTTTGATTGTGATATCGGAGTCTCTGCGCATCTGCCAACTCGAATTTGTGCGCTGTTGACAAGCGGCGTGGACGCTCGCGAAAGATGACGAGATGCAAATAGGCATACGGAAGCTGGCAGGGGCCCTTATTAGCGGAGTCCGGCTCAGCCCAGGCGACCGACCATCTGCTTGCAACTGCTTGCAACTGCTTGCACAACCATCTGTGGGGTTTGGCGGAACCGCAGAGAAGTGGGGCGGACATTTTTTTTCTTCTGCTTGTCGATAAGGCCGGTCAAATTTATTTTTCTATTGGGCTCTCTCAGACATCTAATATTGGTTTTTCTTTCTGTCGCGGCATTTCAAGTTCGCTATGAAGCTCTCAAATCCAGGCACGGTCACCGTGTATACTATATCGGGCTCCAACACGGCGCGACAGTTACCGGAATGGCTTGCCCGTCGCAGAAAACGAAGCTTGAAGAACGATGCCGAGTACCAAAGCCGGGTCGAGTTGCTGCAGGATTTCGAATTTGAGGAGGCTAGTTCTTGTATTCGCATCAGTGAAGATGGAGACTGGGTGATGAGCACCGGTACATATAAACCTCAAATTCACGTTCACAACCTGCCGCAGCTTGGTCTTTCTTTCGCTCGCCACACCAACTCCCTCAACCACAGCTTCGTCCTTCTTTCAACCGACTATTCCAAATCTCTGCACCTGCAGACCGATCGCAGAATAGAATTTCACACGCCCATGGGCTGCCACTACGAAGTCCGCTTGCCCCGATACGGCCGAGATATCAAATACGATCGAAACGCTGCCGAAGCGCTCATCCCTGCCGTCGGCATTGATGCTGACGGCAAGGGCGAAGTCTTCCGCATGAACCTGGAGGCGGGTCGTTTTATGAAATCATACCAAATTGAGGTCGGTGGTGATGATGAGCTTACCGGCGGTGGCCTCCAGGGTGGAATTCATGTGGGCAGCGTCAATGTAGCAGCAATTGCCGAGCGCTCGCACAATTTACTGGCTTTTGGCACCTCCATCGGTACAGTCGAGTTTTGGGATCCTCGCTCCAAATCAAGAGTCGCCTTGCTTGCTGGTCATGATGGAGAGGTTACAGCGCTCGACTTTAACGAGTCTGGTTTATCTTTGGCAACTGGGTCAAGTACTGGCATGGTTCAACTTTTCGACCTCCGTCGGCCCACTCCCATGCTGAGGAAGGATCATGGCTATGGCTTCCCGGTACAGAATCTGAAGCATATGACCACTTCGTCTCAAGAAAAGAAGGTCATGTCGGCAGATAAGCGCATTATCAAGATTTGGGACGAGAAAGACGGCGAACCTTGGACGTCAGTCGAGCCCGCTGTCGACCTCAACGATGTTGCCTGGTGCAAGGATAGTGGTATGCTTCTCACTGCCAACGAAGGTCCCCAACAGCATGCCTTTTTTGTGCCTCAGCTTGGTCCCGCACCAAAATGGTGCTCCTTCTTGGACAACATGGTTGAGGAGATGGCGGAGGAAGTCCGCACAGAAACATACGACAACTACAAGTTCTTATCGCTACCCGAGCTGAAGCAACTCAGCTTGGATCATCTAGTTGGAAAGAGCAACCTACTGCGGCCCTATATGCACGGTTACTTTGTTGCCTCCAAGCTTTACGAGCAAGCCAAACTTATTGCAAACCCCTACGCGTTCGAGGAGGAGAGGACGAGGCGCGTCAAGGAGAAGATTGAAAAGGAGCGCGCTAGCAGAATTAGAGGCAGCAAAAAGGTCAAGGTCAATCAACGAGTCGTTGACAGACTTCTCAAGAAGCAAGAGAACAGAGGCGAGGTCGATACCAAGGCCGGATTGCTCGGCGACTCCCGTTTCAGCAAGCTTTTCGAGGACGAAGAATACAAGGTCGACGAGACCAGCCGAGAATTTCAGGTCCTTAATCCTAGCACCGTTGTCGAGCCTGACCAGCAGCCCGATCCCAAGGCCCCCAAAAGATATCAAGCGAAGGACTCTGATGATGAGTCTAGCGATGACGAAATTCGCGCAGCTCCTAAGCAAACGGCCGACGTTACCATGCGCGTCTCCTCCACACAAAACCATGGACGACCGCTCAAGGACACCAGTCTGGGGTCAAGGCAATCCGGGCCAGGCCGTCATTCCAAATCCCGCGGTGAAGTTGTTGGCGATCGCGAAGTCACCTTTGTCCCCAAGTCAAAGAAGAAGCACCAGGAAGAGGTACCTGAAAAGCCACAAAGACAATCCAATGCCGGAAGGCGGAGTGCCAGCTCCAACACATTCCGCAAGATGTGATTCAATATTTTCACTGGCAACGAAGCTATATGTACATGTATCGTTTGGAAAGAACATTTGTCTCGGGATCTCCTCCCACCAATGAAGCACTCTCTCAGCAGGCATCCGCGAATACCCGAACCGAGTTCTATCATCACCAGTCTCGCCTTCCGATTTCTATCTTCGCGATTTCTTTCCCTTTTCTTTTTGAGCGATTCCCTTCTCCAGATCTTCGGTGGATATCTTTACTATACCGTCTCTGCTGTCTGCTGTCTGCAGGCGGCTTGATTTTGGTGCTGCGACGGAGCGTTTGACCGACTCCGGGAATTGTGACCTGCGTGGGGTGAGGGCCGTAGCCACTCTTCGTGCCGATCGTCGAAGGGTTTCGCGGACTTTCCATTCCCGCTTCTTGGCGATGAAGAATAGACTGGCGGTGGACACTGTGTTGCAGTTGTTAGCATCACGATGGTGGAAGCATCAGCGCGTCATCAACATACCACCAATAATAACAACGACGACTACAACAATGATGATGGCAATCATGCCTCCTGTCGACAGGGTGATTGAATTTTTCGAGCTGTCGCCAGCTGCACCGGCCTCGGTTCCGGAATCGACTCCCGGAGCAACGCCTCTTCCAGCATTGGTGTAAGACTTTGTTGGAAGCAGAAAACTAGCTGCGGTATTGGACATGGTGTTCGTGGAGTAGGAAGGCACTGGGTTGCGTCACAAGGTATTGGCTGGCCAGAAGCACATGGGTATCTACTTCCAACGTTCTCGATGAAAAAGGAACAATTTAAAAGGAGATTCAAATAGATATAGAAGCAGACGAGAGTCAGCAATGCATTTATCCACTATGCAGCCACCTGCAGGGACCTGGTAGGCGCTCAGTGCCTGGCCAGTGTAAGTTGCGGCTCGCCCCTCACACGACGTGACGTGCATGCATGCTGCAATGCCGGTACTACGTGCGAGTCAAAGCAAAGGACTACCAATAGCGATCGAAGAGGGACACAAAAAGGAGAAGCATCTCATAGACCCCATCTCCGTCCCACGCCGGTATTTTGCTGATTGGTGCAACTGCGATCCACACCATCGTGAAGCGCTGAGTTGGGCGCTTAGAAGTTTTGCATCTAGCCAATCGCGTGCAAGACACGGCCTACAACGCTCCCCAGAGCTCGGCATGTAGCCACTAGCTCTGTGATATTTATGAATAGCGTACAGCGTGGCAGAATAAGCCTATCCCTTTGCGATTGTCTCGGAGATCAGTGACCCCAGAATTTCCTCTTCAACGAAGATGCCATCTTCGGCCAGCCAAGTATGCGACTGAGTCTTTGGCTCCCGCATGGCCAATGTATTCTCCGGTTGGTGCTAGGCAAATGACGTAGTCTTGCCTTTTCAAGACATTCTGGAGCATGGCTCTAGAGATCCTCGTCACCTCAACGGCGATTTGCACAATGCCTGTTGACATTCACATCGCAACATCTAGTTCAGAATTCATCTCATATAGCGTCTGCAAATCCGCATTCTGTTAGGGACGTAGAACGAGATTCTCCGTCAAGGTTGCGGCCCGGTGCTCTGACGGATGGATAGCGCACCGTGGGCAGCGTACGATTTGACGGACACAAGCTCAACTTCACCACGACCAACGTCACCATCTGTAATTCTAAAGCACCGAATGCTTAAAGTATTACCTGCAACTCAGATGCGAGGTGCCGAGAATCAGGCTGCCTCAGTGACATCTCGGCCTAGTGCGTGGCGTTCCAATACGAGACGACAAAAGAGAGTCGACACTCGCTAAGAGACGAGGTTCATAAGCGGAGCTGCGAGAGCTTCAAATGATGTGAAACAAGGAAAGAGCGCAGATGCCGTGTCTTGAAATTGAGTAGGTACTTATGACTGGTGGGAACTGCCACTTGCAGTTGTTGGTGGCCCATCCTGCCGGCTGCCAGCTGCCAGCTGTCAGCGTTGCTGCTTTGGCTCCAACAGCAAGAGGTTCAAAAGCTCGCGACCGAATATACGTCGATATTTCAGTACTTTTATCGAATCGATGCAAATCTTATACAAGGAAAACTTCACGCCCATAGTGTCAGTCAAACGCCCGACACCAGTCCTTCAAGACATCTTTTGTACATGTCCCCCGCAATCTGTGCAGCGCTGACACTCATCCGTAACGATGGCATCTCTTTTCCGGCTACCTCCTGAGATGATTTCGGATGACGACCTTGCTAGAGGGTTCTCGTTTGATGCCCGACAAGCGAATAAGCAGGGCCAGTTTTCTGGCCTAGTCCCCAAAAACATCGTGCTAGGCTTGCAGTCAGCCGACCAAACAGCCTCGGCACCGCCAGCGATATCTCCTAAACATCGATTTGGCATACCGTTCCCCGTGGTAGAGTTCACTTCTAACTTTCAAAGAGAAGCGGCAAAAACTCATTACCCCTCCCCTCGCGTCAATGATCAAGCCCAAGGCAGTGCAAACGGAAACCTGAGTATTTCTTCACACCTTGCTCACGAGAGCAATCAAGACGATTCAGTGCCGGTAGATGTGGTCCAACCCACGAAACTTTCGAGTGATGCGCCCCAGCAGTCTGTTGCAACTGACAACGAGAGCTGCAGCCCGTCCTCTCGAAGATGCGATGATCAAGATCTTGACCCGTCACCAATGGACAGGCAAGGCAGACCCCTTCCCAGTCTTAAAACTTCATCCAATACGAGCGAGACTATTGTGAGGAGCCAAGTCAAGCCTCAAAAAAGAAAATATATCCAAAGAGATGATGCCAACTCTCGAACGCCGCCGATCTGCGGAGATCTAGAAGGATTCGATATTTACGAGGCCTCAAATGCAACCCGAACACCCCCAAGCCAGGTCAAAGGGATTCGTGGAAGTCAATCTCGGACTCACTCGGTCGACATCGAGAGCTCGATCACCCGCCGCACCCACTCAAGGGCTAGCAATATGTCGCGCAAAAGATCGCGCGGCCTTACAGATCACCAAACTCACGAACCAGATCGAAAGCGTCTTGCCATGACCGAGGCAGTCAAACATTGGAACGAGTGCATACAACTTACAACTGAAGAATCCGACCGAGCCAGGTCTACTATACACAGCCTGAAGAAGAAGCTGCAGTCCCAGGCGAACAAACTTCAAGTTGCACAAAATGCTTTGCAGCAGGGCGACACTAGCCTTCGAACTCTGAAAAAGCAATACGAAGACTTAAAAGAAAAAGATGTTCGAGCCTCAGAGGACAAGAGGGACCTTGAGGCTAAATTCATTGAGCTAAATGTCGATTACGGAAAACTTCAAAACCAGATCAGGGAAATGTCCACTAAATACAACAACTGCGAAGACAAATTGAACATGGCCATTTCTGAACAGCGCGATCTCTTCAACAAGTCAAAAGACTTTTATAACGGCTTAAATAATAAGATGAAACAGGATGAGGCACAAGGAAAGGCCGACGCAGAGGCTGTAGAGCAGGCGCTACAGAGCAGTAAGCAGAAGCGCGAAGAACTTAAAAACTTTGTCGATAAAATCAAACAAGTTTATGAGCGCGAAAAGCTGGAGTGTATGTGAGTTTGTTTGGTTTTTCGCATAATCCCCTCTCACAGAAAAACACAGATGAATACAGGATCAAATCTCTCGAGGAAGAAAATGAAGCTCAGTGCGACCATATCGGTGAACTCGAAGAAGACAAGTTGAGATATCATAACGAAATTGTTTCTTATGGCTCTACGAAAGCATGCATCGAGAACGTCAGCTCTCAATTATCTGGCTTCGCCACCCAGCTTCGAGCTCTAGATGCATCTCAGGACACCACAGCCATTGAGCTGAGAAGTGTAACGACAAGGTATGTTTTCTTCTTATCATATCTACTCCGGAGAGTTCGAAAATGCTCAAAACTTTCAGAGTCGACGATCTACCAGGCAGCCGTGACTTTTCCGACTTGAAGCAGCAGGTCTTAGGCTCACATGCCAGACTCAGCGACTTGGAAGCGCTCATACAGAAAAGGTGTGTGGTTACACATAATATGCTTCTGACAGCATGTTGACTTTGAAACAGTCTGTTACCGGTAATTGAAGGCATCGCTTCGAAACAGTCCGAATCTCAAATATCCGTGAATTCGCTGGCAATGGCAGTCGAACGCGGATTCACAAAGCTCCAAGAGCATATTCAGAATTGTGCAGTCAATCTGAGTAAAACGATCAGAAACAGTAACGACTCCCATGCAGAGCTTGTAGACTTGCTCACATTGATATCCGCCGGTAATGGAGATGTGTCAAGCAGGGTGGAGGCAGTGAGCAGCCGCTTGGAGAGCCTTGTCGAGCAGACTTCACCTCAAGGCATTATCGGTACAAGTATTGCAAACATACTTGCTTCGACGCAAGGCTTAGCCGAGAATAGTGACAAGATCAGTTTTGCTCAGGAAAAGGCCCAAGAGGAGGCGCAGCGACTACACGAAGCACTTACAGGGCAAATGGATGCAAAGTTTCTCCATCACGAGGCCGTCTCGCAGAAGCTGTTGAATGGCTTAAAGGAAAGTTTCAACATTAGTTTAGCTAGGCTGAAAACAAATATCGCGCCAGAGAGTGGACAACGAGCCAATGGGGGCAAATCCGCCCATATTAACGGTAAAATGCTGAAAGATATCGAAACGATGCGATCAAATCTACAGCAGGTCGAATCGCAGCTCTCTAAGATCGACGATGTGCCCTTGTCACTTCAGAAGATCTACGACTTGAGCGTTTTGATACAAAAGACGTCCAAATACATGGACAAAGAGGAACAGTGGGTTCAGCAAACCATGGCCGATCGGCAAATGCACTCGGATGGCTCCGGTACGACAGACTGCCGGATATCAAGCAGCCAGTCATCTACGCCCCCGAGCACCGAATCCGGCATCGGCTGTCGAGAAACCCCAAGCGACGAAGCATGTGAGAGCCAAACTCGGAAAGTTGTTGTGCATAGCCCGAGGCCTGAAGGCTATTCGCCGCTCCCAGTTACCACGGCTCAAGAGCAGCGGCGCAGAAGAGAGTCGGCAAGGCCAAGATCAATCTTGAAACAGTCCCAGCACAACCATTTTGCGGTCAAAGGCCTAGCTACTTCCGCTCGCAGCAGCTTCCACACATCAGAAGAGGTAATTGCAGATATTCGATCAGTTTTAGTGCAGTCTCCCCCGTCAGGGTTCCCGTCATCACATCGAAGCACTGGACTAACGCCAATCACGGAGTACCTGAGGTTGAACAAAGCTACTAATAAAAGTATGGGAGTTGTGCTTGGAGACTTGGCAGACGCAGAATTGGCTTCAGGTCATACCGTCACAGCCGCAGATATAACAGCGACAATCTGAAAAGGGTAAACGATTTAATCAGAAGACGGACAAGTGGGATTCGTATTGCGCAATTTGCTTGTATTTGCTTCTTCACTTAGCTTACTGCATCAACTGATAAAAAGAGGACAGAGTGTCCGAATTCAGTGTTTTATTTCCAAACTCCATTTTATCGTGTGAACAGCATATCTCAACACATAAATACACAGCGCACAAGGCGCAAGTAGGCCATCCGTTAACTCCAGGTATGCGTGTGTTATAATACAGCGCGACGACTCATCCCGATGGACGGCGCGGCAAGTCAATGCTTGCCAAGTATGGTCTTGGTCGCGAATTCGACCGGTGGGGGGGCGAATTGAGGGGTGTCTGATTATAGGGTAGACTCGATTGCGAAGTAAAAGAGAAGGTTGTGTCATTTATTTGCCCTTTCGCTTAGATTCGAGAAAGAGGACCTTCTTGCGCACTGTACAGAAAATTTGTTAGTCGAGGGAGCCGCCGGATGAGGCATTGCCTCCATGAAGTTCCTGTCTGTCCCGTACCAATTGGATCGTATTTCAGCAGTCCCATTGGCAGCGCCGTGCGCGGGCGCTTGAACGTGTAAAAGAAGCCCGTCATGGCCATGGAGAGGAGGCGCACGTGGATCAGACGACTCTTGGCTGCAGCGCGGTTATATTAGCGATCAGGACGGAATCGGTTATCGAAACGGTATTTTATTAGGGGCTTTCGGCGGCGGATGGGATGTCGGGGAAGAAAATTCACACCTTTCTTGGCCATTTTTGCGGTGATTTGGCGTCGAGAGCGAATGGTGTCGCATGAGAGAGGTTTCGGCTCTAGATACCAGGGGAGGTGTACAGTTTAGTCGGAAAAAGTGTAGAGCCGGCATTCCGGACGGCGTGTCACCACATATTAGATCAGGTAGATTCGTAGCTACTGCTCGTTGGCAATGATGGCTCAAATTATCGTGACGGGTGATAACTAATTTTACTGATTATACGGAAGAATTTGCCATCCAGATTCAAGGGCGTAATACAGAAGCATCGTTGGTGGTGACATGATGCTATGCTGCCCCAGTCACTGAGTGCTTCCGAGACTCTTTCCCCACCCAAACCAACGAATCTCAAGACTTTCGAGCATTGCCAAAGTCGGCGCCCGACCAGCTCAACTCGCCGGATCTTGCGCCCTTGGAAAGCCTGCACCCCGCCCAGCTCGAGACATCATGGCCGCCGCCGCTGATAATGACGCCCGCAAGGACCGCATCATGTCGCACATGAACAGCGACCACACGCGCGAGATGAGCACCTACCTGCGGTACTACAACAGCCTCTCCGCGCGGCAGGCCGCCCGCCCCTCAATGCGCGACGTCTCGCTCGACGCTATGCGCATCCGCGCCGGCGGCCTCGACTACACCGTGCCCTTTACCCCGCCGCTCACGAGCTGGAACGAGATGCGGCCGCGCCTCGTCGAGATGGACGCCGTCGCCCGCCGCGCGCTTGGCCTCTCCGACATCGCCGTCACCGCGTACGTACCCCCGCGGCCGGGCCACTGGGTCATCCTGCTAGCTGTCACGTTTTACTTTGTCAGCGCAGCGTCGCTGCCGTGGCTCGTCCCGGGCTCGGTCGCCTGGGGTCTGCTTGACAGGGGCTTTCCGGGGGGCGCCGCCGCGTTTCGCTGGCTGGTCAAGGTCCTCTTGGTGCCCGTCTTGGGCATTCACGTTGCCGAGTGCTATTTTCTCGATAATCTCCGTCTCAGACGCCACGGCGTCGAACGGTTCACGGGCTTGTGGCTCCTGTGGGAAGCGAGCTGCTTTCTGGAGGGTCTCATGGTGTGGCGTCGCTTTGACGAGCTGGTTGCGGAAAAGCAAAAGGAAAAGGACGCCAAGAAGCATTAGTCGGTGCGCAATTTTACACGTCATTAGCGAGCATTATCAAGTCAGTTCGACAAGAGCGTTTCAGCCTCTCTCTCTCCTCTCTCTCAATAATCGTCATCATATCTATCATAGGTGCCCTGCATTGCCTGCGTGCTCACCCACTCCTCGCTTGCCAGTCCTTCTCTGAATCTTTCTTCCAAATCTTCGGCATCCTTGTCAAAGTCACACGCGAAATCACACTCTGGTATTTCGGTTTCACCAAAATATTTGCAAATTTCGGCGTGACGGCACGACTTTATGTTTTCGCAGTAAAGTGCGAGCGCTTGTAAGCTGCTAAGCCGTGCTTGATAGCTTGTTCCGTCTTTTGGGTCTCCCTTTACCATTCGCGTGACTCGCTCCAGATCTTCGCGGCTATAATACAAGAAGCAGTAGCTCGCGTTGCCATCTCGCCCGGCACGGCCTGCTTCTTGGTAGTAGCCCTCGAATGACTTTGGCAGTCGCCAATGCACGACAAACCGTACATTATTCTTGTCGATGCCCATGCCGAACGCAGTCGTAGCTACGATGATATCGTAGCCCTGCTCGTTGTGGATCCATCGATTGAGGGTATCTTCTTTAACATCTTTCGGCAGCTTGGCATGGAATGGCCGTGCGCCGATGCCTTGGGCTCGGAGCGCAGCCGAAAGCGTCTCACATTCGTCCCGAGATATCGTATAGATAATTCCCGGCACATTTTTAACCCTCTCTTCTAATTGTCGTAGTTCTTCTTTGCGTGGTTCCGCCCTGCGACGATCGTACACTGATTGCAGCCATGCTACAAAGTCTGATAACCGATTGTCATCTTCATCTTTCGTGTATCGTATCTCTATATGCAGGTTCGCTCGCGAAGGACTCATCAAAAATGACTTTATCCTTTCTGGGGTGCTGTCCAGTCGCAAGACACCAAGTATATCCTGACGCACTCGGGGATTTGCCGTGGCCGTCAAACACATGATGGGCACCGTTGGGAATGTTTCGCGGAACCAGGAGAGACGTTTGAAATCTTTTCGAAAATCATGCCCCCATTCGGATATACAGTGTGCTTCGTCGATTGCAACTCGAGCAAGCTCTTTTTGTTCGTGTACTTTCTGCAGGCGCTCACGAAAGCGCAAGCCGGAGCATAGTTCTGGCGTGACGTACAGAAGCCGCGTCAATGGATGACCTGTTTCTAAATCCCGATGTATGCGCTCCTTTTCGGGGTACGGAGTATTACTATTCAAAGCGCTTGCGTTGATTCCAGAGGCGCGCAACGCTTCAACTTGGTTGATCTAGAAAAGTCAGATCCGTGGCTCTCTTCGTCAATACAGTCAGTACTCACCATCAATGACAAAAGTGGTGATACCACGACCGTGACTAGAAATGGTCAGTATGTATTCTGTTCCGTAATAATGAGCACACTTACTGCCAGTGTCAATCACTGCCGGGAGCTGGAAACATAAACTCTTGCCGAACGAGGTGGCAGCCTGCACATAAATGTCGAATCCAGCCAAGGCTGCCTCAATAATTTCGCGCTGCTTTGGCCTGGAGTATTCGGTTAACCTCCATTATATTTATTTGAGCTCTTTGAAGTACCTAAAATCTGGCTTGCCAAATTGGCGCCGGAGCGTGAAGCCAATGTCGGTGCATGAGTTGGTCCTTTGTAGTGTAGGCATTGCTTCGTGGCTACTGATGCATTTGGCGATCGAGATTTGTCAATATCTATTCCGACGTATCTGCGTCTGGTAAGGTGGAAGTATCCCGTCTATCGCCCATTGTCTTATTCATCGCGTCGACATGGTTGCAGGTTGTAGTATGCAAGCAGACCGTTAGTGCATAACGTCGTGCAAGCCCCGAAGCTCCCTGGTCCACCCCATCATGTGTGTAGGTAGGTAGGTTGATTGCCGGCATCCACGCAGAAAAGTAAAATTCTCTGGGTCATCAAGCGGCCCTTACAGTATCGCAATAATTGCTGTTGTAACTCGAAATTTTTGCCGTCCAAGACACGTCCAAGACGAAAAGCTGCAACTGCATTGGCCGCCCGAGGCATTGATGGAGTTACTACCTACAGGACAAGGATCATGGTCTATAATTAACACTCTATATACTGGAGCAAAAACGCCAATTGTTTCAACTGTCAAACGAAAAGAAAAATGGTTTCCATCTGTTTTAGTCGCGGCTGCCTTCAACGGCCTCCCGCAGTAGATATAATGGCTGGCACTGTACAATACTCACCAAGTTGGCCAAGGTCACACCAATCATCCACGCAAGCAAGCACAGCGCTAGAGCTACTGATCGCACTGTACAATCCACTCCTGCAGCTTGAAAGGGCATCTGAGCCTGACTAAGAGATTGTTCACGAGTGCAAGTCTGGAGATGTTGCTGTCGTCGCGCCTCATTATCCTCAAGCCTGCTTGATTTCGCGACTCGTCTTTCTCGCAGTACCTATCCGGCCCATTGCACGGCTCTACAGTAGCGTCCTGTCCACGCGGCGCCACCGTAAACAGCCAGGGGACATACCACTCCGCCAATCTCGCCATCCCTTCAACGGGCACAGCACTCTTTCTACAGCAGCTCGATTCCATCCAACCGATCATGCACGACTGATTTCGCCCGGCTTCACCTTGACAGCCTCTCAGACATCGGCTTCCGACCATAGTTTTTTCCGACTTATCTGTGTGTTTGAGACTGAGAAAGCCTGGAGTCTGCGCGACAGAGGGGCTTCTCCTGAAACATTGCCGCGCCTGCCCATCCTCACCGAAACTTTTTTGGCACTTGATCAACGGGCCGCACTAGAGACCAATCCGTGCTGCCTTGCCGCCTTGAAACGCGCTTCTAGAAGCTGCACCAATCTTGCGTGGTCGCTCAACCCATCGAGTTGATTGTCATGGAGCGGCCGGATCGCACAGATCGGGCACCGCCGCCCATGACTGCTGCCACAACTGCGGCTGCGACCACGATATCGGTATCGAACTCTTCTGGCGTTCGTGGCCTGCCTGAGAATCCTGCTCAGGGTCGCCGACCCATCCCCAACTCAGCCGCCACTTCCAACGGAACAACACCGCCGCCGCCTCCGCCCATTCCGACCGGTACAAATGTTCCTCCCAATGGAAATCTCTCGGTATCTAGGGCCCTCACACCGGCACAAGTCATTGGTTTGGCCCGCGATGCGATGCGTATGGCCCTGGAAAGCGAAGGACAAACTGTCGAAGCCAGCACCGCAGGCACTGGCCTGAAGTCTGGTGTAACAGTTGACCTCAGCCGAAAAAGCATTCAAAAATTGCCGGAAGAGGTGGTGGATATCGTCAAAGATGAGCTCGAGCGGTTCGTACAATCTACATTACTGCTGCCATGTTACCCTTGCTCACTCAAGTCAGGCTTGCTCTCTCTCACAATCAGCTATCGTCACTACCCGCTCGATTCTCGGAATGTACATCTCTGCGATACCTCAATATACGTGGCAACCTCATCAAAGAGTTTCCCTTGACTGTCTGTCTTACCTCTGATTTCTGATATTGGCACCCACTGACCGGCAATAGCTATGCGATCTTACCTCGTTAGAGATCCTCGATCTCGGAAGAAACCAACTGCGTGCGCTGCCCAACGAAATCTCAAAGCTTACCTGTCTCAAGGTCTTGTCTGTGCCCAAGAACCACATCCGCGAGCTGCCATTATGTCTCGCCGATATGGTATCACTGCAAGTCTTAAAATTCGAGGGGAACCCGATTAGCTTCCCGCCCAAAGATGCGCTGCAGTTGCCAGCAGCCAGTCCTTCCAATGAGACAAGGGAAAGCGAGGTCACCGAAGTTGCTGTCACGGCCCATATCAAGAGATTTCTGCGCCAGTCTGCTCTCAACGGAAAGATGGAGGCAGAAGGCACCGGCGACGAATCAAGCGAAAACGCAGAGACCCCTCGCTATCCTCTGAAGCGTGCAGCCAGTGGCCGATTTCCGATCAGGGTCAATGGATCAGATCCTCCCGATATTCGATCACCAAATCTTGGTTCCAGGGCCCCTCCGATTCCGTCTCGGTCCCATTATCGCGGCCTTTCGCAGCAAAATACAGCTATTCGACGACCTACCGTTATGCCGCTAACAATCGGCAATGTTAACGAACGTTTACGAAGTAATTCTGAAAGCCTGTTGAGGCCAGATCGACCTGATGGTCGTAATCGGCGCATGGGCATTGTTTCGAAGAAAACTTCAGAGCTTGATACTCTCGAAGAGGCGGAACCCAACAACAGGTTCAGTCACTATCGAGGCTTGAGTCACGGATCTGCGATGCAAGAGGCTCCAGTCGTGACGAAGAGCCCAGCGACTCCTACCGACAGCCTCTTGCACCGCCCGATTTACGTTCGTCGATTGTCAGTGCTGCCGGAGCGAAGGCGAGAGTCGAAAGTCTACGATCCAGTCATTGAATCCGCCAAAGGAATTCTCTATTCTGTTTTCCAGATTCACCCAATGATTCAGATGCTCATGACATTAACGAATGACGGGTCGGCGAAGAGATCCAGCCTCGAGATTGTTTTCTACAACACCAACTCTCACGTGGAAGAACTGGAGCAAGAAATTCAAAAGTACGAGAGCGCTATCCCGGAGGAAGGCGAGTACAATCCAAAAGATAATCAGAACGTGCACCGTGCATGCCAGACTCTGGTCAGTGCATACGGTCATGTGTGCACGCTGCTCGCAGACAACATTGATACGTTTGTTAACAACGGTGATGCACGATATATTCGTTCACTCCTTATGTTACTCTACAACAGCATCATGGAACTACGAGTCACCTTGTGTGCCGTATTCTCTCAATCTGGTCAGACGCTTCCGCAAGTGCAATATGAGAGTAACAACGATACCATCAAGCCATACAGTCAGAACGGTCAGATGCAGTCTGCCCCGATGGAGAGGAATGGACAGCAGCGCAGTCGGCAAGGCACTGTGCGCCACAGTCCCACCAATTCAAGATCCTCACAAGATCACCAGGGCCCATACATGAGCGGCCCGCGAAGGTCCAACGCATATATGCCCAACGACCAGATGGGCCAGATGGGCACCCAAGCTCCAATTTACAATACTGCGGAAGACGAAATGCATTTTGAACGAATTCTGCTTTCATTACAGAAGTCGGCCGACATTATTTTGCAGATACTGCCTAACTTCAGCATGCAAGTAACGGGACGCCTTCGAAATGCGATACAGCAACGTGCCCCAGAAGGTGCTCTGCGAGATTTGAAGGCCCTCATCAACATATGCAGCGATACTGTCCAGCAAAGTGAGGTGCTCAAGAATCAGATAGGCCATTTGAGACGAAAGGACCCAACTCTGCGTGTGCAGCCGGGCTTTGGTGTTTTGTGCAGAAACTTCTTCTCCAGCTGGGCGAGCACAGCTGGAATGGTCAAGGAGTTGACTAAGCGCCTTCCTCTACCACCAGACACTCGAGTTCGATTGCGGCCTATCCAACAAATGGTCAAAGACACTAGCAACTTGATCGTGCAGTCTCCTTGGCAGCACCTTATTCGAGTGCCTGGTCCCGGCATGTATCCGAACGGCATTATGTCGCCCTCAAACGTCCCTATCACACCGCAAAGCGCAGCTCTCGGTCCCGCGATGCAGGCTACCGTTCCTGTGACCCCTCAAAGCGCTTCCTTTGCCAGGGCTTTCCACGGCAACGTTTTTGACCGGGCCGACGCACTGATTGCCAACCCTGGCATTTCGATGTCAAGAAGCGGTCCAATGAGTCGCGGCCACTCGAACCTCAGTTCATTGTCCTCCATATCCTCGCTCTCTTCAGACGGGGCTCCTACACCAACCTCGAATTATTAACAAAATAGAATGCAGCACTACGCAAATGCGACTTTGGATTATGTATTATGATTGTTACATGTATTACCGGCGATTTATTTTTCAGCTGCCGGGTTAGCATAGCAATGGCGTTTGGAATGGCAGGGATTCAGTGATTTAGTGTGGAATAGTATTTATCTTGGATGTAGCAGCATGTTTAGTAAAAGGGCTTACTGGTCGATGAGCTTCCGCAATAATATGACTGTAATGTTTTGTCGTTTTGCAGAAAGATCTACCAGTGTACTTGTACTGATGATGAAGTATGAATTGCGTATCCATCGAATGCTGCCAACTACATGTCGACGGCCATAGAACAATGTTTGCAGTTGTATATTAGGCCTCGTTTTGGACCTGTATTGTCAGTGGGATGGCCCATAGACCAGGACGATACATGCAAGGGGAGGTGGGCGCAACATCACCCCACCACACCGATCAACTTACATGATCACCTGCATCTGCAAGCCTCCAAGCCCCGTCCATGTTATCATCTTGTGATTGAGTCCTCTCCATCTTACATGCCTCAAGTCTGAACCGTCCGCGTCGCCAAAAGCAAAAAAATGTCCGAAGTGCCCGCGTCACCGGGCACCATGACGACAACGGAACAACAGCAGCAGCAGCCGCCGCCGCCGCAGCCGCCGCCGCAGCACCCCCACCAAGCGTTGCCACAAGTCGCCATGAGCGCCAGCGGCGCAAGCAACACAAGCACCGGCTCCTCACGCCGCGCCGTAGCCTCGTCCGGCTCCTCGTCCTCCCACTCAGCTAGCCGTGCCACACCCGCGACGGCCCTGGGCGCCCGCAACCCGGCCGTCGCTTTCCATCAGCCTCCTGCTGCTGCTCAGCCGCCGCAACCCCAGCAGCAGCAGCAGCAGCAGCAGCAGCACGCCACTCCGCCGTCGCCGCTCCTCGCGACGCTGCCGTCGGCCGAAACGCAGCGCCACATTGCCGAGGCGCGAGCGGCGGTGGTGGCGTCCATGGGCAACATGCTGGATACGGAGCTGCAGGGTCGGGCGCAAATGCTGCACGACAACGCGGGCGCGCTGGACAGGCAGGAGCGGGACGTGCTGGCGGCGACGGATGCGCTGCGGCGGGAGCGCGAGCGGCTGGCGCGCGAGGCCGACGGCGCGGCGCGGCGTCTCAAGGAGGTGGGCAACGTGCAGAACTGGGCCGAGGTGCTGGAGCGCGGGTTCCTGGTGCTGGAGGAGACGGTCAGGCTGGCGAACCGCCGCGGTGGTAGTGGTGGTGGTGGTGACGACTCGCGGTCCGGGTCTGGGTCCGGGTCTGGGAGCGAGTGCAGCTGCAGCGACTGCGGGCGGACGCTGGAAGGAGAGCAGCCCGCGGACGCGGAGGAAGAGTTGGATGAGGTGGATGGTGAGGGAAGGGGGGGGCAAGGAAAGGGCAAGGCAAAGGCAAAGGAGATTGATGTGGCAATGAACGGCCTAGAAATCACGTCTGACGCAAGTCAAAGCTTGTTTGATGAGGAGTCGAGCACGGCAGATGGCACGGGCAAGGCCAAAAACTCGGAGACGGCGTCTCTGTCCACGATGTGCTGAGGGACAGTTCTCTCGGTAGTCAAGATATCAACATTAATGAAGCGAACGAATCACAGATACGGACTTGGATACGCATTACGACATAGGTTGGTTTTGATCATCTTTCACTAGGTTTCACACGACATAGCTAGCCAGCCAACTGCAAACTTCCAGTGACACGACTGAATGGGCTGGAGCATGATCAACGTTCTCTTCCAGTGTCATGTCGTTTACAAAAGTCCAGGGAGAATGACAAAGCGCTTCTTCTTGTACTTGTCGCCGAATTCCTTGCGGTACGCCTTCTCCTTGCCCTTGGCCCAGACGAACATCTGCGCGCCACCAATTGCAATGAACAGCGCCACGGTCCAGTCCCGGCTGACAATGATGACGCCAATCCATGCGAGAATCTCGTACATGTAGTTGGGGCAGGTGACGAAGCCGAAGCCGTAGCCGCGGGGAATCTTGCGCTCGGTGCCGCCCGCGGAGCGGAGGCTCGACAGATAGAGGTGGACAAGCGCGTTGCCGATCTCGCCAAAGAGGTAGAGGGCGGTACCGACGGCGTCAATGGCCGGCTCGCTTGCCTTGGCGGCGAGTGAACGCGGCCAGTAGATGGAGACGGCGCAGAGGAGGCCGGAAACAGCCCAGTAGAAGAAGCTGTTCTTGAAGACGTTGGAGACGGGCATGGTGTTGGCGGAAAACTTGTGGACAAAGGCCGTCTCGAACTCGCGCTTAAAAAAGTGCGCCAAGATCAAGCCAAAGCTGAGCCACTGTGTGTTGGACATTGGCGCGTCGCCGCCGGGGAAGATGTAGGGGCGGGCCGCGACGACGGCGGCGTGGATGAGGATCGGGCCAAAGTACTCGATGAGGAAAACGGTGCGCCAGGCAATCTGGGGGCCTATTACTTTCCGTTAGCTGCGTGTCCCCCTTTTGAGGGAAGTGGGATGCGTACCGAGGTCCTTGACGAGCAGCTCGCCGGCGTCAGAGACGCCAGGGATGTCGGCGACGAGAGCCTTGCGGTCCTTGATCGTCTTCTTGGTGGCCGTGTCGAAGAGGCCAATGCGGTTAAAGTCACCAATTCCGGCCTGCTTAGCGATGGCCTTTTTCACATCCTCGACAGTCGCCCCTGCGGGCAGCTCGACGCTGGCGGGAAGACGCTTGATGGGCTGCTTCGGCGCTGTAGTGGGGAGGGGGGAGGAGCAGCTGTGTTAGCAGAGTGCTGGCAAGACGGTTTGAGGGCACTTAGTTGACGGACGACATACAGCGGTTGGTTAGCTTGAGCGTGGTAGCGGCCGCCATTGTGTCGGAGTCGTATTTATCCAGGGAGATGTATTCGACAATGTGATGCGACGAGAGAGAAGAAAGAGGCCTGCTCAAACAAGAAGTTGTTGGGAAGCTCGGCACAGCAAGCTCGATTTTTAAGTGGGTCGTTTCGGTACAGAGGGCTGGTAGCTTGAAGCTGGCACTCGCAGCAGCTACCTAGCTTACCTAGCTTGTTGTAAGTAGGCAAGTAGGTAGGTAGGTAGGTAGGTAGGTAGGTAGAAGAAGCTTGGAATAACTCAGTAAACTAATTCGCAACTTCCAAGACTCCCGCTATTGAGACGTAATTTTCAAGTCTTAATTTAAATGATATCCATCAAACGACTGCATCAACGTGGGCTTTCAATTGGCAGACATGGCTGCGCTGCACCGGTATGTAGGTACCTCACTTACACAGCACTTTCACATGCTACGTTGGCAATTCTTGTCAACAGCAATTTACTGATTGAGATTATCTGCATCATATTTCCAAACCTTGCCATCCTACTCCTTGCGATCATATCTCGTCAGGCGTCAATGTCAATCAGTTCCCAAAGCCAACCTGGTATGTCGTTCTCGTCCAATCCATGGCTCCCGCCTTCCTCCCCTCCAGCAAGCCCGTCCACAGGCCATATGCCAAACGATTGTCCACCTAGCAAATCAACACTGACGTTTCGCGGCCAGCTCCCACCATACACCGTCGCGGGATGCGGAAGTTGGCGCCGTGCGCCGTCGGCGCGCCGGTCTCCCTCCTCTTTGAGCTGCACAATCGTGGGCCAAGCTCCTTCCTTAGTCCTATCCTCTCTATCAAAGCAATTGCCCATCGATGCAAAAAGTGAGTGGCCCTTGAGTAACGTCCTGGGGCTCAGCGTGCCCTTTTCTGATAGCTCCGCCGTCAGTCGCTCTACCTTGATCGCAATGACACGCCGCCGCTCTTCGGCCATCATGACCTTCAACGCCGCTAGCTCGGCCGCATTCTCGGGCAAAAATGGCGAGCCATCAGCGCCAATGTAATGGATATTCTGGCGCATTTTCTGATATGCCATAAGTTCCTTTTTTTCGCCGCTCGTCCATCGTTTCGAATGGGACCACAGCGGCGTATCTAAGCTGGCAGCGCTCAGCGATGGTTCATGTTTGGTTCTGCTACCAAGTCGACGCCGGAAATCTGCAGGCTCCAGAGGAGCATTTGCAGGCGCCCGACGACTCGACTGATGCACCCGACTGGTTGCATCTCCGATGAAGCCTTTTCTCACGCTACTCCTCGCGAGCGTCGCATACGAATTTGACGATGGGGCTGAGAATTGCCGGGCGTTTGCGCTCTCGCGGCGGGAGCCGCGTTGCGATGTCACATTCGAGCAGACAGGTGACTCAATGTGTCCCGAGGAGCGTGAGCTAGTGGACGAGTTGCTTTCGTGTGAATACTAGTTGTCACGACGCTGACTCGGTTGCATAGCGCTGTTTGCATTGCCCGACGACTCTATGTCTCGAAATGTGACGCCGATGGCTGCCTCTTTGATGAATGGATGAAATCTGTAAGGTGGAAGGAGATGGTAGTGCTGATAGAGAGGACTCGCAAATGGGAGTGGCGCCGGTGACAGCCAGAGTGATGGATGGTGAAAATATGTGTTCTCGGGGCTGTGTCCCGATGAATTAACATTCATTGGCAAGCCAAAGATGAAGTCCGGGAATGCATAATACGGCGCGTATCGAGACGGATGGTCCAGGGACCAGCTGGCCGGGTGATTTCCCGCACAATGCCTCTCAACCTAGCCCCCTGTCAGTACCTATCGAAATGTAGGCTTCCGGTGAGTTTCATGTACAGTAGAAGAAATGGTTAAAAATTCCGGAGTTGGGCCCTCAAGTTTGCTCGGGTTCGGCCCACGTGGATCGTCGTTGCACAAGACGGCAGTGTCTGCACTGTGACACTGCTGTATAGTCGACCCGTCGGGCTCAAATGTCGCAGCGCAGGGATTCATCAGCTTCCGGTCGCAAGGCTCCAAGGTTCCGGGCAACGTCATACTCTGCACCGCAAAAATAGCGAAATTTGAAAGCCGAGTCGATAAGACATTCCAGCACTTAGAGGAGCAAAAGCTAATAGATCGGCTGGTTATTGGATCGATCCCGCAGCAGCAGCAGAATTGACGACTGTTCCTTGAGCAATTAGAATAAATGTTGAGAAATCAGAATTTGATCTGCAAAAGAGGAGATACTTCCTCTCCCCACTGAATTGATCTGAGGGCCGCAAACGAATAGCGACACTTGGCAGACGATCGTACTGCCGCGGCTAGTGTGAGATTGGCAAGCAGTTGGCAAACGAGCAACTGTTGCTTGTATGATGGACATCAGAGAGAATGAATTTAAAGTACATTGATCAAGTCTTTCTTCTCTGCAAACAGCATGTGATACTCAGAAACTAAATATAGATGCGGAAATTCTGCAGCAATTGTTCACCGTATTGCTTAGAGCGGTGATAAGTGTCATGAGCAAGAATCACACGCTACAATGCGCGGTGTGTGAGTAGGAAAAGGCGGCGCTGTCTCCTCGGTGAAACAGACATTATCAGAAGTCGTGATTCTCGGGCACGGCTTCACGCCATCAAATCAGTTGGCGCTAGCGCGATCTCGCAGTGGCCCACCTTCCTATTTGGGCTTCGCTTGCAGGCTACTTGCACGTGACCGTTTCTGACGAATGGGTAACGGAACAACCATCAGCCGTGGAAGCCCTGACTGCCAGCGCTGCCAGGGTACGTACCTGGGGCTAGCGCAACCCCCAGCCCACAACCACAATTTTCGCTCCAATTGTGCCCTCCACCACCGGGTCCCAAGTCGAAAAGTTCACTCCTCTCACATCCATCCGACAATTTTAGATTGCAACTGGTGAGCAGCACAATCATCAGGTTAGTGAATCTTTTTCACGCCTTGAGAATCACGCGACGACGACGACGACGGCACCGACCTTGTTCAATAGACCACTGGCGACTTCCACTCGGCTCGAATACTACAATTCCTTCTGGTGTCGTCTGTATTGGTTGAACACTGTCGCGATTGCCAGTCGCCTTGTCACTCAAGACTACTGTCCCTTCTTCTGTCAACCACACAAAGCACATCGTTGCTAACTTTGTCTTTCTTTGCAGAATTCGCAATCATGGGTATCTCTCGCGACTCCCGTCACAAGCGCTCCGCCACCGGTGCCAAGCGTGCCTACTACCGTGCGTACTGATCCTTATAACATACAATGTTCGAGAAGGACCGAGCAAAGGGCTGCCGCTTTCCTTTACCCTCTCTGTGTAACAGCGGAGAGGAAGAGGTTCTTGTGCATTCAGTTGCTCGCGTCCTCTCTCATGCCGAAAGCCCGTATGTTTCAGCATTTGCTTGAGAACATGCGTTCTGACCTTTGACAACAGGGAAGAAGCGCGCTTTCGAGGCTGGCCGCCAGGGTGCCAACACCCGTATCGGCACCAAGCGTGTTCACACCGTCCGCACCCGCGGCGGCAACCACAAGTACCGCGCTCTGCGCCTCGACTCGGGCAACTTTGCGTGGGCCTCTGAGGGCTGCACACGCAAGACGCGTGTCATTGCCGTCGCCTACCACCCGTCCAACAACGAGCTGGTCCGCACCAACACGCTGACCCGCAGCGCCGTCGTCCAGGTCGACGCCGCGCCCTTCCGCCAGTGGTACGAGGCTCACTACGGCCAGCCCCTCGGCCGTCGTCGCCAAAAGGCCCAGGGCATCAAGGAGGACGAGGTCAAGCGCTCCAAGTCGGTTGAGAAGAAGCAGGCTGAGCGCTACGCCGCCGCCGGCAAGGTCGAGAACACCATCGAGAAGCAGTTCGAGGCCGGTCGCCTCTTCGCCATCATCTCCTCGCGCCCCGGCCAGTCCGGCCGCTGTGACGGATATATCCTCGAGGGCGAGGAGCTCGCTTTCTACCAGAAGAAGCTCCACAAGTAAACGGGTTCGTGGGGGAACGTTTGCTTGGTTTTGTTAGAATCAAGGAGAAAAACTTGGCCTTGGCTCGGCCGGGAGGACAAGCACTGTCTGGTAGCTGTGTACTGTATCTTCAGGCCTTGTTTCGGTATGGTGTTCAAGGATTATTGTCCCTGCCTTTTGCACATTCCACGTTTGGCATTTGCAGGGCATGATGAGCTTCACGTAAGCATCGGATTGGGTCCATTAGGGAGTTTGCAAACACAAAAATAAAGCTGCATGAATTCAATCGTCTTGTCCAAAAATCCGTGAATTCTGTGGGAGTTTTCAAAGCTGTGTTCATTGTCGTAGCATTGTTGCTGTCCTCTATTATCCTTGTGGCCAATGCTCGTGATTCTATGCGTTATGCGTAACTAAAGAAACAAAAAGTTTGCCTAGGTAGGCATAAATGAGATGCGCTTGCTCTTGCCACTCCGCCTGGCCACGTTGACAGAATCATACATACATGCCAAACCACTGTGCCGCTCAAAGTCATTTCTATTGCCACCATCCGGTACGTCAATGTGTAAGTAGTTGCAAAGCGCCTCGTGTGCGATTTTGATCAAGGTGATATGTACAGTGCCAACTGTTCTACAGTTACTATTCCTTTGTTGCATCCGCTCAGTAAGATTGAGGCAAGGTCTGAGCCGGAATTATGCGAATTGCCGTTTAAGATCACTCCATTTTCTGTTGAGCGTCTCGTGCTGAGAATTGATCTGCAAGCACAGGGTTAGTCGGGATTTGATGAGTCAGAAAAGTAAAAGGTAGCATACCTCGGCGTATTGCAATTTGGTCTTGACAAGAACCTCCTCCAATTCTGCCAATTCCTGTTCTAGCTTCCTGTTTTCTTCGTGCACGTTTTCGTTACGCTTCATGAGGTTGTCTCTTTCGAGCTTCCAGGTTTCTTCGATTTCGAGTGGTTGCTTCTCGATCACAACTCGAAGCTCCTGAACTTGGCCCTTGAGACTTTCATTTTCATCTTTCAGCTCGTGGTTTTCGACCTTTGTGTGCACAAGCTCGGTAGCAAGATCGGCTTGCTCACGATCGCATGCCTCGATTCTTTCTTCCAATTTGCGCAATTGGATCGCATAGCTCTGATTAGCCATCTTGAGGTCCTGGAGCTCTGCTTCGCGGTCCTTTTCCGTCTTCGTCTTTTCTTCCCACTCAGCAGTGTACATTTTGAGCGTTTCGGGTGTGATCTTGACTTCGGACGCATCTTTGACTAGCTGATCGGCCCTGTAAACCTCCTTATCCATGCCTGAACTTGAACTACCGAAAAATCCATTCTCTAGCAAGCTTCCCGCACTAGGATCTTTGTCAATGTACACATCAAAGACTTTGTCCTTGAGATGTGTCGTAAGTTGCTGCATATCAGAGATGCCGAGTAACAGACTCGCATTCTTTTGCATCAAGACAATGCCAAATCTCAAAATAGCGGAGAGACCTTCGGAGAGAATCAGATCGTAGATGCGGAGGACAAGCTGCAAGGGAAAGCGGTAGGCGAAAAGCGTGAGGAACCATTGCGTGGCGTAAAGGTGAGGAGAAATGCCACGTCGCTTGAGATGACAGTACAAGGCTGGCTCAACGTCCTCCAGCAGGCGCTCGAATTGATAGAGTCTCATGTGAAGGCCGGGCATGTCCTGGATGAAGAGTTCTCGAAGGTCGTAATTGTGCATCAGGCGCACGAGCAAGCAAAAGGCCTCCTCTTCCGGCATATTGAATAGCAGGGGCATGATTAGAAAGTTCATGCCTTGCGCATAGCCGACGCCTTCATCGTAGAGAGCGTATGCTTTGCAAACACCAAACAAGCCATCCTGCAAACCTGCTGAAGCAGCATACTTGGAGTAACTAGTTCTAGCGCCAAGATCGCGTCGGATGGTTTTCTCCAGCTTCTGAAGGGCCGCGGCTTCTTCCTTTTCCTTCTTTTGACGCTCAGCGGCTGCTAGTGCCTGTGCCTTTGGGCTTGGCTCGCTTGCCTTTTCTGCCTTGGATGACATGCTGGCATTTGTACCAGAGCGGTCAGATTTGACTGAAGATGCCGATGAGTTTACAGCTTCTCCATTCTGAGCACTGGTGCCACTGCTGGACAAGCTGGCAGCAGTGCTATTGCTGTGACGTTTTTTCTCCTTGTCTGTGCCCTTGACGACCAAGTCCTTGTAAACGGACTCTAGCTCGGCATTCTTGCTCTGTGCCAGCACTTGCCAGATGACACCTCGGATGGCACTTGGAATGCCGGTCGTGATGGCGCGGTTCAGTTCTTCGGCACTGGTGCGAGCAACAACGGCTGGGCCCTCATAGACAACTGACTGCCACAAGTCCCAGTCTACTTGAAACTCTGGCATCGCGGAAGGGCCCGCATTGACCCCGGATACGGTTCCAGGTGCGAGATCAACAGTGGGAATCGGCACTGGGCCAGGTGAAGCGAGATCGCTTGTAGTTGATGCAGCGTCGCCGTGGGCCAACCCGAGACCAGCCCCGCTAATACCATTGTCATCTTCTAGCGCATGGGGGGGGATTCCTGCCTCCTGCTGTAGACGAAGCAGCTTGAATCTGTCCTTGAGACTTTTCCTAGACTCCGTCTTTCCATTTTCGGTTTCTTCTTCAAGCTTGCCGAGCATCATTTCGGGATTGCTTGTTAGTGTGCCAACGGAGCTGGCAGTGTTCCGTCGTTGTGTGGTCTGATGTGTTGGCACAGCGTCTTTGCCGGAAGAGTTTCGGGAGAGCCACGAAAAGGCGCCGGTAAGTTTCCTTGTCGGTGGTGGAGGTTGCGTTGCGGTAGTTGTGGGAGGGGGCGCTGTTGCGGCAATAGATGATGCTCCAGGGCTCTTTGCAGGCGATGTACCAGCAGAGGGAGACCAGGGCATGGAGGGCAGAGCGCTCGTGATACTGCCGAGAGACAAGGTTTTGGCAGGTTTCTCGTCTTCGGTCGCCTTCGGTTCTTCTGCAGAGGATTAGTAGCTTGCTCAACTGGGTCTTGTGGCAGATGGATGTATACCGTCGGCAGAGGGGGCGGTCTCGTCGTCGAGATTGACGTTGTCAAGGTCTGAAGTGGTAGAAAGTCGTCGAGGCAGGGGCGAAGAGTCGCGATGCGACTTGACATCAGATTCCAATGCAGCTTCTGGTTCGGGTTCTTGAGCGTGGTCGGGTGTAGAATCGGTGGTTTGGGCTTCATGTGGCTCTTCAGGAGCAGGAGGTCTGGAGCTTGAGACGGCTCTCTTGGTCAGAGACCGTACCGAGACAGAGTCGACGGCATCAACGGCATCCTCGAATGATTCGTCATTTTCCGTAACCTGCGGCATGTTAGTTCCGTTGGGAACGCAGCAGTCGTCCGGCTGTTGGTGTTTTCTGGCAGGACATGGAGCATTGGAGGGGCGGCAGCGCAATGAGAGCACATACAGGTTCACCATCGGAAGCTACCGAAGTGTTTTTGTTGTCTACGGGTTTGTGCTCGTCGTCGTGAGCGGTATCGTGCTGAGACATTCTTGCGTAGAAATCGGAGGATCAAAGAAGGGCGGGAGGCCGCGAGTCTTGTGGTGCGATCGTGCAGTGATGTAGTGATGGCTCGAAGCGCAGGACGCACGTGCATCCGCAGCAGTGGTATGCTAGGCCAGCTAGGCAAGGGAAGCGACTATGATGCTGTTATATCTGAAGGGTATGTTTGCTGTAGAAGATGCGTGACTGGAAGAGAAGGAAACGGTGGCAGCGACGTGGAGGATGGTTGAGAGGGGCGCGGACCTCGAGGACAATGTTTAGTTTATTCTTAGGGGTGGTGGCGCTGGGAGTTGGTGATGTGGACGGCCCCCTTGCCATTCCCCTTAACTGGAGCCGCTTGCACGCTTTTACGACTGTGGGGGAGGTGCGTTGTGGGCAGGGGACCTTTACTAAAGAAGTTGATGTGATTTAGACTTTAGTACATACAATGAATTCCTTTCTAGCGTGTTGAAATTAAAACGGTGAAGCATGTTGAAGCATGATATCAGAATAATTGTATCCAGCATTATGGTGCAGGGGGGTTGTTCTGGGCAAGGCAGAATGATTGGAATTGTTTCTGTGGATGCCCGTTGCCAAGGTTGTTCTGCCATAGCATCCATGCTGCTAACTGTAAATTATAAACGCGGACAAGGATCTCCGGCGGCGCACTTGGTCTGTGGCGCTGTTGTGCAGATGATTATTAGGTGTTGCTCATGCGCTATGCGGTGGATGTGTGGGCGTCCCGTGGTCCATCTACCTACCAGAGAGCCAGATCGCCTGGCATTGCGGACAAATAGGTGTTCTAAGCAGCTACTTACTAGCTAGGTAGGCATTGTGACAATTACCCATATCGTCATTTTCTCACTTATTACTCTAGCAATACGGAGCGCTAACTCACAAGCTAGTCAGCCGTTGCCCGCCAAATCTAGCCATGGTATCATTGGTATGCACTTGGTCTTGGCACCTAGGTACATACCCTACATACCTACACCCACTGTAGGTATCTTCTGCTCTAGTGATAATATTCACAAATCCATTCTCCTACCTGCCTAAGATCAACTTTCCTATGCAAAATATAGGTAGTCGACTCATCAGCAGCCTCTTAGCCCCGCCGCCGCTCTGTTGACGAAAGGCGGCTTTAAATAGTTTTCCCATGTCACGTCTGTCAGCAAATTGCCTGCGCGATGACTTTAGATCAGAGGCTTTTGACAGAAAAGGGGGAAAAGCCGTCAATGATATCGCTTCGTCGTTTAATAGATATATCGTACTTGTTCGGCCTTTTGCTTCTCCTTCGCCAGCGATCATGCGGCTACTCACATGGCAGTGAGCGGCAACTACCCGACGCATATTTTTCTCAGTCACTCAGTCTTCCTCATTTCTCTCCTGCATCTTGCATGACGTTGATAGCAGTTCTGCAGACGTTCCGGAATCAGTAGAGGCCGTATCGGTGCTCGCATGATCACTCTAGCTATGCTCACGCCGTGCAGCTAAAGCATTCCATCAATTCTGTAAGATCAAACGCTCTGCCCCCGCAAAACCATAACGCGGCTAGGCGCGCTGTCGTCGCGACAGCTTTTCAGTGGTGACATTGAATTGTCCCGCTTCTAGGTCAGCCCTCCAAATCCGCGGATGTCTTGGTGCTGCGAAAGAGATTTACGCCGAACAGCTTTCGTCGGCACACCAACTACCGGAATCTCGGGACAGGTTTAAAGGGTCCTGTCATCTGTATATGTTGCCTGCAGCCTCAGCGTCGTGTTCTCACTGCATACATTGATTCAGTATCGCCACATTCTGCACGTAGAATCCGCAGCCTGCGCACCTCTCCTGTTTGGCATTACCTTAGGTATTGGCATGTTCGTCCACACTCAAGTCACGAGGTACGCATACCCGGAATCAGACGACACATAATACAGCGACTCGATGGAAGAAAAGGTTCGTCAAAAGTTTATCCCATTAGCAAGAGCGTAGCTCGAGCCGTAGCAAATGCCAAAAATACCAGTACCAGTGCAGGATATTATTTGCAGAAGCAGCCTGCCTTGCATTATCATTGACGGCAGATTGACACGTGGGGGAGACCGGGCGGCGTTGTGCTTCCCCGAAAGAGACTTTTTACACGGGTGTCTGACTCTCTGCTAGCGCTGGCCATTCAGTGCCTATTTTACCTCTACGCGTGTCTCTGGTCGACTATTGTCTGTTACTTTTCTCGCGCTGGCGAGTTTTACCCATAAGTTAATGATTCAATCTGGGCTATGTTGAGTTGTTCGCTCGTCGCTGCCGCCAACTGTGGCTTGGTTCTGACAGACAGACAGAGCTACAACCTTCCCCACCTTGGCGTGTACTTACTCACCCAAATCCTTCCCAAAAGATACCTGCTTGCCGACAGCCCCAACAACACCCCTCCTCCAACTTGCTCTGCGCTTAACACAACCCATTAGGTACGCAGAGGCCCACCTCTGACGCCTGGAGTGCCTTGCCTCAATATTTTCGATACCAAACTTCTTCTCCTCATCACCATCACCAATACCACTCCAGCATCACCATCCAGATTCTGACTAGGTCTTCTATGTATCCATAGCGAAGCTGGGTGTCTTTCTCCGACTGCACCTCGGTAGTACGACTTCCCGCCGACGCTATCCAGTATCGCCTACGTCACAATTAAAGTTAGGAAAAGCATCTTTGACGGCGACCTGCACCCGCCTTCAGAGCTGCGCCCGACTCGTGATTCGAGGCTCACCACAAAAGTCACCCAAATTGATTTACTCTGAGCTTTCCATACTTCCAATCAACTCGCCGGTCGCCGTTCTGACACCACGGACTCATCCATCGCGTTTACACAAACCCTACAGCTTGTCCAGAACTCAAGCGAGCTCTCCCCGTCGCCTTAACCGTCTACACACCAACCAAATACCAAGCGTCCAGGGGTTGTCCAGCTGAGGGCACTCCGCCTAGGCAAGCAAGCTGTCACGTCAGTTTGAATAAGAGAGTGGAGGGGACGTCTGTATTTGTTTATGCGGCACCGCCGCTTCCCTTTTCACAATGGGCAGAATCACAAGAGAGATGCAACCCAAGCATCGCGACACCTTGGTAATATCCCACTGCACATGTGAATTCTTTTCAAATCCGATACACTAACCTGGATCCCACAGTCCCCCTGGCTTAAGAGCTACGTCGAGGCCGCCTCCACAATCTCCCTTCCGCTACTGCCACAACATCTCGCCACATACCCAACCCGATGGCCATTCGGACGAGGTGATTTGTATCACTGGATTCCTCTCCTGAACCGCTTCGATGCCATTCTCGACGCATTCTGCACAACCTACAAGCTATCACTCGGACCCCAAATTGAAGACTTCGACTCTCACATCCTCCGTAACCATGGAGGAGAGGGAGACTTTGCCGACGAGAAGCAATGGGATGACCAAGAGTTGCAAAAGCTGGGATACACTGGAGAAGGAGACCGTGAACTAGTCGAAGCCATCTTGAAGTTTACGCGCTTATTGCTTGAACACTGCGGAAACAGGAGCATTTACGCGAGTAGCGCTCATCTGAGTCATATCTTAAACAGCACATCTCTATCACTCCTGATTTCTGCTCTTGAGGTTGGGTCCGAACTTGCACAGAGATACCAGGCTTCGGTGAAGCGAATCGGCAACTCGTCAAGGCACATTAGTGCCGCACTTCTCGCGAACCACTACAACATCAACTTAGATCGCGTTCAACAGATAGCACAGGCTTTCACCAAGCCAACAACAGCAACTCTAGCCGACTCGAACCCGACAGCGACACCCACTTCACATATCAAGGATAAAGCGTCGTCACAGTCCAGGAGTACCCCGAAAACTCATGCCACAGATCTGGTGGCACTTGCCACATCTAGTGATCAGCGTTGGGCAGACTGGGGCGATGTCAAGATACGATACTATCCCGAAGATACCAAAGTATCTCATGATGCGCCCGTGGAAGCTGGTCGGTCTTCCCAGCCCTCCACGCCGACACCTCTACGTCGTAGCTCGACCGTAGCGGGAACCACTCAACATACACCCAAGGCTCGCAGCGCCCATGCCGAGGAGCCATCTCCAGTGTTCCATCGCACGCCAGGACTCACAGATGAGGCGGATGGGTCTGCACAGAGGACCTTCGATGTTCCACAGTCAATAGTTGTCTCATCTTCCATGAAACAGCTAATGGCCAAACTTCCATCTAACATGAGCCAAACCTCCCGTTACGAGGCATTCCACCACTTTAGAGTCGCCAAAGCTCTCACTGCATCTCAAAAGTCTCGCCAGCAAATTCTCGGAGCGCGGTTGCTTGCCATCACCAATTTAGCCTATATCCACACCGAGTCCAATTTCGTGGAAAAAGTTCTTAGACAAGACATGGACGAGACCCGCCGATACCAACTCGCCTACCAACTCGCCGAACTCATTCATCCGTCGTCTGATGGTAACGCGGAGGCACCTCTGTGGCTTCAGACAATCTCCCTTGCACTAATGGAGGCCATTTCTAGCTTTACTTCCCGTTGTCAAGATGTTTTGTCCGCTCTCAATGCCAACGTCAACCACGGCATACTTCTATATGTCATTCGCAAAGCCGTGGCTGGTATGGAGAATACTAAGCCCGAGGACGATGGCGACCAAGTTACTGAGACTGACAATTGGCGCAACAACCTGTTCTCCCTCACTCTGAACCTGTCTATGGCGACAAGAACTGGAAGTGAGATGGCGTCTTCAGGTCTTATGGACATTCTTGTCCACATCTTGAACATCCGTTCACCCGTAGCTGAGCGGCATCACTCAATGGTCTTGGCCTTCCTTGATGGATTAATATGGGCATATCCTCATGCGTTCACAGCTTTTTTCAGTGCTGATGGTCTTGATGCAGTTTCAAAACTGGTTGTTGACACTGTGACTCAGGCGAAACAGCTGGTAGCAACCTCCAAGGGTATCACACAAGATCATCAGTCAAGTGCCGTTGATTATGAGGTGCCGTATTACCAGCAACAAACGCTCAAGTGGCTTTTGAAATATATTCACCGCATCATGTCGAACTCGTACAGTTACAGCGGTAACACAGAACGATTATTGCGGAATTTGGCTGAGAAATCCGATCTTCTTGCCAGCCTACGCGACATTATCAGGGACAAGACCTGTTTTGGCTCTATCATTTGGACGAACTCAGTTCTTATTTTGAGCGACTTCATCAATAATGACCCAACCAGCTACGCAGCAATTTCTGAATCTGGCATGATCAAGACGTACCTCGAAGCGATCACTGGTCGAAGTATCACCGACGCATCGCAAGAGGATGAAACAAGAGATTTAGAAGACGGCTCAAACGATGTCTCAGAAGGGTCCGACGTAACAGCCATGATTGAGAAGGATTCTCGACCACATCCTCCGACCGAAGAGGCTCTTCGTGCATCTCAACACGGTGATGTTGTTGCCGGAGGCATCCTGGCATCTTCTGAGGCTATCAATGTAGTACCTCAAGTTCTGAACTCCATCTCTCTCAACAATTCTGGAATGAAGCTTGTGGTATCGTCTCGCGCCTTTGACAGCTACTTCGAAATTTTCGAGAGCCCTGAACACGTCAGGTGCATGGAAGTAGACGTGGACCTGGCCACTGCTATCGGTGGAAGCTTCGACGAGCTTGCTCGTCACCACCCTCCTCTAAGGACTGCAATTTCAAATGCAGTCATCGATATGGTCGCAAAAGTTCGCTATCTTGGCATTCGCAAGGCTGAGGAAGATCACTGGGGTGTCCGTCTGCTCGGTACCGACACCAACGGAAGAATCGTTTCCATTGATGAACATGGGCAGGTCGCAGAGAAGAAGGGGGCACTTTTGTCTGCGAGGCAAGACAGTGATGCAGACGTAACTATGCAGGACTCGGCGACTCCCAAGGTTATTGGAGACAACACAGGCGAAACATCTCCAAAGAAGAAGCCCGATACTGTGACGCCATATATCTTTGCGTTGGCCAATTTTCTCAGTTCCTACCTTTCCAGCACCTTTATCAAGACCAACTTTGTCGAAAAGGGCGGTATCGAGTTACTTCTCGACATCTGCGAATTACCTAGTCTCCCGGCTAGCTACAGCGACTCGCCAGCGGCAAGAGCGATCAATGCAGTCGTTGTGCAGCTGGTAGAGCATGCCCCGGTGCGAAGTCTGCCTTCTCTCTTGAAACGTGCTCAAGCTTCAATCGACATTCTTCGGCCCCTATCTATCAAGACAGAAGCTCTTCCACCGTACTTCGGCCAGTTTCTCTCGCCGAACCTGCAAATTCCGAATGATGAGCTTCCCGAGCCTTTGTTGTCAGGTACCAGAATAGTCAAGGCCCTCTTGAATGCGCAGAATTTTATCAAGATCCTTTCTGAATGTTTCAACACTTCCCGGTCGCACTCACTCCAGTTCTACCCAGTCAATGCCTATGATTACTACTTGCAACTGGTCAAATCATTGGGCCCTTTACTTCGAGGTGTTCTTGCAGAAGAGGCCGGTGAACTGGCTGCTGTTCCTCAGCACTGGTCAATTAAGCGTGTTGGATCAAGTCCTGAAGGGGAACCATCCGCTACTAACGTGGTTTTCGAAAATGACAGCACATCTCTGCCCGATGTGTTGAGCAGCACGGGCGCTTGGAAGCAAGTCGAGGGGGCTGACGCTCCAAAATCACCTACTGAAGAAGAACAGAGAACCCCTCGATTCCATAACTACGAGGCCCTCAAGCTGCTACTGCATCCCATGATCCCTACATCCTTTCCTCTTTTCCAGAGCATTGGCAAAGCGTTGGTTCCCAGACGCGAGGTGACCCATGGAGATCCTTACCCCAGGCCGAGACACTTGCAGTTGGCAAAGGAGCTGGCATCTACTGTGCTCGATCAACTATCACCATCTGTTGCCACACCCAATCCAAGCTCGAAGGAGTTTCACTATTGGATCATCATGCTGCATACCATCCATGAGATGCTCATTGATCACCAACCCGGAAGACAAGCTGACCGAACTCACGCTTACATCATTATCCCCGTACTTCTTGCCTTCAAGGAGCAAGGAGGCTTAGATGTGCTTAATTCCATTCTCAGAATTTTCGCGAGTGCTGTTCGTGGAGGTACCAATGCCAGCCGTCCTGACGAACTTTCCAAGGCCAAGGTTGCCGCGTTCGGCCTCAAGAAGATCCTTGAGCTCCATGTTCTGCTCGTCAATGGCAAGTATCTGGTTGACACGAGCAATTATTTCAATCTGCAACGTCACACCGACAGGAATCAGGTCGTATCCAATATCTACCAGCAAATTGTGGTGGAATTTCGCTGTGCTATCTTGCCGCCTATACTCGAGCTATGGGACTCGTCATTTGTTGAGCATGTCTCAGATGAGACGGCGAAGCGAATCCTAGAAATTCTGAAGATGATTGCCGTTGGCGGAGATGAACCGACCTCGACGCCTAAGGACAAGGCGCCTTTTGCACTCCTCAATTACAGCGATGTTCGCTTCGATTGGCGCCCTCTTCGAGTGCTTATAAACGACTTGCTGAACGTTGGCTTCGATGAAGATCTTGTCCACGAAGCCGTCTTCCGCGCCAATGGCAACGTGTCTGGGGCTCGAGAATACTGCCGAGCTCATAAATCTGGTCTTGCTGGACCGCGAAACCCTATACCGATAGAGGATGCCGATGTCAGTACGTACAAGACGCCTGAATCTTCCAGATCTCGACAGCGGGCTGCATCCACTGGAACCAGTACCTCCGAGCCAGACCGCATGTCTTTGGACACATTCACCGAAGACGTGGATGGCGACGGTCCTGCTGGCACAGAAGCTCATCATATCCAAGAGGGCGCTGCCTCCGAGCCAGCTCAAGTGACTGAAGTAGAAACGAACCCAACGACGAGCGAGACCTCCAGAGCTCAGTTCTCAGGCACCAAAGAGGGGCTTGATGCTTTGAGGTCCAAGCTTCGCTCCAACCTCATTGATCGCTCGTTGGATGTGATTCGCACGCATTCTGATTGCGCTATCGAAGTATCACAATTGATTCAGATAATGATTCTGCGACACCAGGATCGAGAAACCCATGAGGAGGTCGGCACTGTTCTCACATCTGCTTTGTCTTCGTTGGCACTCGACGCCGAGGAAAAGAAGAAGAACGGCAAATGTATTGCCGCCTATGCTCATTTGCTCGCCTTGCTACTTCAGGATCAAACTTTCTTCGACAACAATGTGGACGGTCTCCGAGATAAGGTTGCAGAATATGTTGATTTTCTCAAAGTCCCATCTTCCGGTGCTGCTGATGAACTACCGCCATGGATTCCTTACATCTTGGTTGTATTGGAGCCTCTTCTATCGCACGATGAGCGACCAGTTGCAGCTCAGTGGTTGGCGCCAAGAACTGTTGATGATCCTGTGCAGCCTGCGGTGCTTCAGCTCGGTATATCTCTTATTAGCGATCAACAACGCTCAAACATTTTAGAATCTCTTCTGGACCTACTACCACGCGTTGGAAAGCAAGAATTATTGGCATTATCCATTTTGAGAGTCTTGGTAATATTAACCCGCCGACGTCAGCTCGCAAAGCACGTGGGACAGAAAAAGAATCTCCAACGTCTCTTCCTCATGGCTAAGCAATTGGCCGGGTATGGCTCGGAGAGACTAAAGCATCATCGGGTCACATCACATATAATCGCCACACTGAGACACATTGTTGAAGACGAGGAGACTCTTCGTCAAATCATTCGCGCAGAGATCAAGACCGAATTTCCCAATATCCAGCGCAACAATCATGGGCATGCAGATGTTTCTGCCTACTTGCGAGCGCTCGCTCCCGTTGCTCTTCGGGCACCTGAGCTGTTTGTGGAAGTCTCGAATGAAATGCTTCGATTTTCTAGATGGTCTCCCGCCGAAAGTGAGACAGCAGGCAGATTGAACACCCTCACTCTCAAAGACGGCACGACTGCCTCCAACGATTCAGTACCTTCAACTGACGCCGAGGAAATCAAAGATCAGCCAAGCGCCGTGTTTGCTTCGAGTACTGCAGATGAAGTCAAGCCATCGACTGAGTTAGCTGACAAAGAAATGGCAGATGCCCCAAAAATCACCGACAGCAAGCGCCCAGTTGTTGAGAATCCAGATGGCGTTGTTCATTTCCTTCTTTGTGAGCTTGTCAACTACAGAGAAGTCGACGACAAAGAGCCAGCAAATCCAGCAAAAGATGTCCAACCAGAGCTTGACATGAGTGACGCTGGCTCAGAACCAATGGATAAAGAGATGAATGCGGGCGAGGGAAGCGACAAGAAGCAATCGAAGCCACAGTTTAAGTCCGAGGAGCACCCAATATTTGTCTACAGGTGTTTCTTGCTCAATTGCTTGTCTGAGCTTCTCCAAAGCTACACACGAACCAAGGTCGAGTTCATTAACTTCAAGCGAAGCGCTCCTCCCATTTCTACCGGAACACCAATCAAGCCTAGAACTGGCATCTTAAATTACCTGATATACGATTTGCTCTGCCAGGGTAACCTTGCGGGCACCGCGGATAATATCGCTGCGAAGAAGAAACTTGCGACCTCGGCACAGACGCAACGTGTTCTCGTTGCGTTGGTCTCGAAGACGAGCGAGAAGCCTGCAAGCTCGAGCCAAGAAAAATTCGCATATGACGACGAGCCAGACCTGCTCTTTGTGCGCAAATTTGTGCTTGACACGATTCTTCGAGCCTACGAGAGAGCGCCTTTGTCCGACGAACCTCTTGAAACGAGGTACTCTCGTATGCAGTCCCTTGCAGAGCTCATGTTGCACATGATCGGCGATCGTGATAAGGACCAGCAGCGATCGGGTGCTAGAGTTATCGAAAAGAATCAATCTCGCTCTCAGGCACAGATTCGGCGCCTCATGTACGAGAAGGGTTACTTGGACAAGCTTACCACCTCTATCGCTGAACTTTCTCTCAACTACCCCGGCGTTAAGCGAGCTATTAAGTATATCCTTCGAGTACTTCGAATCTTGACGGACACCGCAAAAGGACTCAGCCACTCTAATTTAGTGCCTGCTGATCCTGGGGCTGAGCAAAGTGAAGAGGAATATGGCGAATCTTCGTCATCCTTGTCTGACCTCGAGGATGACCGAGAAGAAACGCCCGATCTATACCGTAACTCTGCTCTGGGAATGCTTGAGCCTAGAGACGAAGATGACGAGTCTGAGTCTGAAGACGAGGACGAAGACGCTGACATGTACGGGGACGAGTATGACGAAGAGATGGACTATGGGGACGAGGAAATGTCTGATGGCGAAGACGACATTAGTGATGATGATGAAGAGTTGAGTGGGATGGGCGACATTGAGGGCCTGCACGGAGAACCTGGCGTTGTTGAAGTCATCATGGACGACGACGATGACGATGACGACGAAGATGAAGATGAAGAGAGTGACGACGAGGGCGATGAGGCAGACTCGGCCGATATGGAAGATATGGAGGATCGTGTTGAGATTGTCGACGAAGATGGAAACCCGATTGATGATGACTCCGCCTGGGAAAGCGACAGCGACATAGACGATAACGAAGTGCAGCCAACCGAGGACGTGGACTATGAGGCAGAGGCGCAAGACGAAGATGAGGCTCATATACACGGCATGGGGCCAAGAGACCTTCTCGATAACATGGCACGCGCTATCATGGGTGACGATGAAGGCTACGGACATGATATTATGAATGGCCTTGATGATCATTACATGGATGATGATCAAGATGATGTGGAGGATGATGATGAAGACGAAGAGGAGATTGAAGACGAAGAGTATTTTGATGAAGACGAATTCTATGCGCCTGAAGACCATCTTCCACACCTGGCCCCTGCCGGGTGGGATGGTATGGATCCTGAGATTGATGATCGGCATCGATTGCTTCTCCTGGAGAATAATCGTCGACCAGTCTTCACCAGAATGGAAAATCGAGGTGGCCCCCCATCCCGATTTCTTGGGACACAGCGTGACGGTGGCGACTTCAGAAGCTACTTCTCCCGTATGCACCGGCCCGCTGGTCAACAGAACCATGCTGAGGATGGATCAAATCCCTTACTTAGGCGCAACGACCCCGAGACAGAGAATTCTTCGAGACCAGGCAACTCCAACTCTTTCGGACTTCGCTTGCCGGAAACAATGTTCGCTTCCGGTGGCCGCCATATGATTGATGGACCAATGAGCTTCCTTGGCGAGCTGATGGAATTTTTGCCTATGATGGGTCGCAATAATAACGGTCAAGCTTTCCACGTGCAGATTACAAGACCTGGTGGTCCTCGTGCGGAGTTTGCGCCCATCCGCCCTGGCAGACACGATCAACGCCGGGAAGTCAGCCAGGAGCCTTTTCAAGCAGTTGCTTTTACTACAGAGTCAACAGTCAGCCGCTATAGCGAAGAAGCGAGAATGATCTTTGGGTCAAATTATGTTCTTGAAGCGTCCAGACTCAGCAACGCCATCAGTGCTGCTCTTACTCCGGCTGCTGTGGAGCACCAAAAGAAGGTCATGGCAGTTGATGAAGAAAACCGAAAGAAGGCTGAGGAGATCCGTAGAAAGCTTGAAGAGGAGCAGAAAGAAAAAGAGGCAAAAGAAGCAGAGGAACGTGCTGAACAGGAGCGAGGTCGCCAGGCAGCCCTCGAGAGAGCCGCCGCGGCGTTCGAGGCAGCCGGTTCATTCTTCACAGAGGATGACGAAAGGCTTGCTATGGAAGCCGTGGAGAGCTTGAGTAGTGGCGAACCAGCGAGCCAACCAGAAGCTAGCTCAGCCTCCAGAGTCACAACGACTATTCGAGGAGAAGAAGTCGACATCACGGAGCTAGGCATTGACCCCGATTACTTGGCCGCCCTTCCAGAGGAATTCCGCGAAGAAGTCATTGCCCAAACTGTCAGTGAACGACGCTCCCAGGCTCTTCAGACAGCCCCGGCAGGAGAGTCCACCGAAGTCTTTCAAGAGTTCCTTGACGCGCTGCCCGAAGAGCTCCGCTTGGAAATCGCGCAGCAGGAACGACAAGAGCAGCGCCGACGTGTAGGAAATCGAAGGCATGCTGGCAATGCTGGCACTGTACGCCCGGCTGACATGGACACGGCCAGCATTCTACAGACTTTCCCACCCGAGCTCCGTGACGAAGTTCTGCTGCAGCAGGGTCAAAGTCTCATGGACCAATTGACTCCGGAATTGGCTGCCCAGAGTCGTGCTCTTCACCAGCATCACGGACCTTCCGGTCTACAGCGTGGCCAGCACCATGGCCCCCCCCCAACTGGAAACAACTCGCATGCAGAGGCCAGCAAAGCCGCAGATAGCAAGCCGCCTCGGAAGACGGTTGTCCAAATGCTCGATAAAGCCGGTGTGGCTACTCTACTCCGACTTATGTTTATCACCCATCAAGGCTCCTTCCGTAACTATCTTTTTGCAGTATTCGCCGATGTGTGCGAGAATCGACAGAGTAGACTGGAGGTCATCAGTACACTGCTTCAGATTCTGCAAGATGGCAGTACCGATGTCAATGCCGTTGAACGCAGCTTCGGGCAGCTGTCAATCAAGGCCAAGCGGCTCAAGGACAAGGAGAGAGACGCTGAGCCACGCACGCCACAAACCCTCAAGCGAACCTTGACCTCGTTGAGCGTCTCCAACACTGCTCAGACCAGTTCTGAGACCTCGCCGTTGCTGATTGTCCAGCAATGCCTAGATCTGCTTGTGGACCTTTGTGCCAGGAACCCACACGTACCATGGCTCTTTCTTACTGAGCACGAAACCGTCGGTGCTTCGCTACGAAAATCATTTGGTCGCAAGGGCAAGACAAAGGACTCCAAGGCCAACAAATACGCCATCAATGCCTTGTTGACGCTCCTCGATCGCGAACTCATTACCGAGAGCTCTTTGGTCATGACTCATCTCGCTGATCTCCTCAATCGTGTGACAATGCCGCTACAAAATCTCGAGCGTCGACGCAGAGAGTCTCTGGACACTGTTCTTGTCGAGACGGAAAAGCAAAACGAGGGACAAACAAGTGGCGAGGCACAGGCAGATGCTCCAGCAGCCGGCAACGAGGATAGTGCGCAGAAAGCTCCAAAACAAGGCAATGTCCCTCAAAAGCGTTCTCGGCAGTTACAGCCACCAGTCATCCCCGAAGAGAATCTCTCACTTGTCGTCAGAATTTTTGTTGCCAGAGAGTGCAGTTCCAAGACTTTCCAAAACACGATCGCTACGATCAAGAACCTCTGCGCCATTCCTGGAACGAAGACTATTTTTGGGCAGGAGTTGATACGTCAAGCCCGTGCGCTGAGCCAGAATATTGTAACAGACCTTAATGAACTGTTGCCACACATTCTTGCAGCCAGCTCTGGAACCGAGATCCAAGGAGTCGCCCTCGCCAAATTTTCTCCAGGAGCTTCGGATCAAAATAAGCTCTTGAGAGTGCTCACTGCTCTGGATCATCTCTTTGAGCCGAAGAAGAAGCCAAGCCAAGCCTCGCCCGACAACCTCGACGATAGCAAGCAAGACTTGCTCACATCTCTGTATCACAACGAGACTTTCTTGAGCATGTGGGATAAGCTTAGCAGATGCTTGAGTGCTATCAGACAGCGCGAAAACATGCTCAGTGTTGCAACAATCTTGTTGCCACTTATTGAGTCCCTCATGGTCGTCTGCAAAAACACCACTACCAAAGACGATGCAACACCCAGTCAGCAAACTGGTGAGGAACCTCTTTCAAGTCCCGTGTCTGAATCGCAAACTGCCAGCCTGTTCTTCTCTTTCACGGAAGAACACCGCCGTATCCTCAACGAACTCGTTCGCCACAGCCCTAAGCTCATGTCTGGGACATTCGCTCTGCTGGTCAGGAATCCTAAAGTCCTTGAGTTTGACAACAAGCGCAATTACTTCAACCGAACCGTTCACTCTCGAGCAGCACATGGCCAGAGCCGTCCTTCGTACCCGCCCCTACAGCTATCGGTCAGGCGCGAGTCTGTATACCGGGATTCATTTGCCAATCTCTATTACAAGAGCGGAGACGAGATCAAGTATGGCAAATTAAACATCAGATTTGGTGGCGAAGAGGGCGTTGATGCTGGTGGTGTTACAAGAGAATGGTTCCAAGTCCTCGCGCGACAAATGTTCGATCCAAATAACGCCTTATTCATTCCGGTTTCTTCAGACCGAACCACATTCCACCCCAACAAGCTCAGCAAATTCCACTTGAATGAAGATTCCAACGCTGGCGAGAGCACTGACAGCATTCATTTCAAGTTTATTGGCCGAATCATTGGCAAAGCCTTGTACGAAGGCAGGCTTCTGGATTGCTTCTTCAGTCGTGCCGTGTACAAACGCATCCTTGGCAAGTCAGTATCCGTCAAGGACATGGAGTCTTTTGATCCTGATTACTACAAGTCCCTCTGCTGGATGCTCGAGAATGATATTACGGATATTATCACCGAGACCTTCTCGGAAGAAGAGGATGAATTTGGTGTTACAAAGATTGTCGACCTTGTTCCAAACGGCCGCGAGATTCCTGTCACCGAAGAAAACAAACAGGAATATGTCCGCCTCGTTGTAGAGCACCGTCTGCTGACGTCGGTCAAGGATCAGATGGAGAGTTTCTTGAAGGGCTTCCATGAGATCATTCCCGCAGAACTGATCTCGATTTTCAACGAGCAAGAACTAGAATTGCTGATCTCCGGTTTGCCTGACATTGACATCGATGATTGGCGCAGCAATGCGGAATACCACAACTACACGCCATCCTCCCAACAGGTCCAATGGTTCTGGAGAGCAGTCCGCTCCTTCGATAAGGAAGAGCTGGCCAAGCTGCTTCAGTTTGTAACTGGAACGAGCAAAGTTCCGCTCAATGGTTTCAAGGAGCTCGAGGGCATGAACGGCATCAGCAGGTTTAATATTCATCGCGACTATGGTGACAAAGACCGCCTGCCCACATCTCATACCTGCTTCAATCGTAAGTTCAGTTTCACTTACCTGAGTTGAATTGTATTCTAACGTATAAACAGAGCTAGATCTTCCGGAATACGACAGCTATGATACACTACGTGCTCAGCTCTACAAAGCTATTACGGCCGGAAATGAATACTTTGGTTTTGCTTAAAAAGTCATCGAGTCAGAAGTCGCTGCGCGTCAGGCGAGCAGATGAGTTTGTTTTCAGAAGCAGGATATGTACTACTATAGTGGTGGTGCAATTTTAGATGAAGAGGAAAGGATTGTTTTAAGAGGGGCTGTCCTACGCAGCAAGCACCGACTGCTGTGCAATAGGGAAGTGCAGGTCCCCAAGCCAGTAAGTAAGGCGCTAAAGCTGGTTGGAGCCCGAAAGGTTGCGAATTTGCAGTAATTTTTTGTTTGTTTTTCTCGTTTAGCAATGGTCAATATAGAATACATGACCCTATTAATGCACTTTCATCGCAATCGTCATTTGGTAGACAGCGACATGAGTAGGCTCATCAAGTATTTAGGCATAGTGAGTAAGCATGAGGCGGGTGCGAAGCGGTTGGCAGTTCCACGAGACGAAATGATACGAGTTGAAAGTGGGTGTGATGAGTCTCGAAAATTATGATGCAAGGTTCAACAATGTGTCTAGACATTCATAAAGCAGTCACAATTTCGCTAGAGGTAAAAAGAGCTCATGGTAGCCCACGCCTCTATGTAGGTATTACAAGACGAGCATGGTGTGTGTAGTCGGTGGTATATCTCATTTTTTATTTTTCCACATGAAAGTTTCCTAATTTTTGCTCGAGCAAAATTTTTCCTTTTGCTCAACAACTCTTCCAATCCGTTTTTTATATCTTCGTTACAAAAGAGACGACAAGAACAACGGGGGGAACCAACGCCTCGTGAAACACACACTCACACACACGACAAGTTGTCTACTTGCGCATGGAGGAGGCGCGGCGCTTGCGAGCATCGGCCTTGTTGGCCTTGGCCTCGGCGACACGCTTGGCGAGAATCTGAGCGTACTCGTTCTGAGGTAGGTGTTAGCCGGAACTGTGCTCTTTACCGTCATGGTAATGCGTGATGGGGAAGAAGACTTACGGCCTCGTCCTTGACCTTCTCGGCCTGACGGCGCTTGAGAGCGGCACGGTGGCGCTTGTGCTGGAGACGCTGGGGGGTTACGAGTCTCTGGATCTTGGGGGCCTTGGTGTAGACGGACTTGCCCTCACCCTTGGGCTGGACCTCGCGGCGAATGACGTACTTGCGGACCTATTCAGATTGGAAAAGAGCGGTTAGTTGACAAGTTGAGAATACGAACTGAAGCGGAAAAACTCGTTGCAATCGGGTTTCGGGTTTTGGTTGCCCTTGGATGAAACAAGCTTCTTGTCCTTTTTTGTCATCGCGTTTTCCGCTGTCCGCTTTCTCTTTTCACTTCCAGGAAAAATAAAAGGGGTAACGTGTCCAAAGTTGAATCAAAAAGAAGGAAGCAAGATGCTCGTCCCGCCCGAGGGACCAGCCCCAGAAAACAAACCGATTGACTTTTGCTCACACTCTACCCCGGCCGGACACGCTCGGCAGGGACAGGGAATAGAACCTGTGCCCTTGGAGCGCGCCCGGCGCAGGATAGGCGATGACCGAGTATGATGATGGGAGGGCCGCGGCAGAAAACAACATACATCGTCATCCTTGGTGAGGCCGAAGAAGCGGCGGATCTTGGTGGCGCGCTTGGGGCCGAGGCGCTTGGGGTGGACGACGTCGGTGAGGCCGGGGATGTCGGCCTCGCCCTGCTTGACGACAGCAAGGGCGAGCACGGACAGGTCCATGCCGGTGATGCAGCCGCGGACCGACTTGCGCTTGCGCTCGCCGGAGCGGCGGGGGCGGTAGCACGAGTGGCCAGTGGCGAGCAGCAGGCGGACACGGTTGGGGGCCATAACACCCTGCTTCATGGGGAAACCCTGCTTGTCGTTGCCGCCGGTGATGCGGAAGATGTAGCCCTTGAACTCGTCGCCGAGGGAGTCGCCGGGAACCTCGGCACCCATCTGTGATGCTTGTTAGTGTTTGGTAAAGGGCGAGTTGGGATCGGTGAGAATTTTCCCAGGTAGCGCCAGGCCGCCTTCTCGCATCTTGAGATCAAACAATTGTTATCCGGGTCGGTATCCTGGGAAGGGATGGATATCAAGTGCCAATCGAAAGAGGCGAGAGACGACAGGCGCGTAGGAATTTCTCAATCGAGGGGGGTGTCGACATACGCGCTTCTCCATGAAGGCAATGAGCTTGCGCTCATCCTCAACTTCGACGAGCTTCTGGCTGCCGTTGGCAGGGAAGGAAATGTTCAGCTAGGAAAGTCTAGTCAGCACTGCATGTCTCTTTATAATTCGTGCCGGTCCAGATTCGAGTCCCATTTCGACGACGAGCGGCAGCAATGATCCAATGTCTCGCGCAACACTCGAGAGCAGCAGTAGTGGTGCATCTCGACAAGTGCAGCATATATTCGGTATCCGTCGTCGTCGTCGTTGTATATATCTCGAGTCCGTTACAGAAGAGGGTGATTCCTTACCTTCATCTTGCCAGTATGTGGTGGTGGTGCAAGTTCTGTCTTGACCTGACTGGAGTGAAGTTGTCGTCTGTGGTTGATGGGGAAAGGCACACACGGCCAAGCGGTCCTCTCTGCGGTGTAGGAAAATTGGGTGGTGCAAAATTGGAAAAAATTGTGTGTCGCTAGGGTTCCGCGAGCGAAAGGGCCAATGGGAGCGCTGAGGGCTGCAAGCGCTGTGGAGACTCACGAGTAGCGAGAGGAACGGGGAAAAAAGACTGGGGCCATGTTAAAGCTGTGGCTGAGAGCTGAGATCAAAGTCACATACACGCGCTGCGCGAGAGAGCTTCCAAATCATCCAAGATAAGGTGTCGGATTCATTACATGTGTGGACCCGGCAAGAAAGTTCACCCACATTTCACATTTTGTAACAGTCTCACATTTATGAATGAAGACACCGTTATAATACACACACCACCATGTCAACAGCAAGACTCGAGCCCCCTCGCGCAGACAGGCAGCCCGACGGCCCCAACCCTCTCCCGCAGCTCATCCAGACGCCTTCTGGGCTGGCCCTCCTCGAGCTACAAGGCGCCATCAACTTGCCGCAGGGAAAAGACGGCGCGCCCCTGCCCGGCCTGCAGATTGGGCGCGTCGAGTTCCCGGACCACGACCCGGCGGCGCCGGCGCAGGACGCGGCGTGGATGAAGCGCGTGCACATGTTTGTCGGGCAGCACCAGCGGCTGACGGGCGAGGTCAAGAAGCTGCCGCGGGCGGTGGCCGTGGTGCGGCGGCGCGAGAACAGGATGGAGTACGGCTCGGGCGGCGCGCACATGGAAGAGGGCGAGAACCTCGAGGTGGTGGAGATTATCAAGTACAAGCTCATGTTTGGCAACCGGCCGGAACCGGTAGGCACGGCGAATGCAGTCTGAGGCGAAAGCCGACGCTCATGTACAGTACCGTTGCGGAATCCATGATATTATGACATTCATGAAACGGTCACGACTATTGTTTGTATTGTTGCTACGTTTTCAGCACTTCACACAGCTCCTGCACGCGCCGCAGAGCTCCCACTCTCCTCTCTGGATCCGGCGCCTCAGACACAAACACCAGCGCGAGCACCAACGCAGCATCCAGTCTCAGAAACGCCTCCTCCCGCTCCGACACGGCCTCCAGCGGCCGGACACTCTTGTATCCTTGCAGAAAGGCCTCGCTCTGCGCTCCCCACTCCATGCTCCGGTACACGTCAACAACCGGCGGTGCCAGCAGCGCATTCGTCCAGTCAAACACGGCCGAAACCTCGCCTCGGCTCATCTGCAAGTTGACGCGCCGAAGGTCCATGTGCAGCAGGGCTGGCGGCTCCCGCCCCAGCAGCAACGGCTCCGCCACTGCGCGCAGCGTCGCCTCGTCCAGCGCCCAGTCTCTTGTCTGTGGCTCCAGCTCACCGAGCACCTCGAAGCGGCGTCGCATGCGCTTCAGAAACAGCGCCGGCAGCTGCGTGCGGCTGAAACCCTCCATGGCCAGGAGCTCGACGGCCCAGTCAGCCGGGATCGGTGTGGCGTGGATGAGGGCGGCGACGCGGCCGAGCGCTGCATCGTCGTCGGCAGCGCTTACACTATCAGCGGCCATGAACTCGCACACCATGGCGGGATAGCCGTTTACCTCGTAGATGCCGTGACAGCGGGGCACGGGGACGGCGGTAGACCGGAGGAGGTCGAGGATGGCGGCTTCTTGGCGGACGAGGGCGCGGGCATCAATGTTTGAGTCGTTGGCGTTTTGGAAGACTTTGAACTTGGGCACGCGGAGGACGACGGTGTTGTGAGTGAGCGATGTCGCCTTGTAGACACTGAATTCAAGGCCTTGGGCCAGGGTTTCTAGATTGCTGAGACCAGCCTCGACGGCGAAGGCTTGGGCCACTTCCATCTTGCGATATGCACTGCAATGTACTGCGAGATATGACGGTGTTTATGCGTGTCGTCTCTAATTTTGATTCTTTTTTTTAGCTCCCAGTATTGGTATCTTGTGTGCATCTGCATGCCTTGTGCACAAAGGACATGAAAGCTTGCAGTTGAAGAAACCAAGTTGATGTGCTCTTCAGCCGAAGTTGACTCACCCAGCTAGCGCCTCCAAGTCGTCAGCAACAACTACAAGTTGTAATCAATCAACTGCCAAATGAATGTGCCAGCTAACGATGTGTACTTTTTATGGGATTATTTCCAGTTTCAGCTTTTTTTTTGTCATTTAATCATGATTTTACGTCTTTTCTTTTTTTTTTTTTGGCATATCACGTCGCAGGAGTAACCTCCAGAGGCTTTGTCCGCCCCAGCCCATCTTTACCATAATAATCCATCGGGTAGACGCCGCCACCACCGCCCTCTTTCGACCAGTCCTCCGTGATGCCCAGCGCGACCAGCGCCTCGTACGGCGTCAGCAGCGGGCGCGCGAACGCGTAGCCCCAGTCGATGCTGAGCCGCGGGCACGCGACCTGGACCCAGCACTCGACGTCGGCCATGACGGCGAGCTTGCCGGGGAAGATTTCGCTCAGCAGCAGGTTGACCCAGGGGATGCCGCGGGCGCGCAGCTGTGCCTCGATGAGCGCCATGGTGTGCGGGTTGCCCTGGCGGCCGAGCGAGCCGAGGATGAGCCCCCAGCGACGGGCTCCGCGCGCCGTCTGAATGGCCGTCCTGCGCACCGACTGCATCTCGTCGTGTCCATACGTCTCGCGCGTGAGCTTGCGCGAGTACGGGTCGTAGCGGTACGCGGGGATGCGCGGGTTGTGGATCATGATGCTCTCGAGGTGGAAGCGGCCGTCGCCGAGGTACAGAATCAGGTCGACGCCGTCCTCGTCGCGCAGCCGCGGCGACGTGCACCCGAGAATCTCGCCCTTGCTGAGCGGCGCAATCTGCGGCACCAGCACGCGGAAACCGGCCGCCTCGAGGCTGCCGCGCACGCCGTGGATCGTGGCGTTGAACTGGATGGTGCCGACGAGCGCAATCGTCTTGCCGCTGGCAAAGTTGCGCTCGAGCGAGGCGAGCAGGTGCGCCGCGTCGATGCTGATGTCGACAAAAACGTACAGCGTCTTGATCTTGGTCACATCGACGGGGATGAGGCAGCTGTGGGCATAGTGCACGAGCAGGTCGCAGCCGAGGGCGCGCGCCGTGTAGTCGTCGATGCAGCACGCGCCGTACGTCACGTCGCCCATGATGAGCGTCTCGATGCCCGGGCAAAACTGCGTCAGAATGTCCGAGATGGTCGTGGCGAAAAGTAGCAGGCCCTCGGGCATCTGCAGGGCCACCTTTTTCGCACCAGACGTCTGGATGCGGTGGATTGTCTTGGGTATCTCGAAGCTATAGTTGGCAGGGAGCAGAGCAATGGCCTCCTTGAGCTTGGGGTCCTCGGAAATCTCTGGCGGCACGCGGTTCAGCAATCTCGGCGCGCGTCTGGGTTTGGCAGCTGCAAAAGTTGTATCAGTATAGTCTCATTCGCGTGAGGCAGAGGCAAATGCTCACTCTGCAGGGCACCGCTCTCTCCCATCCCTTGGACTCCATTCTTGGCGGCAGCCTCGGCAGCCGCTCTTCTTCCCACGAAACGCTTCTTTGGTTGCTTGACAACGGGCTCCTGGCCGTCAGGCTGTATCGTATTATCTTGTGCTGCAGTCTTTGCCTGAAGCAACTGAGACTCTTCTATATCGGCGGCCAGGCCGAGATCGACCTGGGCTCTATCATCCTCCATGCTACCCAAGTGTGCTGGTTATGTTCTCGAGGCGTATCTCATATATTCATGTGAGATTTTCTGCTAATTTCACTGTTATTCGCCGTCGAAGTGATTTTTTTTGTTGCCGTTGAATGAGGTGAGTAAGAACGGCGGGTTACATTTTGCGCCAATGGGATTGGGCGCCGTCATCCCACCTTTTGGTGGAGCGGGGCTTGCCACTCGAAGTAGGCAATGATGGTTGCGATACTGAACAAAACTTGCAAATCTTGAAATACGTAAGGAATATCTATGTTGTGGTCCGTCCCAGATAATGCAGGATATAATGATATTTCCGGAGATATTCGAGAAACAGAGCTCAATATTCGAGATTGAAAAATGGCCACGGTGCTACATGGGATGTCACCGCAGCGGCTTACACAGGTGTGGCAGGCAAAAGATTATGCGACTTGGTATTTGGTATAAATTGACAATCATAAATTATATCCACGAATAACCTCTCACTCAGCTACGCAAGCGAAAAGCGGCGACACCTCATATCATCGAGTAACCATCAGCTTCGCCACCAACAGGACAAGCCACGCCCGCACCATTCACTCCCTCTACTCATCCTAGTCCTTGTTTACTTTGAACTTGTACGTCGCCTGGAGCACGTACGGATCATCGCCAGGTCCAAATATCTGGCGGTTGCCGCGCATCCACTCGGGGTTGTTGATGCCGTCAATGTAGTCCTGAACCTCCAAGACGACGCAGCCGTACTTCGGAATAGTACGGGGAAAGTCCTTGTGATCCTCGAGGCCCTGCGTCTTCTTGAGAACGATGCTACCGTCCATTCCGTTGCAGCTGTAGACCTGAAAGGCGTGCTGGTCGGTGTAGACGTCAATCTCGATGCCGGACCACGACGAGGCGAGGCGCGCGACGGGTCCCTCGGTGCGCCAGTCGTATGAACCGAGATGGTCGCGGTTAACAAGGAAGCAGTTGTCTGGGAGCAAATGTTAGATTGATCGTTCACAGCTTTTCATCCTTTCTCTATAATGTAGAGCTCACCGTAGCCGGTGCAGTTGAAACCGCAGTTGTCGACAAGGTCCTCTTCGCCCATGGCGTGGCCAACCTGTCTAGGCTGGCTCCAAAAGTCGTTGACGGAACCTTTCTTGTTGGACCAAAATTCGCCAGTGGGGATGAGAATATTGTCCACGCCGACGCGCTGGCCGCTGTACGGCAGGTGTAGCGTGTGGTTAAGCGCGGTGTTGGTCTCATTATTCGCAAAGCCGTCGAGGTTCCAGTACGTGTGGCTGCTAAGCATGATGGGCGTCTTCTTGGTCGTCGACAGCGCAATCATTTTAATGTGCCAGTCCATGCCCTGCAGCGTGTAGGTAATGTACGAGATGACCTCGCCAGGGAAGCCCTCTTTGCCGTCCGGGTCAAGAATCATAAACGTGACACTGTTGCTCGTGTGGGAGACGACGGTAAAGTTGCGCCAGTCCCAACCGTCGGGCCCGCCGTGCAGCGTGTCGACGCCGTCCGGGTGGTCCTTGGTCGGGTTCTCGTTCGCCTTGATACGGTAGGTGGTCCCGTCGATCGTGAAGGTGCTGTTCTTGACGCGGTTGGCGTAGCGGCCGGGGACGCCGCCAAAGTGCGGGTGCAGCTTATCCTCGTCGTAGTAGGTGGCATTGTCCCAGCCGGTGACAATGTCGCGCTCGACGCCGCGTTTGTCTCTTAGCAGCACGTTGGACACGGAGGCGCCGTAGGGGACGAAGGCGGCGCGCAAGCCGTCGCCCTCGATCCAATACTTGCCGTCCTTGTCTGGGCCAGGGGATGTCGACTTGGAGCTGGTAGAGGTCGAGGCGAGGCAGGGAAGTGTGGCGGTGGCTGCGAGGGCTGCGAGCTGGGAGACGAATTTCATGCCGGCGCTGAGTCTGTGTGTATGCGTATTTCAAGTAGGTGGTTGTGGTAGTGCTGATGATGGGAGTAGAGGTTCAGTCAAGAACTCTGACATGTGTTACAAGAGAAGGAAATGGACAGTAATATAGCTACCCAATTACTGAGAGCAGGCTTTAAAAACTGGGAGGGCGTGGTACTTTGATCACGGCCGCGTTGCCTGACAGCGCGCGCAGATAGACGGACAAGCTGCAGCCGAGTCGAGCTACGTCCTCCAGTCTCAGAGAGGCTTGGATCACCACCGTCAGGTCAGCGCCCGAAGCTAGCGACGTCGAGCCGGGCCTTTTGTCGTCGTCTCGTCTTCCTGCATGGAGGGGGGAAGGGGGGTGAAGGAGCTAGCTGCGAGACCCGAAGAGGTAAAAGAGCTGCAAATGACGAGTCGGTTCCGGCGACTTAGGGAATTGACGATCCGGGGTTGGCGAAAACTCGCACTAAAATCAATGACCGTTTCCTTTGAGCAGCCTAACTTTGCGGGGTTCTCAGTTGTTAAATAGTTCAAGCCCAGAGTTGGACTTTAACTTTGTTGTTGTTGTTTGTTTCAGCTAAGAATGTTGCTCTCATAGGTATGCTAGTCTTCTTTGATATCACAAAATCGTGCCTCGTATACTTGATCAATCCCAAGTGAATCTTCTTCTGCTCCACACTTTGTGAGCCTATTCTTCATCTTCGCTTTCATAATTCGTCTCCGGCTAAGTACTGCACATTTTCGCCCTACATGATGTCACCCGACCGACCGCCCGCCCGCTAAGAGGAGCCACCCGCCTTGTGCGGGCAAAATGTACTTGCAATGCGCAGGGCCAACGAAGCACAAGGCTCTGGGGAAAGATGAATCCCCACAAAGTGCAGACTTGGCGCAGTGGCTTGCAACGAACCGGTTCAGCCATGGAAAGAATCGCCGAGAAAACCAAACATTGGCTCAAAATGCTCCCCCCGCAATCTTTGTGCCCAGCTGCCAACGAAACAGAGTATTGTGCAAATCTCCCCCGCAGTTGATGTTGTTCTCACACTGGATGGAAGAAGAAAGAATAGACGGGATGACGTTTTGCAAGTCGACCCGCTGCAACCACGCATTTTACCTTCCAGATTACCATACAACTTGACTCGCATCTTTTGCGAAAACGGTTCGACCTGCATGACAAGTCCCCTCAACACCGCCCACAAGGAAATTTAGCTGGCTACGACATGCACAACATATTTTTCAATGATGGACCATAAGTGTACTCGTGTGTCTTAGCCTCCTCCGGAACTAAAAGTCGTATAAAAGAAGTGGCACTTGGAACCGCCAATAGCGACGCTAAAATAGACCAAACTTGGTCATTATTTGTGTAGCTTCTTCGTCAGTGCACAGTTTCAGCACTATAAATTTCAGGTTCAGTGTCTATTGAACTATAGAATATCAATGACATTAGAAAAACAAAAGCTTCGGATTCGTACATGCGATCCTAGTCGCGACAGCTGAGTGAATACCAAGAATGCTGTTAACTCAGATGCCAGCATAGGTAGGCAGGCAGGATCCTTGCTGGCGCTATACCGACCTTGCAAGATGAAGCAATCTCACCACAGGCAGCCCGCATCGCATCTCCGCGGCCTCTAATCTCATTGGCCCGCTCTATGCTTGCTTCACTACATTACAGGGCCCATCTAAGCATCAATTAGGTTACCCTCCTCTTGTTGTTGCTCGGCCTCGCCGCGAGCCTTGCCCTTACCCTTGGCATCCTTCTGCGCACGCTGGTAGTATTCGTTGAGAACCTTGGCAGGAATACGGTTCAGAAGATCTTTGGGGAAGATGCGCAGCAGGCTCCAGGCAAGATCTAGAGACTCGTAAATCGAACGAGACTCGTATTGTCCTTGGCTGATGAACTGGCGCTCGAACTTGTCGAGGAACTCCAGCGACAGTTTGTCCTCTGCTGACAGAGCCTCCTCACCAACGACTGCCTTCATGGCCGCGGCATCACGACCAATGGCGTACTTGGCGTACAGCTGGTTTGACACGTCACCGTGGTCCTTGCGGGTCATGCCTTCGCCAATGGCTGACTTCATCAAACGAGACAGCGAAGGCAGCACGTTGATGGGAGGGTAGATACCACGGTTATCCAGAGCTCTGTCGACGAAAATCTGACCTTCGGTAATGTAGCCAGTCAAATCGGGAATAGGATGGGTAATATCGTCATTGGGTAGGGTCAGAATAGGGATCTGAGTAATCGAACCGTTGCGTCCAGCGACACGGCCAGCACGCTCGTATATAGTCGACAAATCAGTATACATGTAACCAGGGTAACCACGGCGACCGGGAACCTCTTCTCTGGCGGCGGAAACTTCACGAAGAGCATCGCAGTAGGCAGAGAGATCGGTAAGAATGACCAGAACGTGCTTCTCGAGCTGGTAGGCGTAGTATTCTGCAGTTGTCAGGGCAAGACGAGGAGTAATGATACGTTCGATACTAGATCCTGCGTTAGCGCAATCATTGAGAAAAGCGAATTATTGATCGCATACGTAGGGTCATTGGCAAGATTAAGGAACAGCGTAGTCTTTTCTAGACTCCCATTCTGCTCAAAGTCGCGAGTGAAGAAACGGGCAGTCTCCAAATTGACACCCATGGCACCAAAGACAATGGAGAAGTTGTCCTCGTGGCCGTCGTGGACTCCCTTATTGGTGATGCCCTTCTTCTGGACCAGACCGGCTTGTCTGCAAATCTGGGCAGCGATTTCGTTGTGAGGAAGACCGGACGCGGAGAAGATGGGAATCTTTTGACCACGGGCAATCGAGTTCATGGTATCGATGGCCGAGATACCAGTAGAGATCATCTCCTCGGGGTATTCCTGCTACCTGTCAGCGTTTCGGTGCTCAATCGGCCGGCATTGGTGCGAGCGTACACGAGAGTATGGGTTGATAGGGCTGCCGTTGATGTCGATGTAGTCTTCGGCAAGAACCTTGGGACCCTTGTCGATGGCACGGCCAGAACCGTCAAAAATACGACCCAGCATGTCTTCAGAGACACCGAGCTTCAAGCTTTCGCCAGTGAATTCGACCTTGGTCTAATGTTGGGTATTAGCATTGGTGGTCCAGTCACGATCCCGAAACTAGCTGCCTACCTTCTTCACATCGATACCGGAAGTGCCCTCAAAAACCTATCGGTGCATTCTTAGCAAAAGTGACAGAAGATCCCTATGACGCAATTCGTCGTACCTGGACAACGGCTCGGTCACCTAAGGCCGGTTAGTAAAGTCCAACGTATTGAAGAATAGCGGTGTCTGCCTACCTCGAGCTTCCAAAACCTGACCAGAGCGCTCTGTTCCATCGGGAAGCGTCAAAGTGACGATTTCGTTGTATTTGGGCAATTTAACCTGCAAGCCGTTAGCGGCCGAAAGCCAAAAAAAGCCACGACGTTGCCCGCCGCCAATGCAGCAAAGTCATGGCAGATCGAGAGCATCGTACATTGTCGAGGATGACAAGAGGACCGTTGATACCGCCAATGGTGTTGTATCGAATCCTCGGGATGATGGAGTAGGACGACGACTCGCGCGGGTCCGACATGGTGGATGTAGTCTGTCGTGTACGAAAACGCTCGACCTCGTTAGGTGGGGGGGAGAGAGGCAGCTGGCGCAGCCTGCCGAGATGCGGTAGGGAGAGAGTGAGGATGGAGGAAAGCCGTGGTTCGTCCTGCGGTCAATGTGCCGGTGCTGGGATCCTAGTCACGGACGATATGGCAAGTGCAGATGGTGATTGTCGAGAAGCCCGGAGCTGGAGACGAGGCGAGGTTGGAGGAGGTTGAGCTTGGTTACGACTTGGTGGAGCCGCTCTAGGTCGGCTTGGCCCACGGGCCACGGCGTGGAGAGGCAACTCTCATTACAACGACGTCACATGACTCTTGGCTGCGAGACTGCAGAGGCTCTGCATCAGAATGGTGCCAAACAATGCATGATGTCTTGAAAATAGTATTGTTTCTACTTTGGGTCTGATTGTCGGATCTCCTTGCAGCACATTTTCTTCATTGAATCGTCATTGGTCATGTTGGGCGGGAAGCTGGAGCTGCACCAAAGTCTACAACGGTCTAGGCCGGGCATGGCTTCAGTTCGCTGCTGATATGACAAAGTCACGAAAACTCCAGCTATTCCACACGAAATTCCCCAGCAATAGTATTCATCTTGAGGGTTGTTTACTGGCTATTTTTCTGGGGGAGTTTTTTTTCTTCTTTTCTTTTTCAAAATCGCCAGACACGCCTGGACCTGTTGCTATGCTAAAAACCCCGGACCGGGTGCCACCTACCGGTGTCCGTCAGCTTCATTCTTGGAAGAGAAAGGAAGCTGTTTAAAGTCAAGATATACGCAGCGGGACAATTTCTCAAGATTGACCGTCTTTGTACAATGGAAGACAGAAAAGCCAAATGCTTTGCCGAGATATTGGAGAGTAGCGACCTTACAACTCTTCCTTTCGTTCACCTACGCCGTAAAGCTACTGTATACACACACCAATCCGCTCATTCGTCATTCTCCATGCCATCGACATCCATCAGCCTCGGAGCTTCTCTGCTATTCCTACTCCCCCTTGGCCGCACTCGCCGCCTGCCTCACGCGCGCGCCCAGCACAGCCTTGCCCACGCTCGAATCATTCGCCTTGCCCAGCTCGCCCGTAATCCATGCACCAATGTCCGCCACCGCGTCCAGATCAACCCCCGTGTCCATTCCTAGCGTCTCCATAAAGTACACCATGTTCTCCGTCGCCACGTTGCCCGTCGCGCCGGGGCTGTACGGGCAGCCGCCGAGCCCGCCGACGCTGCTGTCAAAGATGCGGACTCCATGCTCCAGCGACACGGCCGTGTTGACCAGCGCCTGACCGTACGTGTCGTGAAAGTGCATCGCCACGTCCTCGGTGCGGATGCCCGCTGCCGCCATGCACTTGAGTAGATTGCTCGTCCGCGGCGCCGTCCCCATGCCGGTCGTGTCGCCCAGCGAAATCTCGTCGGCGCCCGACTCGAGCAGATCTGTCGCAATCTCCGCCACCTTGCGTGGGTCTACGTCGAAGCCCTCAAACGGGCACCCTAGCACCACCGACACGTACGCGCGCACCCGCAAGCCTAGCGCCTTGCTGTCCTGAATCACCGCCTTGAACCGCTCTAGCGACATCTGAATGTCGCAGTTGAGATTCTTTTGCGTGAAGCTCTCCGTGGCCGCGGCGAAGACGGCAATCTCTACGCCCGGCTTGGGCGTCCTGTCGCCCGGCACTGCAGGGTCCGCCTGCGTCGTGAACGCGCCCTGGTGCTGCTTGAGCAGGGCGGCAGCGTTCTGTAGGCCCTTGGTGTTGGGCGCCAAAAAAGCATATGAAATCGGAACGGGTGATTGAATCTTTTGCTGCAGCAGGTGCTCGAGAATGTCGCTGGAGTTGGCCATCTAGACGACTGCGTCAGCAAGCACAGGGACTTGATGCCGGTCGGCAGAAGCCATTGCCACGTACCTGAGGAACCCATTTGGGAGACACAAAAGAACCAGCTTCAATAGTATCCAGACCAGTCCGTGCCAGCCTCTCGATTAGCTCAATCTTGGTGGCCAGTGGAATCGTCTTCTTCTCGTTCTGGAGACCATCTCGGGGTCCGACCTCGACGAGCTTGACCCTGTTGTCGCGAGCTGAGGAACTGGCGGTGGCAAAGCCACGCTGAGCTCTAAATTGGGTTCTTCTACAGGCTCTGCAAACGGCCGACCGTAAAAGAGACATTTTGTGTGAATTTTGTGATGCAGATCGAGTATGGGCCGTGGTCGTGTGAGGAGCAAGTTCAGCAACGGTAGATGGAGCTTGGTTCCCCGCGGTGTAGGTAGCGCGCGTACCGTCGGCCTCAGCTAGATCCATCAGCGCGGCAAGTAGCGGCCCTAACACGGCAACAGCACCATTGGCAGCATCGAGTTCATTCGAGATATTCGGAGCATCATCAATTGCAGTTTTACAAGGGATTTTGACATTAAAAATGTTTGTGTTTATGGAAATATAACGTAATTACACCCCCTGGGGCATAGAGAGTGGGCATAGCTGCCTCGAAAGAAATTAATCCCCCTTAGCAGTATATAGCGCGTCACCCATCTAGTACTCAATCTCGCCCTCATCCTCGCCAGTCGAGTCGGCAGCAACCTCCTCGTAATCGCGCTCAAGAGCAGCAAGATCCTCACGGGCCTCGGAGAACTCGCCTTCCTCCATACCCTCACCAACGTACCAGTGGACGAACGCACGCTTGGAGTGCATAAGATCGAACTTGACGGAGAGCGAAGACCAGGCTTCTGCGATGGAGGTGGTGTTGGAAAGCATGCAGCTACTTGATGTTAGTTGTGGTAACGTGGCAGTAGATAACGAAACTTACACAGCACGGTTGACCTTGGCAAGATCGCCGTTGGGGACATTCTCGGGAGCCTGGTAGCAGATACCAATCTTGAAACCAGTGGGGCACCAGTCGACGAACTGGACGGTGCGCTTGGTCTTTAGGGTAGTCACGGCGGCGTGGGCGTCGTTGGGAACGACGTCACCGCGGTAGAGCAAGCAGGTAGCCATGTACTTGCCATTGCGGGGGTCACACTTGACCATCTGGTTGTTGGGCTCGAAGCAAGACATGGTCATCTCCTGGACCGAGTTGGCCTCGTGGGCAGCCTTCTTGGCCGAGATGACGGGGGCGTAGGCAACGAGAGGGAAGTGAATTCTGGGATAGGGAACCAGGTTGGTCTGGAACTCGTTGAGATCGACGTTGAGGGAGCCATCGAAACGGAGCGAGGCGGTGATGGAAGAGACGACTGATGTCACGTTAGAACAGGTGTCACGAGACACATCAAATGAACATATAATTAGGCTTACCCTGAGCAATGAGACGGTTCAGGTTGATGTAGTCGGGACGCTCAAGACCGAGGTTGCGGCGGCAGATGTCGTAGATGGCCTCATTGTCGACCATGAAAGAGCAGTCAGAGTGCTCGAGGGTGGTGTGGGTGGTGAGGATAGAGTTGTAAGGCTCGACAACCGAGGTGGCGGTCTGGGGGGCAGGGTAGACACAGAACTCGAGCTTGCTCTTCTTGCCGTAGTCGACGGAAAGACGCTCCATTAGGAGAGCACCGAAACCGGAACCGGTACCACCACCGAAGGAGTGGAAGACGAGGAAACCCTGAAGACCAACGCAGTTATCGGCGACGCGGCGGATCTTGTCGAGAACGCCATCAATGAGCTCCTTGCCGACGGTGTAGTGACCACGAGCGTAGTTGTTGGAGGCATCCTCCTTGCCGGTGATCATCATCTCGGGGTGGAAAAGGTTGCGGTAGGTACCGGTGCGGACTTCATCGACGACATTGGGCTCGAGATCGCAGTAGATGGTACGGGGAACGTACTTGCCCTGGCCTACATAGTGGCATTAGCATTCGACAAACGGAAAAGGCGTTTTCGTCAACGGCGTGATAGCGCGCGGCGCGGGAAATGAGGGTTGGCGTACCAGTCTCGGAGAAGAAGGTGCTGAACCCCTGGTCAGGATCCTGAGCCTTGCGCTCTTCGGTGAGATAACCATCGGGCTGTTCAAGTCGAGGGTCAGTGAAAATCCAGTTGTATTGGCGACATCCGAGGTGGTATAGCATGTCAATATCGGGACAAAATTACCTGGATACCGTGCTCAAGGCAGTAGAGCTACAAATAGGAGTTAGCTGGCGTGTTTACAGAGCGAGAGGGGGGGGATGAATAGGGGATGGGCGTCAACATACCTCCCAGCAGGAATTGGCAATCTGGCAACCAGCCTGGCCGACTAAATATCACCACTGTCAGTATCATCATCATCAGACCGTGCACGAAAAAGTATCGTTTTGGGGGGGGGCGAGGCGGATAGGTTTGGCGGCGGTGAGCCAAAAACGCGTTGCTTTGCTGTGCGTCGGGGGAGGAGGGGTAGATGCAAAGGGCGGCGCAGCATACCGTTGATACTGATAACCTCACGCATGGCGATGGATTTGTGGTTTGAAACGTGGAAGACGAATCGATGGGTGGATGGGGAAGAGAGAAGGAGAGATTCTGGGCAAGGCAGAGAAGTAGAGCTAGAGTCTGGAAGAGGGTCTGGCGGGTTTCCGTCGAGTGAAATCTGGCCGGCGAAGGCTTTTGCAGGTATCCAGTTCAAGTTGCTGGGGTGCGTGGTGGTGCGAAAGGCGGAAAGAGACCTACGGGCTGCGGTCTAGCAGGTGGGGGATATTGGGCGAGACAGGGGGGGGGGTTTTGAGTGACAAGGTGAGCAGAGGCCCAAGCTAAGCTGGCCCAGGCAAGCTTCTGGTTGGTTGGGGCGAGGCAGCTGGCGTGCCTTTTTCGTGGTTTTAGTGGCCCAAGGTTGCAGTAAAATGCAGTCTCGCTGTAGATTCAGGGCATTCACGCTGCTGTAGAACAGCATCAGGGCCGGCTCAGGGTACCTCGCCCCCCTCCCACTGTCATTTGTTGACTTTGGGCCCGGCCAGGCGACGACACCTTGAACGGGTAAGCGCGTTCTCATCACTCTGCACCTTTGCATCCAGGGTCTTCACCGCTACCGGCAGCAAGACGGTAACAGGGTAATGAAAAACGCCGAGATGTCTCCCGACCTGTTCAACAGAAACGTGTCGACTACAGGATGCTACTGCGTACTGGTACAAAGTGAACTCTCATCAGTTGAAGCATGGCGGCCTTGTCAACACAACCAGCGCACTCAACTCCCCAAACAAGCGCAGCAATATCACGCGTCAATTGAATTCCAAGATACTGTGCTTTGTCCAAATTACACATATGCCTGTGCCTTATCTCTTGCCCAACAGCAAACGTAACTGAAGAAAGGGGCCTTGCCTTCACGGAATACCTCGGCGGCCAGAGGTCGCGGCAACCCATCTCCGATACACAAGCCACAACAACCATTAAACGCCCGTCAATCAATCCGAAAAGATTATTCACTTGCCTTTCCTTTTCTTCTCCTTTTCTTCTGGCACTGCTATTCACCTCTCCCACCAGCAAGGGACAAGTCGCCTGCATGGCCCAAGCCCATCTCGGGGAGCTTCCCCCGGGCACCCACTCACTCGTTCGCCCACTGTTTATATTCCCCCCTTCCGTTTGCGTGTTGTTATCACGCGTCGCGCGTCACTGTGTACTTGCATGAGCCCCCTAAATTCGCGCTACGCTTTGCGTATCCTGTACTTTTGGCCCAATCCAAAATCGAGTTTCCACGCCACACCCAAGTGAATTGAGCTCTGCTCTGGCCACAACTGAACCGTGGCGTCCTAGATAATAGAGCCCACTTTCTGTGCATACAGCAATCGATGTGAGGCGAAAGCTACCTTTTGATGTAATACCCATCCGTGGGAATGATACGTAAAGCACCAAAATTTGTCGCCATGATGTTTTTCTCAGATGCACGCACTTGTGTCTTAATATTACTAGCCGCATTCACCCGTCACGCCACCGCCAACGCCGACAAAATCATCTTCACAGGCCCCGAGCCCATCACCTACCCTTTAGCCTCGCCGTCCCTGGCCGATCTCAACCTTGACGTTATCGGCCCCGCGAGCCTGTCCATCCGCACCAGTCTCAGTCGCATCTTTCACAATGATTCGGATCCAGAGCTTCGAGGCAAGCCGCACGGCCGCGCGAGCTGGTTCATCCTAGACGACCTCACCCCGGGCCAACGATACGAGCTGCGCGTGTGCTGGGCCGCCATTGTAAGTCTTCACCGTAGCCTAGAGCGCCAAGCTGTAGACGCATGAAGAAATCTCGCTCTCTATGAAGGCTCATGCGAGATACAGGAGCCCACGGAATTCACCATGAATGTGTATGAGCTGGACAAGGTCTGGGAGACACCAGATCTCATGCTTTCCCTCGCCAACTACGCCTCCACGCGCCAAGTCGACACCGAGGACACCGAGGACACCGAGGGCGTAAAACCCCAAATTCATCATCGAACCGGCTCTTCCACAGACGCCAAAGAGCGAGAAGCATCACTCCTCCTCCTCCAGGTTCACGCCGCCGCCGACTACTTCTCCCACCACCAGGAGCTTATGCGTAACCCGCCGCCCGTCCTCGTGGATCTCATCCTGGATCCGTACCTCTTCAACGTGGTCCCTGAGTCCCTGATCTTGACGGCCGGATATATTGTCATTGTCGCTGTGGCGACGTTTTTTCTTGCAAGATGGATCGCTAACCGCATGACCGCCATTGCTGTGACCGAAGACCGGGGATCAAAGAAGAGAGATTAACCACAGATGTAAATCAAGCGTTTTCCGTATTCCTTCTTGCAACTATATGCTCTTCTTTTCTTGCTACCATCGAAAGGGTTATGCGCTTCTCGTGTGCTTTGTGTAAGCGTAATTCTAAAACAAGGATGGAAAAACATTCGAAAACCATGAAACGCTTTTCTTTAAATCAACATGGTACTCTTATTACTTGCAGGAGCCCTGGAAGAGAGAACCTATACCATTAGACGCACGTCATTATTCATTCATCCACCCAAACGATCTCACCCAAAGCGCCGCGTGCCTCGCCTCATGCATAAAAATCGGACACTAAGAAAAAAACGAGGGTCGAGAAGCACTTATATATCCAGAGGTTAGAAGCGAAGAACTCAGTGCTGTACGCCATGCAATCACCGGGACATTCATCTTGGCTATCTGCTGGCGGAGCCTCGCGGTTGCACAAGAGAGTGATGGAACGTAACCGCACATCGAAATGTTTCCATCCAGGCTTTCTAGTAACGACCACCACCATAGCTTTGGCCCTGGCCTTGGTAGCCACCACCACGGTAATGGGATTGACCGCCGCCGTACTGATTGCCAGAGTTGTACCCGCCGCCATGTTGCTGACTCCCGTGCTGCTGGCTACCGTGTGAGCCGCTGTAGCTGTGCCCTTGACCGCCGTGGGAAGACTGGTTGTAGCTGGGCTGGCTGGAATAGCTGGAGTGGTCGCCGCCGTAGCTGTGCTGGCTGCTGTGCTGCGACTGGCTGTTATAGCTGGGAGGGTGCTGAGAGTAGCTGTTGTCGCTGTACTGGCTTGACTGGTGCGATGGCTTCTCCGAGAAAGACTGGCTTTGTGAAGCGCTTCCGTGTGTCGTCTGGCTGCCATGGTTGGAGCTGGGGACGTTATGGTTCGAACCGGGCGGGTTGTAGGTCGGCGCGGGGCTACTGGAAGAATAGGTGCCGCCAGTGCCAGTATTGGAGTAGCCAAAGTTCTGCAACGATACTGTTTAGCTATTTGATTCTGTCCATGATTGAAAAGTCGACGTACCTGGTTACCTGAGCCCTGCTGACCGCCAAACATGCTGGCCACGCCACCCATAACGGCACCAGCGAGGCCGCCTTGGTGGTGGCCTGACGCGTTCTGAGTTTGGCCGCCGTGGTAGTTGGATGGCGCCTCGGGCTTGTCTGAAGGTGAAAATAGATTCGAAGCAAGCTGGCCGACGAGCTTACCGCCGATGCCAGACGAGGTCTTGCCGCCACCACCACCACCGCCGCCGAGAAACTGGTTTGCGAGGTTACCGAGAGACGAGCTGCCACCACCACTACTACCACCTTGCTTGCCGCCGAGAAGAGCGTTCATCGCCATGGACTAAAATGAAGGGAACCTTTGAATTAGCGCACATTCTACAAGGACATTGACCACAGCCAAGAGCCATGGATGAAGGGGAGTTTTCTTACGCCAAAGCCACGGTCTCCCGAAGGACCGTCGCCCATACCTCTGCTTCCATCGGCCATGATCGGTTCCATGCGCCCGTCCGCGTGCTTGACAGTCTGCGAGCCGTCGGGATGCGTGATTATTTCAGGAGGGGGCACGCCGTAGGGGTGATCTTCGTGCTGCGCGGGCGTGCTGCCGGTTTTGGCGGCTTCGGTAGGAATTTCCCACTGAGAGACGCCGGTGGCGAGCTGGACGTAGTAGTATTTCTTGCTGGCTGAGTCCCACTGCGCGATCCAGCCGGGAGGCAACTGAGGAGGTGCAAAGGTTGGACCTTCTGTGCTTGGCGATGCAGGCCCAGTCATTTGGATGCGACGAGGCTTTTTCGTTGCAGAATGTTTTCGAGAGGGGGGGAAAGTCAAAAAGCAGACCGAGGTGGAGGGGGAGGGGAGGGAGGGAGGCAAGGAGGGTGTGACTGTCGGCCTGTGGGAGAGGTTGGTCGCGCGATTGTACCCTGTTTGGAGGGGGAAAAGGTGGCGTCGGCACCGCTGGGGTTTTGGTTTTGGTGGATGAGGAGGGGAAAAGAGTTGATGTAGAGAAGGGCCCAAGTAGACTGAAGTGACAAAATAATGTTTCTCGTTGATGTACTGACGCAAATATAAATGAAAGAATGAAGTGATTCGAGGAAATGAGAAAAAAGGACAGGTAGGCCGGAGGACCAGGGCGCGTACCTGCCTTCAAAGCGTGCAAGGGAGCGTCTATCTACACCGTGATGATTTACAGTGGTTACAGGGCTGTGGGGGAAATTGCTGTACTTACCTCTTCATACAAGATGGCTGGCTGGTTATCGTTCTGTTAGTGCTTACTAGAGAAACCAAGCGTTCTGCTACCATGCCACCACGCTACCTGCCTGGGCCTAATAAGGCGCAGTCCTTTCCCAGCCACACTTGGGCTGCCTCCGGCCACACACGGTGAGTTTACTCCAACTACCAAATACATAGATTTTGATGCATTCAACATAGCGACGAATGAGCGTTTAAAAAGACCAGAATCATGTATGAATTGCACTTTACTACGTCATAGCTGGCCACCGCACATTGATCACGGCTACATACAGCAGGCTCCATACAAGTTGCTTTGAAAGCAGTGATCGATTCGCACATCTATCTACACAAGCATCAAGAGCTCACTCCAGGGACAGGATGTTTTTCTTGTCTTCTGTTTCCCAAGAGGCTCCCGAAGAGGAACAAGAGATAGATATAGCCAGATATCGCTCTTCTCTTTATCTCTCGCTGAGGGGGGTCGAGGCAAACGTAACAATTCCAACCATGTCAATAAAAAACAAAAAGTTCGATATAAAAACACATGAAATTTTTCTGAATAGTAAAAGAATAAAAAGACAAATCCAAATCTAACGCAACAAGGTCAGTTATCATTGGCCAGAGAAAAGAAATGAAGATGGTGTTGGGTAGCAAGAGCCCCGAAAATGGTACAATAATAAATGTGGGGGGAGGGTTTTCATTCAAATCATCTCTTTCAAGTTCCTCCTTTTTCTGTCCCCATTACCGAGGTTCAACCCTCCAGTCGTGTTTGATGCAGCAGCTTAGACAAAGCTAATGACCTTGGCGACGCCAGGCTTGCAGCTGGTGCCGGCGGCGAGCTGCTGGGCAACGGACCACCTGTTGCCAGAGCTGCAGCGCTGGAACTCCTTGCCGCCGATGCAGTTCCAGGAGCCGAGGTCGTCGCAGGCAGCGCCGGCGGGGAAGGCGCCGCCGTTACCACCGGAGGTGGGCGCGGCGGTAGGAGCAGAGCTGGTGGTGGCGGGAGGAGCGGCAGCGGGAGGAGTGCCGGCCGGGGGAGTGCCAGCGGGAGGAGCACCGGCGGGAGTAGAGATCGAGATCTGGATGGTGGTGGGCGTGGCGATGGACGTGCTGGAAGCGGACGGCCTGGCGGTGGAAGCGTCGCTGACGGTGACGAAGATGCCGCCGGGCTGCGTGGGCGTGGGCACCTTAGTGGGGTTGGCGGCGGCGGGAGACGACGAGGGCTTCTCGGGGGCGGGGCCGGGAGCGGGGCCGGGGGCCGGGTTACCAGTGGCGCAATTGCCGACAGGGGGACCAAACTTGGAGTCCTTGCGAGTGACGTCCTCACCAGGGTCGGGAAGCTCGAGGTCGACGCCCTCGGTGGTGCCGCAGCCGTTGCCGACGTTGGCGACGAACATGGCGGGGCGCTGGCTCATGGGGATACCACGGCGCTTCTTGGACTTGTTGCCCTTGATGTTGATGACGGCGCAGTTCATGTACATTTCGCGGTTGCCGACCTCGTTGAACCAAGACCAGGCGAAAATGGCCTCACCGGCGGGGGCGTCGGAGGGCACCTTGAAGTCGTAGGAGGAAGCGCTGGGGCCGGTCGGGCAGGACCCGAGCCACGAGTGGATCACGGTCCAGGTTTTGCCCTTGTCGTAGGAGAGCGAGGCCTGGCAGCTGCCGCCCGAGTGCCAGGCGCTGCCGTCGATGGACAGAGTCTGGCTGGAGCCGGCGGCCCAGTCGTCGACGGCGGCGCCCTGGGGGGTGCCGACGAGGTTCAGCGTTCCTTTGCACGGGAAGTTGCTACCGTCGGCGTTGAGGGGCGACGTCAAATCGTAGTCAATGTCGGTGGTGTGCTTGTTCTTGGGGGAGCGCATGGGCGGCGGGTAGGTCAAGGCCATGTGCGCCTGGGCAAAGGCGGCCATGCCCAGGACGGCGGCAAGGGAAGCGACGATTTGCATCTTGACGGTTTGGGTGATTTTTCGCTTGTAGCGGGAAGAGGGAAGAAGCGAGCTTCGGATAGTCGATATCGAGGCAGAAGAAAAAAAATGAACGTGTTCGTGATGTATGGTCTCTTGTCAAAAGAGAATGAGAGTGCCTGTCGGGCGTGTAAGTCGGCCTGCACGAAGCGGAAGAAGAAAGGGTCAAAACGCACAAAAGAGTAGGAGCAAACTTGGACCACAGGAATCAAAAGAGCTCTTTAGCGAAAAGGAGGGTATGACGTTTAGAGCACAGCTCCAAAAAGTGGTTTGAGTGAATGAATGTTTTTTTGCGTAACAGAAAAGCTGTCGAAACTTGTGAGACTGGGCGCTCAGTTTTGAACTTGTCGAATTCCGGATCGGCAGAAAGTGAAAAAAAGGAGTGAACTGGAGAGAATGTAAGTGTTTGAAAGAAGGAGAGTGAGTGAGTGTGCCTGCTTCAAACAAAAAAAGTGAAGGCCAAACGACGGGCCTTTATGAACCTTTTGTAAGTGTTGCTCGTCACGAGAGTATGGCAATGGGCCAGGAATGGTTGGCTGATAGGCGCTTAGGGGTGAGGGGAACGTCATGGTGGTGTGGCGTTTTGCTGTTACAGGGCCGAGGGGCACCTCGAAGCAGGGGAAACTAATTTTTTTCTCCGGCCTCCTATTGTTCAGGAATGATTGGCCTTCTTTGTGGTAGCCGGAGGTTTGCTCCATTCGCTCTTGAATTTTGGTCGTCGTTGCAGAGCAAAAGGGCGGTTGTCTGCACCCATGTACCTGGTCTGCTGTACTTGGGATAGATTAGCCTGTGGGGGTTGTCGTCTCGCCTGCGCGGAACTATTGAAAATCTTTATTTCCAAGCCCTTGTTGAACACTTCATTTTTGCTTGTAGCCAAATTCAGGACCTTTCCCATATGTAATTTGCTGAGTAGGCGCGGACCGAGTCCGATGGCGACGTGCTCTCAGTATATCTGATGCACGTCATTCCCACAACACCGTCCCCTGAGAGCCTCAACTAATCCATGCTTGGCTGGCTCTCCTCCACCACCACCAGATATGCGCACCAATACCTAGGTAGCACTGGATAGGTAGCGTGGCAGCTTGGTAGCTTGCAACTGGGCCCTCCCTCCAGTTGTCCGCCCCCCCTCCCCCACTCTGCATTACCAACGACAATGGGTGACATGCTGCCAAGGAGAATAATTATCGGAGAATAACCCATTCCGGTGAAGGGCTGGACGTAGTCTAGATGAAATGGAAATTACGAGTGGACGGGTCCTGTGGCTTCGAGTTGAGTGTTGTCCCTCAAGAAAACCCATAGCTCGGATTCAACAGCTGCATAGACGAGTCAGAATGGACGAGTCAAACTAAAGGATTGAAAGAAAATCAACGACTTTGTGCTACAGTTACACTGGTTCCAATTGCGTGCGTCGCTCTCCTTGTACCACGTTTACTATCTTCCAATGGCACTCCATCACAGCGTGATCTCGAGTCTATACTGTTACACGTTCAACCCCCAACACGTGCATCCCCTGCCGCGAAACACGTTTCTGTCCCTCGCAGCAGGCTGTGCATCACGGCTTGCGAGTGGCCTGCAGCTACAGAGGTTCTTTTGACGCCAGCGGTTAGTTAGCTACCGCTGATCAAACCAATAAGCCGAGGTAGTATGATAACAATGACGGCTATACAACAACAGACGTAAAAATCAATCCCAAACATGTTGAAATAAAAAAGACCCAAAAAAAGGACCAATAAGGCAAGGAAAAATCAAACAGGCACGCCACGACATAATGGTCACGTTACAATGCAGCAGAAAACACGCATGACTGGAACGACGGCCCTGTTTGCCGACGTTTGTCCGACAGCAAGCGCTGAGCTTGACCAATCACGGCGCCTCAAGATCCTTCGCCCCTCCCCGCCCCGCCTGTTGGCCACCCGGCCGAAACACCCGAAAAAGTAGGACCGCTTGACATTATCCTGGACTTTTGAAACCATCCATGTCAACAAAGTCGTCACCTCCCCTGTTTCGGTTCTCCTCCCTCCAAACCCAACTGTACATCAAAGTCTAACTGAGAGCGCAAAAAGGATTCCCAAGCACAAAAATAGAGTTGATCATGAAGAAGTAGGAAAAAAAAAAAACCCCCCGGCCACTGCCTGCTTACCTAGTTAGCTAATGTTTATAGCAATACAGGCCATCAACTGCTTAGACGAGGGCCCCAATAGGATTCGAAGCACAAAATATAGAGTTAGTCATTAGGTAATTAGAAAGAAACAAAAAAAGCAACCTGGCCACTGCTTGTTTGGCAAATGCTCACACAACACAAGCCACCACCACCACTTACCACCAACCCAACGACAAAGTCGCTGCATCTGTGGCGATGCGCAATGCCGCCGATAACTCACGATGCCTTCCCATCCGAGGGAGAGCCACGCCCACCACTTAATTACACCGCCCTCCTCACAACCATTTTCTCCTGCCCTTTAGACATTTCAACGTTGCGTCCGCCATGCCATCGCGAACGCCCTGTCCCTGCACTTAGCTGGGGCGGCCGGCCCTTCCCGCCCTAGGCTGGCTGTCATTGACTGGTGCGCCGGCCCATTGTTCATTTATATCAGTCGCCTGATACAACACCGCAGTCGGTCCATGAAAAAATAAGTAAAATCGGCCTGATTTGACAGTTTGCGCCCACTTCGTCAATGTGGGTAGTTCCAACGGCCGCTCTCATCCACTCGCCCTAGGCCTGTCCATATATGTGTTCAACACAACCAATACTTGCTACTATACTTCCGGGGTGGCCCTCTTCTCCACCACCCCTGATTTGTGCCCTCACGCAAGCCCATTCCTGCTAATTCATGCTTGTCCTGGTTTCTAAATACTTTGTATTCAACAACATGCTGCCTGCCTTTTCGGTCTCCCTCTCGTCAACCTTCAACCTTCATCCCATCAGTTAACATCAGTTGCCCTCAAGCGCCATCCCTTCCGGCCCAACCCCCCACCCAATCTTGTCTTGACCAGTCATTCTTCTTCTTCCTTTGAAAATAACTTCTTTGTGGCGTGTTTTGCCCATGAGACCAGCACGCTGTTGAGGTCGCACTGGTCTGACCATTCAGAGACTCCTGCCACTAATACGGTTCACCTTGATTGGCCCCATCCACCTTCATCGCTCTTCGTCACCTGTGGAATCGGCTCCCTGTTACTTTCAATGCCTTCTTTTCATTCTCCTATCTGCTTCTGCCCGCTAAACCCTATCTACATCTGCCGCTCTTCCCTCTCGCCATGCGCCGACAACGCCCCTTCACGTCTCCCCGTTGGAACAAATTAAAACGTCTTGACCATGCATTGCTGTCGTCCATGACCTTCACCTTGTCCAACAGGCCGGCAACCTGTCCTTGCCCAGAGAACTTTCGTCTCCTTCAACTGCGCCAGTTGTATGGATACACTTTCATCGCCATCTTGCCCACGACACTGGGCATGTCTTCAGTGCTCTGCCCCAGATTTTCACTGCGGCATACCTGCATTCGAACCGCCTCTCTGCACTGCCTGCCATCTTGACTAGCTCTGGCTATCCAAATATGGCCTTGACTCTGCACTCGAGGTTGTCTCATCTCCCATCTCATGCAAAAAGATTTTAATGGATGTGATGCTGTGTTTCATGTAAAGCAAAAAGAAAAAAAAAAAGACAAAGAAAATCCCCAAACGTTAGGCCAACCCAGCCAGGCCCATCTCTTGCCTCGGGCTTGATTGCAACTCCGCTTTTTGCGCTGGATACGCAGCTCTAAGAAGTAATTCCTTGCTGTGCCTTGCATGTAGCTGCTGCTGTGGCGCACCGATAGGGCGGCTCTTCCCATCGTAAGCATATGTGCTGCTCCATTTGTTACAGCTGTGGATGCTTGATGAGGGCTCGGCCCAGCTCGTGCAATTGCAGTAGTATATCCGCGCGTCGCAGCCCGCTTCGCTGATAGGTCATGTCATCATTTTTTGCCCACGCTCTCACTGGCTTGGCGCGCCACCCTGTACCTGTCCGTAGGCAGGCTGGTTATACTGCACACTCGGACTCATGCCATACATAGGCTGCCCCTGCTGCGATCCTTGATGAACCATGGCAGGGGCTGAAGGTCTTCCTGGGCTGGGATATCCATTTGCCCCAGGGCCTGGCTGCTGCGGGCCACCTGGAGACATAAACTGTCCATGTGCACCTGGATACATCATCTGGGGGCCGCCAACCATTCCCTGAGGCGCAGGCATAAAGTGTTGCGGCATCATCATATGTGCCTGGGGTGGTGCGTAGTGAGGATGATGGCTGTTAGAGAAGCTTCGGTACTGTCCCATCTGTGGGGCACCTCCACCCATATACACTGGCTGGTTGTACGCCATCTGACTGGGTGAGTTGTAGGCCATTGGCATTTGTGCCATGCGAGGTGATGCAAACGACTGCTGAGAGTTGGAGTGCATCATGCGGTGATCGTCATTACCATATTGGCTGTGAGGGCCAGGGCCGTGATGAGGTGTATGCATCTGCATAGGTGGCATGGCGGGCGACTGGCGCTGGCCTGTGTGGAGCGAGCCATGTTGAAGATGAAAGGGCAGTTGGTGTTGATGTGCCAGGTGGGGGAGAGCGTGTGGAGTATTCGGCGTTGCCATTGCAGGCCCAGAGAAAGGGCTTCGTTCAAAGTATTCCTTATACGTGAGATGCATCGTCGAATCGGCTTTCTCGTCATCCCGAAGCTGTCGCCAGGTGGGAAGAGTATCATAAGCAGGTCGCAGACCGCCATTGTCGTCCCACTTGCGGCCCGGAGGAGGAGCAAAGGTTTTAATGTGAGAAAGAATCGAACACTTGTTAACATCGACAGCTTTGGTCTTGCGTCGAATGAGTTGCCCATGAACAACAGCAGCAGGGTTCGCGTCAGGAACATTGTTGACAGCGGAGCGAGGGCTTGAGCCTGCACTGGCATGGTTGTTGGGGTTGAAAGAGGGAGCAAATGGACTTGGCCGAAACTCATGGCTGTTAGGGTTCAGCTTCACACCCATGTGCCCAGGCAGAGCACTGTGCCGACGGCTAAAGTTGGTGTCGTTTGTGCCAGAAGGTCCAGTGGGTGGCGCGCGTGCATCCTGACTAGGTGGCGGCTGCTGGACTGTTGGCGGCTGCGAAAACTTTTGCTGCTCGACGTTGCGCAGCCGCTGAGCCAGGCTGCCAGTTTGCTGAGGGGGCATGTTATGCAGTCCGCCGCGGTTATTCCTATATCCCTGACCATGATACTGCTGAGGGTATGGCTGGCGAGGTCCGGTGTGCCGGTTCGGTGCGCCAGCTGGTGAAGCCCCGTGCGGTCCGGCTGGGGCGCGAGAGTTTCGTGGGTCGACAGAAGGAGGCATGGTAGTACCTGGATCACTGACTTTAGGAGGAGTACCTTTACCACTGGCTGGTGAACTCTTAGAAGAAGAGTCCGCTTTGGATTTTGCTGCGACTTCTTCAGCGTTCCTGATTGCTCGAGCCTGGATTTCCTTTTGCTTCACCGGATCTTTCGCGATGATAGACACCAAGTCGTTTGGAACGGGTGTTGATAGCTTGAAACTTGTGGCGAACTTTCGTAACTCAGTGAGCTTGACCTCTTTATCAGCTTTGGCCTTGCTGTTTCGAACTTTCTCAGCGTTGATTCTCTGCTGAGTAGCAAAAGTTTTGAACGAGTTCAGTACGTCACGCTCAACAGTCAACGTGGCACTGACTGTGGCCTTGTCAGCTGCGCCTTGCCCGACCTTGGTGCCAACAGGGGTAGTGGTTGCGGCTGTTGAAGAGTTCTCGGTAACCCTCGTGTCTGATGACTTGAAATCCTTAGACTGCGCAACTTTGGCCTCTGTGGACTTCTCGTGCGTAGGCTGCGAATCTGCAGTCTTGGGTGTCTGCTGTCGGGTGGTGGTTGCGTTCTTTGCAGAGTCGGGTGGTTGACCATGAGTCTGATCAGCAGCAGCAGGTGCAGGCTTCTTATAAGGTGCTTTAATCTGCGCAGAAATAATCGCAGGGTCCACCGGGGCGCCTTTAACGTTTGACTGCGCGGCTGGGGCTCGTTTGGCAGGAGGTGTATATCTATTCTCCCGCCCTCCGCCCAGAGGCGGAAAGTCTTGTCGGCGGACGCCACTGTACCTATTGCAAAGTTAATAACACGGAGGCGTATGGTGGCGCAACACCAACATACTTCTCTTCCTCGTTGTCATCGCCACCACCAGAACCATTGTAGTCCATCACTCGCTCTTCCGCTACGTGTGCAGTAGTGGGAGCACTTCGCTCGATCTCACGCGCTTTCCTGTCGGCTGCAGCTATTCTTTCGCGGTATTGAGGATGACTCTTGTTGATAGACGTTGTGTAGATGTTTTCGTCGTAGTCAGTTTTGACCCCGAAGAGTCGCTCGTTTGCCGCGAACTGATCCCAAGCACCACTGCTCGTTGATCCCTCTAGACTGGCGTCAAGGCCATCACTGGCATCCGGAACCCAGGGCTGAAGGACTCGTTCACCGGCTGCGCCCCTGTTTGAGATGGCCGTGTCGGTTCGGAAGCCAGGTCGATTACCTGCGGGGGCACTGTTAGCAAGATTTGGCACCTGGGAACAAATCATACATACCATTCTGTCCACGGCCTTCACCTTTGCCGCCAGAAGAGACAGCGTCCTTCTTTGGTGGCATCGTATAGTCTGTGCTGGATTGAGCCGATGGCCTCAAATCTGCGGATAGGACAAATTTGATTTCCCAACAAAACTGCGATGCTGAATTTTCCTAGTCGTGTGAGCCCAGGTTAGCCACTCAATCTAAAATTGGTCGCAAGCCTCCACAAAGGCACAGTGTGAATATGTGCCTCCAGCATCGTGTGATGCATAACTAAGCCTACAGTATCCTGCCCGAGATATCAAGAAAATAGGCAGGCAGTTTGGAATCATGTGTAGAGGAAATGCGCAAGACGAACCTATCAGCGTGTGCAGGAAGCTCGGGTTGGACCCTCGAGGGGTAGGATAGATCGGTATCGTCGGTGAGCCGAAAGGCAGGGAGAATACCAAGCTGTATATTCCACTTAGCCTGCTCGATTGAGTGATTAGTTCATGTTTGAGTGTTGCGCGTAATAGCTGAATTGGGGAAGGGCGATGAAGCACTCAGGGGTTTGATCAGGCACCTGTTGCAAACAAAATAGAGCCAAGGTGCCGGGCGACAAAGGCATGTGCTGCGGGCGGCTGCTTACCGGGAGGGGCAACTTAGGAATGCCAAACAGGAGGATTCTCGTCACACCTTGTTCGCCCAGCTCGTCGCCGCTAGGATTGCCTCTGAACAGGCGCAGCGGGCATGGAGAGATGGTTTGCAGGCGAGAAAGGGATTGAAGCCTCGCTGTGGAGATGGTAGATGAGGCTTTGTTTTCGAATACCCTGTCGCTCTTGCCTGACTAGTGGGAGAAGGGCCTGGTCGTGTCCACAATCTAGCCCGGACAACTGGATTCGAATACCTGAGTCTACTACGGGAGGGCTCGGCAGCATCGTGCGAGTACAGTGCGCAAATCTTTGTGCACCGTTAGCGAGTTCTTGTAGCACGCTAGAAATCGCGCCAAACACCGTCAAATGCCCCAGCAGCAGAGCACAAATACAGTGCGGGTTTCTTGCCGCGCTCCTAAGCCGTTTGTCACTCAAGGTACCTCAAGGTACATACCTTTCAGATACGTCGTGGGCAGAAGCTTCCAAAACCACCCAAAACTGCCTTGTGGGACGACACACGACACCATTTTGTGTCTGTGTCGAGGCGAAAAGCTTCTCAATACAGAGTTACGTGCCTCTTGATCTCTCGCGAAATGGAGGCAGCTTCTTTTGAGCTTCACCTGCGGCCGTCCGCCCTGCTGCAGCGCCCAAGAGACGAAATCTTAACGTTTCTAGTCTTGCGGCTCATTTATTTGTGTGGTTGCGGCCGCTTGGGTGTTGTAGGTTGCCTCTCGTAACTTTTCATGTCAATGAAGAGATCTCGTAGGCTAGCTGCGAAGCAGAAAAAAGAACGTCCGACGTAGATCACAACTCATAAAGAGCTCCAGACGCAACGTATCTGATGCAAGCAAAGGCGCAAGAACAAATGAGAATTTTTCTACTACAGTTATTGACAATAAGACAACGTCTCCTCCGCGTCTAGTCCGTCCTGACTAATTGTACATGATTTGTGTTTTGTTGAGCCCATTTATACCCGAAGGCCAATCTCCTCAGCGTAGGGAAGGACGAACAGGTCGCCGACGGTGGAGACCGTGGCCTTGCCGTCAAGCAGAGTCTTGGCAACCTGTCGCGAAGTTAGTAACTGCTTTTCATGTCGCTTGGTAGTAAGGAGAAATTTACAGTCTTCAGCTTATCGACGTTCACGGCATCGAAAGATTGGCCAATACTGGCAATATCCAGAGGCTTGCCGTTGCTGATGATGCCGTTACCAGCCAGCAGGATGCTGGAGTCGCGGAGTTGGGCCTTGTCAAGCGCATCGAACTTGGCGTTCGCAACAGCTTTGCTGACATCGTCCTTGCTGACGGAGCCCTGAGCAATGGCTTTGAGAGCCTTGACGGCATCCTCAGCGCCCTTGCGAACAGAAGCGGCAGCGCCAGTAAGTTGGATGGCCAGCAGGCCAGCATCAGAGTACGCGAGGCTGGAAGCAGAGGCGGATAAACCGGGTGTGGCGGCAGCGGCCTTGGAAAGCAGGCTGAAGCCGGGGGACCACTTGATGGAGGGTTGGTTGCCGAGGAGCGAGGCCAGGACCGCGATCTCGGGCTTAGAAGCGTTGATGTCGGAGCCAGGGAAAGCAATGACCATGGAATTTCCGGCAGGATTGGCGATACGCTGCTCTCCGCCAAAGTACTTGGTGGCCTCAGCCTTGAGAGACTGGCCGCTCTGGGAAGAGGCGGGGACGTCCTTGAAGAACTGGCTGACCCAGCGGGACAAAGTCTCGGTGTTGGCACCCTCAGCGACGATGGCGATGTTGGGCTTAGTGTAGACAGCGTCGGCGTAGCTGGCAACGTGTTCCTCGTTCAGGTACTTTTGGGCGGGAACAGCTGAGTAGGGAGTAAGAGGTGCTCCAAGACCGGTGTGAAAAGCGACAGCGTGAGCGTTGTCGAGGGCAATAGCGGGAACGTTGGAGCTGTTAATAGCCTGGCGAAGGTGCAGGACGCGCTCAACATCCTCGTGAAACTCGTGGGCTAGCGACTGATATCAGTTCCCTGGTGCTGATGGCACATGATCCTGTCATCTTACTGGTATACTTGGTCTGGGTGACAACCTCGGCAAGGAGCTCAGCGAAGTAGGGGAGGTCGTCCTTGAGGAAGCTAGCGCCGACAACAAGGGCCTCACGGGTGTGGCTGGCAGTCAATTGACCACCAAGAAGCTCGGATTCGCGGTAGATGCGCAGGCCAGATCGTTTTTGGGTGTTCTTTTGGGACTCGGTTAGAATGCGCATGAGGCTGGGAACTGCTGACAAGGCAACACACTTTAAAGGCAAACTCCTCGAGGCCAACAGTCAGGCCAGGAAGAGGTTGATAACGGGTACCGGCCTTGGCAACAATGGCAAGCTTGGTGGTAGGACCGTGAGTCTCCCTGGAAGCTACCTTGAGGCCATTGGCATCAGTGGTTTCAAAGGCACCAGCTGATGCGGCGGCGGCGAAGCCTCGCTGCTGGGTCGGGCGCACGCTGCAGGACCTGCGGGCGGCCTGCTGCGCGTTTCTCGCGAGAAACGATCTCGAAATCATATTCGGGTATCGTGGCGTAGGCAATTGATTGAACCTTGAGCCGTCGTCGGAAAGCAATTGAGCACCAAAAAGAAGTGCCTCGTCGAACTGCTCCCGTCTAATTTTCGGACACGGGAATCCGGCCAATCACGTGATGGCTATTATTCCGCAGCCTAAGCCACTGCTTGACTGGGCTGGGTTCACTGGGCGAGCCGCCAAAGCTTGCTGCAGCGCCATAGCGTAATCCGCTCGTCACCATCACCCTGCTAGGTAGGTACCGTCCAGGTACCGCCGAGCTATAACGTCTACTAGCCATCTACCAATCAGGTACCGTGTCCACCTCTCTACGGTGGGATTCTTAGCCCAAGTAGACTGGCAGAAAAAATTCCCATGAGAGTCAGAACTTTGACAAGCGCCTCCAAACTTTCGAAGCCCACCTGCATTTTCGTATTTCTGCTGTGGACTTCGCTCAGGCATTTCGGCGTCTCGTTGCACACATACTTCAATGACTTCAAGGTAGCTATTGCTGAGCTCTAGAGATAGTGAGAGGATCTCTAGGAGCGATCGCAATGCTTGTTGTTAGTCTACTTCGACTGTCAGTGCTACTGACGCAGCGAAGCTAATCGACTTTTAGACAAAGCATGCAGCTGAGCTCTGTGCTCTCCTCGTGAACGACCTCTACGGCGAGCTCCCCTCGGTAGGCCTCTCTCGCCCTTTCTGCAGCGACAGGGTCATGCAAACACATTGCTAACACGTGCTCGTCGCAACAGCGTATTCTTTCCGCACTTCTCACGAAAGGCCGATCCACGATCGCACAGCTCGCACAGCACACGTCCCTCCCTCCAAGATTCCTCCGAAACGGTTTGAGCGTCTTGGTCCAGCAAAATCTTCTTTTTCACCACACCGACTCTGACAGCAGAGGAACGAGCTACGAAGCCAACTCAGATGCCTGCTACAATCTCGTTCGATCGGGAAAGATACTAGAGGCTATAGAAAGCCAGTATGGTACTGCGGAGCGCGATCTGGTCCAAACGCTTCTTCAGCTTGGATTCGCCCGCATCGCGGACTTGACGCAGGCATTCAAAGGCAGAACGTCGAAAACAAATGGCCACACCAATGGATCCACAGAGATGGCGTCTGGGCTGATTGAGTCGGAGTCGCATCTGAATGCGGTTCTGGGTAGACTCATTCAAGCCGAAATAGTCGAGACTATGCGCGCCGACAGCTTCCGCAACCCGCGCGACGTGCATCGCGAGATCGAACAAGACGTGACGCGAACAGGCCCCGGTGAGAAGACGAGCAAAATTACAGCGGAGCAATATGGGCAAATCCGGTCAAAATACCGTACATTCAAAGAGCAGGGCATGAGTTTAAAACGTCAGCTGGACATTACGAGGGGCGCATCTGGTAAAAGACGGAAGCTTCAAAATGGCAAAGGACATCAGTTGGATGATGAGTTTGACGCACCCCCTCTCAATCCCAATATTGTCGTCAGAATTAATCACGAAAAGTGTCTGGTTGAATTGCGCAATGATCGATTGGCGACATTCGCAGCGGATATGCTCGGCGAAGTTACAGGAACGGTTTATCGAACGCTTCTTGATCTCTTGTCCGTCGACATCTCAAGATGTCGAGCGGACCCGCTACTTGAAGAAGAGACGCCTGGTCACAAAGTAACGGTTACTACCTTGGAAATTTATAATCACTTGGACGAAACTGTCGACGTCCAAGGCGGTATTGGCAAAGCTCCGAAAGATAAGATTGATCACCAGAGCGCAGAGAAGATCAGGCCAGAACCGCAAGATTCCGATAGTGAGTCGGACGCTTCCGATAGCGAAATTCCTGTACGGAGGCCTTCGGCTGCCGCCAGAAGTTTGGATTTCGATATGGATAATGGCTTCGGATCAGACGAACATAAAGAGAATGGCGTGGCTCACACGAATGGGAATGGCAAACCAAAAGTAAAATTCGAGGATGACGGAACGTCGAAAAACAACCGCATTGAACAAATGCGCCAGCACTTGTTTCTGCTAGCAGAAAGCAAGCATCGATTTGTGAGACACTGTGGTGTTCAGGGCCGTGGGCAGTGGACTGTTGACTTCTCCAAGGTTCTCAATCGGCTGAAGGAAACAGAGCTTGATGCGTACATTGAACAGTCCTTTGGGCGACATGGGCTACGGCTGACGCGCATCCTGCGAGAAAAGGGCAAACTCGATGAGAAAATGCTGCCGTCGGCTGCGCTCATGAAGAAGTCGGACGTCCAACTCAAGATGATTGCCATGCAAATGGCTGGTCTTGTCGACGTGCAGGAGGTACCAAAGGACAACAGTCGCATGGCTAATCGAACACTGTTCTTCTGGTTCTTTGACAGAGAAAGAACGGAATCACAGGCTCTTGATGACATATACAAGGCTATGGTGAGATGTTTACAGACGATGCAGGTCGAGCGGCACAGGGAACGAAATATCCTTTCATTTGTGGAGCGGAAGGATGTACAGGGCAAGGAAGAGGAGGTGATGACATCGGAACATTACGACAAGTACAACAAGCATCTAAAGGTGCAGGAAAAGCTTCTTGGGCAGGTCATGCGTTTGGATGAAATGGTTGCCATTTTCAGGGACTATTGAGGGATAGGAGAATAACATGTGGCTGTACAGATGTGACAAACAAAGCACTTTGGTCTAAGCACTTGCTATATCAATGAACTCAATTTGATGTGCACATGAAGCATTACCCTGGCAAGTGACGTCGCGAGCTGAGCTCATCGAGATAGGCCGGCTTATAGCACGAGAAAGTAAACGAATAGACGAGTTCTGCATTTCCGACACTGAAATTAGGGCGAGTACGCGAAGACGAAGAACGTCAACGACGTCAAAGCTGCCATGAACGTTGGCATTCACAAAATCCCGCAGCACACCACCTGTCTAGAAGCGGCCCTCCTGCTAGCGAAAAGCGAGTTGATAGGTGGCGGTGAGAAGTGTTTAGGTATTGGTAGGATGGTATTTTATCAGCCGGGTTTATGATAATGGAAAGTCGCAGGGATATGGAGCACCGTCGACGGCTATCCGTCGTACGCAAGGTTGCACACC